AGACTTGATCATCCAGGTGTCAAACAAAATTTACCTGTTAAGCTTTTTCGACAACATTTTCTGATGAATCCAACTTTTCAGGTACATAATTTTTTTTTTTTGACTGTGTAGTAATTATCATGGCAAAGCTGTATGGTAATTGGCAGGTGGTTATGTATTAAAATGAGAATAAAAACGTTAGATTCTTTTGATGCCTTGTATTAATTTTAGTGTCTGAAAAAACAATTATTATTTTTTTTTCTGTTGAGTGTTTATTTTTTATTTTTTTAGGATGGAGTTGGATTTTTATAAAGTGTACCATCAGAAGAGAGCCAAATTATCTATAAAGCAGGTAAGGAAAGGTAAGGTAAGGTAAGGTAAGGTAAGGTAAGGTAAGGTAAGGTAAGGTTACGTTACGTTTGATGAGGTTAGATTTGCTTAGGTTAGGTTACGTATATAGTGACTCACTTATATATGTACAGTATTATTATTACCTACTGTATATTATCATCTATGGTCAGTCAAAAACTAAAACGAATAAACAAAATAATATTATCTTTATTTTGCAACTCTCTCTCTCTCTCTCTCTCTCTCTCTCTCTCTCTCTCTCTCTCTAAAACTATGCACATACATAAGTTCTCCCTGACGGCATCAATATCAATATGCCATTGTGCCAAAAATGCAATTTACATACAATGTACAGGATGTATGCACAGCGAAGGGGAGCGAACTATCCCTGTGTGTGTGTGGGGGTGAGGGAAGGGATGCGTGTGCCTAGTGCATAAATTTAGCGAGGATCTGAGTGAACTCGTATTTATGGTGTGTGTATGTGTGTATGTGTGTGTGTGTGTGTGTGTGTGTGTATGTGTATGTGTGTGTGTGTGTTTGCACAGAAATGCTTACTGTATATCGTGAGTGACCGTTTCTGCAGTGGGAGTGCATGTGTGTGTGTGTGTGTGTGTGTGTGTGTGTGTGTGTGTGTGTATGTGTGTACTCAAATGTAGAGTAAACGTGAATTACACATATATCAATGCTCATGTAAGTATATGTGTGCGTGGTGGAACTGAATGTAATAAGATTCTTTGTGCATCGCTGCCATATGTGTGTGCGAGCGCAATCAAACAAGTAATGTACATAATTATTCCATGCGCACACACACACACACACACACACACACACACACACACACACACACACACACAGACATACATACATACATACATACATACATACATACATACATACATACATACATACATACATACATACATACATACATACATACATACATACATACATACATACATACATACATACATACATACATACATACATACATACATACATACATACATACATACCCCCTCACACACCCCCAGCCGCCTCTCATCCCCTGGTACCACTAATCGGTAACATAGCATCATCATTCCTCTGTATCCCGGACCTCGATAAGCCCCTAACTTCCTAATGGCCTAAAATTAAACGTATCCATCTTCATTCAAAGGCGTCCGGCTCCCGACTTTTCTTCATTAGCAAGAGCCTCTCATCCCACACGGCTGCCCAGGGGTGTCTTGAAGCTCCCGACCTCCACCCTCTTCCCCACACACACGGCTAGAGTCGTCTCATAGCACCTGACAACCTCTAAAATCAACCTCTACATTGCACGAGCCTTTTTTGCCATACCGACGCAAGATATCTTTCCCTAAAGCTATTTATGGCCGTACACGAGGAAATGTCGCTCTCTGGGAAAACTAAATAAGAACACATTCCAGACTAACCTTGTCTGCTGAAAGGCCCGAGTTGTTGAAGCGTAGTAATAACATGATAAGGGTGCTCCTCTTCTGCACCAAGGTAAGGCTCCAAGTTCTGGAAAGTTTATACATTTTAATAATAAGTCATGTAAACTACAGTTGTAATTCACGAACTCAGAAATTTATTGAAAATTAACTTATCAACCTGTAGCCTCGTGTCAATATTGTTGGAAAAGTCTTCCTTGGTTTCTGTTATGAGTAATAATGGAAAATGTCCATTGAAAATAAAATAACCACAAGCTATCAAATCCTGTCAAGTTCATTATGGTCCGATTATTCTTTAAACTTACAGAGTCAAGTTTGATGAAAAACTTCACTGTGTATGTGGATCAGGTTCAATCCAAAGACTATAATAAGAAAGACAGGAAAGCAAGGCGATAACCGCGTAAGCCACATAGCATATAGTTGGCCGCGGGATCAACAGATGGCGTTAATGTGCAAGTAGCGGATCGTCTGTATGTCGTCTGTCAGGGGTCCGCAAACTTCCTTTTTCCGGCCGCATGTGGCCGGGAATTGTTATACGTGCGGCCGGCTGAACGACGTTCAAAATTCGGACTAGGCGGCCGGAAGTTTTAACCGCGAGCATGGGATTCGTGCGACTTGCTGATGGACGTTGACAGCTGCCGCTCCACTCCATACCATGACGTCATAATTCCCGGGCTTCATCCACGCTGAGTGCTCCCTAGTTTTCTTTGCACAGCCCCAATTATTGGTAAGTGAAATATGTAGAACAAGGTAGTTTACATAACAATGAATTGTTTAGTCGTAATGTAGAAGAAAAGAGCGCGTGTTGTCGCAACTCGTCTGTTGCTACCTCAAAACTGCATCAATTGATAGCTACTAGGCTACGCTCACTACTGTAGATATTTCAGATAACTGCACTGGAATTACAATGGTCATATACATTTTTTATAAAAAACACGAGGGGATTTGTGTGTCGGGACAAGTTGCTTGCTGAGAAGCTTCGTCTGCTCGGGCCAGCAGAATGAAAGGCAAGGCTAGGCTAATTTTGCGTTGCATTTTGTTTACATTTTATGAATAACCTACAACATATTTAGCTTTTGCCTATTACTGTATCTATAATTAATTGCTACAATCAATACTTCTTGAAATATGGGTGACTCAAGTCAAGTGACAGTGAAAGGTTCTGTAATATAGGTATTACGTTTCAGACCTGAAAGGAAACATGCCGCCTCCAGCAACAAAGAAACGAAAAATTGCAGAAGAAATCGCAAATTTAACCCTCTTTGGGAAGAGGAATTCCTTGTTATTGAAAAATAATTAGAACTGTATTTGGTTACCTTTGTGAAAACAAGTACCGTTCAAAGCTCACCAACATTCACACCACTGAACTTGTGAAGGCTGCTGTCACCAAACTTAAATCAAATTTTGCTGAAATTGCAAATCATATCCAGACTCAACCCTCACATTAGTTTTAGTATTGCTCTGTGTATCTGCATTTGGCATGCGAGTCATTTTGCATTGCAAAAAGCCAGCCTTATAGTAACAGCTGAAAGACATTTTTATTCTAAAAATATCAAGGCTTTTTCTTTTGCTCTACAATATATCGTTAAGAACTTTTCTGTTCTGTTTTCTTTTTGTATTTTAAATGTGAATGCCTTTATATCGTTGTTTGTAAGAATTCTTCTTAAAAGTAAAATAGAGTCCTGCATTTCTGCTTGCTCATTCAATCCTGTGGAATGCGTTGTTGACTTTTGTTGTCTGAGAACAGCTGCGGCCGATAACTGATTATTTGCCAGCTGAAGTGGACGACTAGTATAGAAAGGTTGCGGACCCCTGGCTTACAGGAAGACCGGGACATTTAACCATGAGTGGGCGTCACCATCACCCGTGTGCACACGTGCAAAAACAGATCACCCTGAGCTTGTGTTTCACGTTGCTATATATCATTGATCATATAGAATTTACTGTGTGAAATTGTATGTGTGTATGTCAGTATGTATATGTGTGTGTGTGTGTGCATGTGTACACGTTAAGAACGTCAAGGTAATATTACCTTGACGTCTTTGCCTTGACGTTCTTAATGTGTACACACACACACACACACATACGCACTGATACACACACATACAATTTCAAACAGTAAATTCTATATGATCAATGATATACAGCAACGTGAAACACAAGCTCACTCCGCTGGTTACCATGGAAACGTGAGTATGCCACCCTCACGCGCCAGCTATGAACCACATCACTCACCTGGTTTGGGACAGGTGTTCACTAATTGGCGACCAGAAGATGAGTGAGTCACCTCCCATGGTCCGCCTGTAACAATAATATTCCCCGCCCCTCATCTATCTACCAACCAATCACAGGCCTTCACCAGCTGACAAACTGCCTAACGACCCCTAACAAGTAGTTTCAATTAATCGGTTATTAGTTGCACCGAACACTGACGCAGTAGACAAATTCACTTAGCATTATATATTTATTTATATTATCTACTTAAGAAAAACTATTTACTACATTTATGCATAATAGTTACAAAAACATACAGGCATTTAATAAGTTTAAAAAATAGTCATCAAAAAACTAAGGTTAAGATTATATTTGTACATTAGCGTTATCATTTAAACATATATATCTACTTACGAAAAATTCATAACACAATTATGAGTTCGTTACTGAATAGAAATACATGTATTATATTGTTAAAATTTAGGGGGGGTGGTCATCCCAGTAGTACCCCCCCCCCCTCCCCCATCAACATTAATAAATCTTGAGTAAAATTTTACCTGTCATCCAGCAGTTTACGTCAGCAGGAGTACCCAGTGGTAACAGCATCATCCAGCCAGCAATACCCAGTAGCGTCAGCAGCCGTCAGCCAGCACCATCCGGCTTCCCAAACGTTCGGGCAGTTAGCATAACAGTTGTTGGTTGTTTCCTATGGGTGCCAGTAGAGTAAAGGGTCATCTAACGTTGTAATTATTATTTTTTTTAACCTATCTTTGCTTGGTTTGATACCTTTGAACCTTGACCAATTTACCAATAAGCTTTTTTAGTCAGCAGGGAGGCAGTCACACATTGAATATTACTAAATAACATGATATAAACAATAATTAAACAGGGATATTTGTCTCCCATAAGCTTATTGCTATTTGTCTTGGTAAGGGTCCTTGTGTTATACATATTTTTCACATATATTTACAGCTGTTACATATTTGCTACCCCGTCAAGCTATAGAAAACAAAACATTGTTAACAAACTCTCCCTAAATCAAGGCCGCGTGAGCATGTTTTCAGTTGTAAGAGCTCCATTATTTCACTTAACCAGAGGATCATCCATCAGACAGGTTTTAAAGGATGGATCAAGATGGTTTACAAATACAGAAGAGTTAGGATTAAGTTGCCATATTATGAAGTCAATAAGAGGGACACAAACTACTGGTGTTGGAGTGTCTTGTGGCATCAGTCATGTTCCTGGGAGTTCTTCACAGTATTCACTACGAGATCAAAGTTCTTTTTCAGGGTCATTGGTGAATTCTCATCAATATAGATATTATAGGTGAGCGTCATTTATGCCTTATAACCCATAAAGAATCTGAAACGGTATTACTTATTAACCAGTAACTTACTAAATAGAAATAGATAGTGACAGGTAGATATGATGATAACAGAAACCACCTTATTTCCTCATGTAGTAAATATATCCCTTAAATAACTCTGCAGATGTGATTATATACATATTGCTCACTTTAGGGGGAATATTGCACAGTCTCAATCCCAAATTTGGTAAGGGAATTATGAAAAGCCTTTGATTTTGCTTAGGAGGAAATGACTATAGAGTAAGTTGCAGAATATATATAGTACAGTATTCAAGAACTACACTACTGCAATACTCACTGTATAGTCTGATTTGGTTTAATGATTTGATTGATTGATTTTGATAGTTTAATTGAGTGATTCTATAGAAAAATATATTTAATGAATGCAGTACAGTACTTTTATGTCAATTTCTTATAACTGTGATTCTCAGCAATATTTATTTTTTCTAGATCAGGGAGAAATAGTCGGAATATAGAAAATCAAGATGACAAACCACAGCGTCAGGGGATCACTCCACAGCTCATGGACTTCCCCTGGGTGATATGGCCTAACCTCTGGCATACCATCCGTAACTGGATTTTTGCTAACCTCATTATTCACCGCTACTTAGATCAAGAATTTTCCGTATCATCCTTTAAGGCCGGAGCGATTCAGGTGAGTCTAATGTTTTATAGAATGACTTGGTCATTCTTTTGATCTATTGAATTTTATGCACTGTCAATCAAAGCTAAGTACTAAATGATAACCATCTCTTAATTTTATGTTTGTTGCAGATCTACAAATTATTTCACAGAAATTTGTGGCCAAATTGTTATCTACTGCATTAAAGAAATGGTATTGAAATAATGAACTATTGGAAATGAAAATTGAGTCATGTTGATATGTCATTCAGTTCAGGGCCCACTTGGACTAGGGGCCCTTTGGGCTCTTTGTCTTAAAAAGATGCATTTTATTGAAAAGGGGCAATTGAGTGCCAAGCTACTCATTTATACAGCATAAGATATGCCAACAAGATAAGCAACTGTAGCTAGAACAACATGTACTGGTTAGGTAGATACAGCTGTCTATTATACCTCCTGCCTGCCAAGGGCAACCTTTGCTTCCAATCCACCCTTTTAAGGAATTTAGTTGCAATAGTAACTATAAGGTTAGCTCCCAGCTTGGGATACTGTCCTAGACCTCTAAAACAGCTTGTGTATTAATAGGAGCTCTCTCTGTGGACTTAGCTGGAATAAAGGATTTCAGGATGTGTTCCCATTTTTATTCACAGGCTGTGGTGCATGTGTCGCAGGAATTATCAAAGGGAAACTTTGAGGCTCTTGTTGACCTATGTACTAAACCTACTCTAGATGAAATACGAACAAATTTTGCCAGACTCTCTCTGAAGCAACGCCTAGACCTAGCTGTGGTTGCAGAGGACGTATTTTTTTCATTTCCCTACCAGATTGGAATAATCTTCACCAATGAAGGTTAGTTAAAGAGAATAGACAAGCACAAATTCAGGATTGTCATCAGTTTTGAAATAATGAACATAAATCATTCATGCCTCAATCCTGAATTAATTGTGCCTATATAGATGAGATATGCATTGTGGGAACATTATCCATCAGTCCATTAACTTTTTAAGATATCTCTTTAACTTTTGAATCTATGAAAATCATTTAACCCAACTTTATGCAGATATATTCTCTCACTAAACAATGTGTACCATAAATTAGCTACCTTGCATCAAAGGTGAAATTCACAGATGCCAAGATGTGATACAGTAAAAGTAGTGTCATTATTACACATCTGCCCTCTAGTCCTGCCCATCCTTATCAATATCTCAGACTGTTGAATTGTTATGAAGAGTTTTACATTATTTACTTCTACACTATGTACTCATGTTTCATTGTATTTTGAATTTCTAACTAAGAACCACATGTTGCAATTTCAGGAACTGCAAATGAACGCATTTTTGTGGAGATTACAATGTGTTACCATGTGTTCAGGGGATTCCAAGACCATATAAATAGTGCAGCTGCAGGAGAATCATCTGGAGGTCTACGAGGCGTTTATGATAATTATGATCGCATCTCCATTGCAAATTACAGGTACAAGCAAAAAAGGTTTAAAGCCTCAAAATGAAATGTGGTAGTCAACAGGTCGAGGATCCTTTATCTGAAACTTCAAAAACTTTAAAAGAAATCTAAAATCCGTACTGTGCCACCTAACCTGATAGTCGATACTTAGGGTTCCCAGTTGCCCTCTATTTTCTTATGTGACATGGCTGCATCCAAGAATTGCAGTAAAACAGGAAAATCAGATAGTTTCTTTCCCAGTCAACTGCAGCCCCTATAAATTAAGAATAGAAAGAGTCCGTTACTGAAGCCGAGAGTTTACACTGCCATACCATTGTACATTCATGATTGGCTATCCTTAACTGGCAGGAGAAATTATGATTGATTTTGATTTTTAAACTTGTTTGGATAGTGAGTTTCTTCACGTTTTCATGGTTTCTCAAAATATACACATCATAAATATACTTGTACAGTCACAAGCAATGGTCTTGCAACACACACTTCCCGCATATTGTAGTTCCTTTGCTGGTGTGAGGTGGAACCTTGCCTTCACCATGCACATCAACCAATTTTAGGAGTAATTAATACAATGAATGCACCTCCCCACATATTGTAGTTTACATGGTCATTTTCAAAGTGAATATGTGGAATGTCGCACGACTATTGCTAGTGACTGTACAGTTTAATTGTTATGGTCTAAATGAAATGTCTTTCACAATTGAATATAGAACTTCCTGTTTTAATATACAGTAGTGGTATTTCTGTGACAAATTAGAAAAATGCCTGCAAAAATCAGCTCAACATTACTTTTGTCTTTACAGGTTCATTCGTGAATTTACTCAAGGTGTTAAAGACCAGTGGACTGTCACTCTTGCCAATCACTTCAAGCCCGGAGAGTTGATCCAACAACGGTGAAACAACTTGCAACATGTAGAGGTACACTCCCCTGACTTGAACAAATCTGCAATCCTAAATAGAAAAGTTCTTAATTAAAAAGTTCTGTCTTTTGGTTTTGAAACTCAGGGCATATTGTCAAGGGCAGATCCAGGGGGGCGTCCTGGGGTTCTGGACCCCCCTTTTTTTCACCAGAAAATTCAAATAATTTTTCCTTAATACAGTATTGTACTTGAGCATTTTTGTATCATAAAAGTATTTACTCTTGACTTCAGAATATCTCATAATATCAAGTACACACAACTTCAAAATGGCCTCAAAAAAGTTTTTGGGGCGGGGGCCTGTAAGCCCTCCCCCAAAACCCTACAACTGGGTGGGCTCACTGTGCTCGCCATGTTCCCCCCCTTTTGATATTCCTGGATCTGCCCCTAAAATTGTCCTCAGGAGATTTTATATTAAACATTGTATTGCCACAATATGAACTGTTATTTCAGTAAAGGGTGTACAGTAACTCAGAAAAATTGCTGAAAATTTTTAAGTGGACTGGATATGTAATAATTATGGTATGCTGGTTGTATAAAGTTATTAGAAATGGTTGGAAACTCTAAAGCTTAGATATTACAGAAAATAAAATTAGTAGTTTCAATAGGCTTTTGTTTGGGTAACTTTAGTAATTGTGTTGCTCAAAAAACTGCCTGAGTTACTAGTCATGTGTTTAATTTTGAGTGAACTATAATTTCTATTAAAAGCAAAATGTTAACCAGAAATAGCCAAGTCAATACATCTGTATAGATATATTTATCATGATTATTTAGTAATAATTTCATGGAAGATCCCAAAAATTGTGTGTAAAATGTCACAGAATTTTTTGTTGCTTATTCAAACTATTAATTACCTTTTCAGTAAATATGGGGAGAGCATATAGAAGGTAATGTTTGAAGTAATTTTATGTACAGTACAACATATATAATCATAAGTGACAGTTTCATTCAGTGTCGTGATCAGACTTCAGGGAAGTGCTATTATTCAAAATATTAATGGTACAAATAAATTTTATGTAAAAAGATATATTAATAAAATCCATTAATAAATACTTTAGTATTTTTTGCTTTAATAATTTGTAGTTACTATATAGAAATTTATTTATACAGCACTACCTGTTCAGTATTAACAGATACAGTTTTCCCTTTTTATGAATGTTTTTCCGTATAGAGAAAAATAGAAAGAATTTTATTTATGAAACTAAGTTCCGACAATGAAATTTAGCAAAACCCCAATTCATACTGCATGGTCTGCTTGAAGATTACAAACGTTCTTTTAAAAGATTTGGGGGAATTAATTGACTTGGATCATTCAAAGTAATTATCTTTGGTTGAAATGTTCACCAAGACAACCCAGAGGAGACCAAGGAAGATGGAGGCGGAAAACAAGTTGAGGGAGACGAGGATCCACTAAATTGAACCTTTACTAAGATCTTCTCAGTAGTCTTCATGCTTTCTTGACTGGTCTTTGCATATCCTTCTTGTCACTCGTTGTTAAGATGGAAGCATAAAATCTTACACAACTTGTGGCTTTTAAACAGGCCAATGATTCCATCAGATCAAGACACACCTTGATGTCCTGTATTCCTCACCTCTTGCAGCCATACTATTCAATCTACAGTATCAGAGATTGCATTCTGTTCACACTCCTTAGCATGGTAAATCTCTGCTTGGCCTCCAGGTACTCCTCCTTGTCAACACCCATCTTCCAGGCCTTATTTGATCATCTTTTGTCCTTTATTGCCTGTCCACTTCATTGTTCCACCCCCATTACTGCATGCTTGGCTGGGCCCTGTTCAGCTACACTTAGCCAAGAAAATTGTTTCAAAGGTTTAATTCAATTGAGGTTGTGATGATCAAGTAAGCAAGCTTGAGTGAGGGCTACAAATAAAACAATACAAAGTTCCTGAAGAGTATAATGCACCAATAAATATACAATGTGAAGTATTAGGAATATAGAGAATAGATTTGTGCCATAAACACCAACAGTTCTGAAAGAGCTTATAATGTTTACAGCCAACTGAAGAGAGTAAATAAATAATGTACCTGTAAAAAATTATGAATTAATTTCACAATAAGAAAATATAACTGCAACTGTGTCTATATTCAGTTCTGACCATCTCTACTTTATGTATACAAGTGTTGTCCTTTTTCATTACTTTATCACATACATTTCCAAGGAGAAATGCACCTCTACATCAGTGATATTGTCTTTAACTGATTTACAATTTGTTTACATATTCAGCAACACCACTTTATATTCCTCAAATAATTAGCAACACTCATGTATTTACTGCATTGTTCACATACTGTACTTAGCAACACTTGAGTATAAGTTACAGTACTTCTCAAGCCATACACAAGCTGCCGTTCGACTAGAATGAGTGAGATGAACTAGAAATTCAATGCAACTATTTTCCTTGGTTGGCTATACTATATAAACTGACAAGCTGCACTGTCTTCTCAACATGTCAAAGGAAACTTTTTATTTCTTCAATGTTTAATACCTGGCTGTCACTGTTACTATATTCTCACTAAACTAACTTAGTTTGTCAAAGACAATGATCATCCTCCTTGTGACACATATATACCCAGTTATGAAGATCTGGCAGACAAATACGTTAAGATAAAATGAGTATCTGCAGACACGAGCCCAGCGGACATTAAAATATCGCACTAAAATTGTTTCAACGTCAATTTAACTGAAACAATGTTGACTGTTTGTCGGGAGGATGCCAACATACACGTTTGTTGAGAAATGAACAATTCAAGATTATGTTACACTGTGAACTGTAAAAATATCAAACATATTATTAGAGTACAAGAGGTGAACGCACAAAAAACGTTCAGTAACTCCTTGGATGGTGTAACCACAGAGGTACTATAACATTCATTAGACAATGATATACAGGTATTTGCATACAAATACACATCAAGTTATCTATGACAACACAAGTCATGAAGTAAATAATGTATGAAAATTATAGCTAACAAATTACAAATGCACTTTTGGATGCTTTAAGATATGCTCAAGACCAATTACCTAAAAATTGTTTCAGATCTTTTTTTTCCTTCTTAGAAGAAAACCTACAGTATGTATATATCTTACCATGGTCAACATTACACATTTTGGGTTCTAGTAATATAAGTACACTTATTCCAATACAAGATAGTGGCCATGCAAGTCATTAGCTTCACAACAGTTCATGATGACTAACACCATCACTGAAGCACACAAATCTAACTTGAGTAATCTGTTTAATTAAATAAACTGTAATCAAACATCTTTGACTATTATAATCTGAATATTGTCACAACTACCCGGTACTGTATTTTCATATCAAAGTAAATCCTTCAGGTTATGAACAAACATTTCTTTAACAAAACAACAGGAAATCTCATTGAATTTTATACTATATGCTGATATACAGTACTTTATATTCGGTCCATGACTTCAATTTACCTCCATTTTGATTACACAGGTTCCTAGGGATAAGCCAACTTAAAAAATGAGGGGGGGAGGGGGTGAACGTGATGTTCTCCCTGGCAAATAATGTGACCCACTGTAATCATGTTGGTCTTGCTCATATACTCATGGTAACTGTAACATTATACGCCTTCATCAATAGTGTGCTTCATGCCACAAGTTGGTCATAAATTGTCACACATCCCCCTACCATCCAGGACACCTTGATATACTGTATCACTATTGTTTCCCATCAAGTAAAAATAAAATCTTTTATTTGGGCTTGATGCCACTTGGTTCACAGACTGCATGTAATGACCAACTCTCAACTTATCTTTGTGACTTACACTGCCATGCAAGCCTGGGTACATCTCCACTTCAACAAGTGGTGATAAGTTTAAGGAACCACATTAAAAGTAACTCCATCAGAATCATTAAAAGTACTTTGCACATTTTAGTATTTTAGAAATGATTAAGCCAAGTAAACCACAATGACTTACTGTAAAGTAGATCGTATTTACACACAGTATTTTGTAATAAAATCTACAGTAACTAATTTCTCAAACAAAACATTTGTCCATTCAACCTATACTTCAGAGAAAATTTAATTTATACAAACAAGTTTGTGTAAGTTTTGTATCATTAAAATCTATGTTGTAAATAAAAAATATACTCTAAAATCTAGCACAGTTACCTGCTAACAGTTTTTAGCTGTACTAATCCTCTGGAGACTACTAACTTATAATTACCGTATAGTGTAAAAGCAGCACTCATGACCGAGGCAAATATCTACTCCTTTACCAGCCTGTAGTAAAACTGTGAGGGATACAAGTAATAAGAATAACTAACAGACCAACCAATCCCATTACTGTACAGTGTTATATGTTGTCTCCCACAATCATCTATGTGGGTGACCCTCAGGCAAGAATTAGCTTAGTCTTGGCCTTTAACTTGTTATGCCGAGCCACTCAGAACAAAACTAAAACAGCTTACAACCCGTTTTGAACATAAGCACTACCTGAATTAGTGCAATAAGGCAGAGACTATTACAACTGACCATGTGGTGGATTCAAAGTCAAATACAACTCCCTCTCTTAAGCCAATTCCCTTTCCACTAAACATGGCACACTGATAGTAATTACAAACGTCCTTCAGTTTTATTTTCTAAATTTGAGTCACCATGAAACATTGCTATAGAAAGGCATATCCAAAAAATAATAAGTCAGTAAAAACGGATAAATCTGTAACAATTATTTTTGAATAGAAAACTATGCAAAACATATTGTAAATGGCAGCAACCAGGTGTGAATGAGCACTGAAGCTACACCAAAAAGTTCCTTCTAGTACACAGTGATACATTTTTCATCAAATAAACAAGCAGCCCAAACTTTAACCTCTCAAACATCATCTCTTGAACTGAACTAATGAGTACTGTATACAAAATATATTGGAGACAAACGAGCTGTTTCCACAGAACCCAAGACTCAACTCCTCTTTCATTATCTGCACCATGTGAAAGAAGCTGTTGATGAATTTCAGAACGAATCTTTTAAGAAATATTTTAGATGAATATTATATGATGCTAATGTATAAGTTTTAGATAATTTCTGACAAGCATTAATTTCAAATGTTGACATGTCTATCAAAATGCATATTGCATGAAAATGTAAGCAAATATAAATTCAAGATCATTTTAGTAATTAAAAAGTCACCAACAATATTGCTTAACATGTTTTATGCAAATGACAAATGATTCTGAATTACCTCACTTTCAAACAAAAATATTCTGTACTTGTAACTGTACAACAAAATTCCAATGTGTTGCAGATCTTCCACAGATGCATATCACTGCTACATGCAAAATGAAGAGACTATAAAGTACAATATTAGTTACAAAACCTAAAATATATTTTCAGACTGCTTGTCACTTAAAGTGTAAAACCAGGTGAATATTTTTGTCAATAGGTCCAGCCAAAATGAATAACACTTTGCTTCACAATGATGAATGATAATCTATTAGTATATAGTATACTTAACCTTTGGTTCAGAGAGTTTCAGAGGGGATCAACCACAGGTTGCATGCCACAGGTTATATTTCCATCAAAATTCCTAAATCATTGAGTCACTAACATCTCATTGCATGCACATTATATCTTAACAGTGATGAATAAATGTTCTGCAACAACAGTTGGAGACATGAGTTGTGACCATGACTGTTCACACCGACCTATTTCAAATCATTAACAATAACCCGAGTTACCACAAAACTGATTAAATAAATGTTTTCTCCAAAAGCTGCTACAAGGATGGGAGAGATCCATTAGTACAATAATGTTACTATTATTTAAGTATAGTATACTTTAAGTAAAACAATGGATGCTGTATCTATAACCATATCAACACAGGCAACACTGGCAAATACTTCATCCCAGCAACACAAAAATGTAGTGTTTTATGCAATTAAATACAGACCATAATAATTAGCTTTAAAAATAGTACTAAATGGATTGGGATGTTAATTATTTCACAAATGTCCTTTTCTGTAATTTTTGCAGTTATTAATAAATTCCCATCACCTGGTTACAATGAAACATTCCTCAATATATTGTGAACTAGGACCACAATGGCTGGTTGATTACTTGGAGGGTTGTTGACAAGTACATATACATATAACTGTTAACAATTTACACATGTCAAGAGCTAGTCAGAGTACAGGTTAGGAGGGATGTATGACAGAGACCTAGAGCTACAAAAAGAGGAGTAACATGAGAGTCTAACTGATGCCCCATGATATAAGGTGCCAACTTATATACCTGTGTCAATATATATACAGTATACTACTATATATAAACACAGCAGCACATGATAGCAGTCCTGTAGAGTACTGGCTAGTAGATTACATCTTAGTAAAGCAAGCAAGATTATTATGTACAAAACCAAATGTTTAAATTTGGCAATCATGAGTAATATACATAAATGTTTGGTAAATTTGACCAAAATGTTGTCAAAGTAAATGATGAAATACACTACATATGGAACCCTACTCTACAGTACATCACTGGATAACATTTTACATTTGACAAGTTCTCATAACTTATTTTACCATATGAAGTTGAATGAATCCCTTAATATATAAGTATTACAAATACTGTCTGCCAGACTAAAAAAAAAAAATTATGAAAACAAAGAGATTCTGAAAAATAAAGTTGGTTATCGTCAAGATCTGCAGACCTAACAGCAATACTCTGCAGTAGTCTAAACATAATCCAGTTTTTCTATGTAGGTTAATATCATCATGTAGACATTATTGTAGTACCTGGCCAGGTTTTCTTTCAGTAAAAAATGGCTTAGCTGCTGTTATATCAGTTGATGGTCAAGGCAGCCTTAATGATTGCATGTATGTATATATATATATATATATATATATATATATATATATATATATATATATATATATATATATATATATATATATATATATATATATATATATATATATATATATATATATATATATATATATATATATATATATATATATATATATATATATATATATATATATATATATATATGGGTAATATTTTTTTTTGCATTGAAGAGCATGTAAGACTTCAATAAACTAAAAGACAGGCAGTCTTCAAACATGGTTATTGGTAATGCATTACTACCCTACCTTTTTTTCTTTTTTTTTCTTTTTTTTTCTTTTGTTTTTCTTTTATCAGGCAGGCCGGGCAGCTCCCATCACTATTAGAGCTCAAGTCCAAATATCACAGATATGCAACTTGCAATAAACTGGCAAATAAATTCAAGCATGTTAAAAAAAAAAATACACAAAATTTCTTTGGTGCAAGGAAGAAATACATAAGAAAACAAGAGACATTGAATATCAAGAAGCATAGTAGAGATCAAGCAAAGATTCTGCCTTGTACAAAGACAAGAATCATTACCAGTGCCAAAAACTGTCCCATTGTATCATTACTTGGATCAGTCATCACCACCCATCACATCAGTCACTGGGTTAACCATCACACGGTATAAGACACATAAGGGGTCAATGTTATGTTGTGACTAGTAAATTTCACTAGCGAGTGTAATCTTAATTGGGTCCTATTCAATGGCAACACATAACTATAGTTGTCAGGATTTTTTCATTCAACACAACAGCCCATTTTTTCTTTTTTCTTAGGATGACCACCTGCTTAGCCGGATATTGATCCCCTTCAGTCATATATAACACATGTCAGCACTGTACTGTACCAAATATTCTTCTTTTCTCATCACACACCAGATCATACTGTATCCCTATAAATACCAGATTCAAGATTTCTTCCTTTTATCCTGCATTAACAGATTCATTAAATACATCTCCCTCCCTCACCCCAGTCTTCAAATCAAATTAATAACCCTTTATGCCAATTAATTGTATTCACATGTATAAACAAACCTAAAGTTCTCTTGTAAAGTCAAATCAAGACCAGTCTATTCTGCAAGCATTCCCAAACCCTCCCTAAAAATATAAAATAAATTAATTTACACAAAACTGAGACGAGCAAGAATAAGGTACCTTCGTTAATGAGGTTATCATATATAAATAAAATTTTCAGATCTTTCAAAGAACACACTGACAATTACCAACCAAGGCAAAGAAGCACATAAGCATCACCACTTGTTGAAATAACAATAATACAAAGCAAGGCATCACACCCTCCCCCATAGCACAAGCATCTCTCTCCCCCATTCTATCATGTAATCAGTCTTGTCGCGGGTTTGACTAGGAGACCACCAGGAGCCCACGGTCAACCCCTTTTACCAGACACAGACTCGACTATGGGACCAGCCAGGCTTGATGGATATCTCGCCTGACCAGACCACCATCGAGAGGCTGTAGTGAGTAATGACATTGTGATACATAAATTTACATATTTTTGCTGGATTTTTCTTTTCCTCTATCTGTGTAAAAAGAAAGTTTATTTAGCAATCTTAAGTAGCAACTCTCCATACACTTTAGCATAAAAACTATTGCCTTCATCAGATCTGCACCAAAATATACACATTTATGGAACACTACTCAATTATTGTTCTTGTTTTAAATGCTTCAACTACCAGGGTATCATCATCATCAATGCTTTATGCCCAATTTCCATGCCTGTGTGAGTTAGCTGCAATTACCTGATTAGACCAGAATGGGCCCCCAGATCACCAATGGAAATCCAGGTATTGGCATGCTATCTAAGTGAGAATGCAAGAGACCAGGGGATGGGCACGGCTCGGGTGACCAAGTTGCCATCAGCCATGTTTAAACACAGTTTTACAGTAAGGAAGCATCACCGACTTGATACTAATCTCCACTAATTATTATTTAAAAAATTCAGAACTGACAAATGAAATACAAAAATAAAACTATACAGGGTATTTTGCAATTTGACTGATGCAATCAATTCAATTCTTATAAGGTTTACTGGTTAAAAATACTTTTCCTATTAAAAACAAGTTAAGTATTCTCTTTATTGATTGGATTGTGTTAATATGCAAAGCTAGTTAAGTTTGCTGGATCCTGAACACCTATGGTAGCACACTGTCATCTTGTTCAACCCTACACTTATAACAGAGCCAGCAAGACAAGGATCTTATGAAGGGAGAAAAGCTTTAATTACATAACCAATCCACCAATTTAGAGGGCAAAGGAGTATATCACATGCCTTTGCATTACCTATAAAGTGTACTTCTGTTTAAAGCTGTGCTTGTTAAAATTTAGCATTTATCCCAATGCAGAAATGATGAGGCTTTCATGCAAATGCCAAAATGTACTTGATTAAACAGATGGGACTCTCAAAATGCCGATATAAACCACCTTCTCAAGTGTGTATTGAGTTCAACACAATTGAGTCTTTCTATCATGTCACACTTTCTGTAATATCACACATTACATGTTGAAAAACACAAGTGTTTTTATTCTCTTTGAAGAATGAATTTCCTTAGTATTTCAATCACATATAATTCTGATCTAAGAGTGTGTCAAGATCACAACTTGGACATATCAGGACATATTCTGGCTCACTTTTGAGCATCAGTGAGTTTTCTGGCCTTTACAAAATTATAAATGAAGGTTTTTCCAACACAATCATATATGCACTTATTACAGTGTCTACACCAAGAAATCAATTATCAATAAAAACAATGATAAACACTTATTTACACCAGAAGAGCAACACTTTATGCCAGCAGAAATAATGAGGAAACACAAAAAACTTGCTGTGTACAATGCAAACAACAAACACCAAAAAACAATTACAGTGTGGTTTCAAAACACTGATACAGTAAAGTCAATCTGCTACCGATTTAACACTGATCTGGTAAATCTAAAATATTTATTCTTGCACACAACATCTATCCTGTAGGTGCTCTTAAATGGCTTATGAATCTAGAACTAAAGACAAACTATAAAATAATTTCCTTTTGATTTGAATATGTCAAATATTTTAGGGATAACTGACTGGTTAATCAAAATGCTACCAAATTGGGTTAACTTCAAGAATACTACTACATACAGCACATGGTAAACAAAATCCCATTTCATTAAGAAACATCCTTTACAACCTTAACTTAACCTAACCTTATCCACATTATGTTGGGCTTGGTTAATTAAGTTACTACCAATGCTATCAATATATAATTTGTATTATTCTGTATTTGTTTACACAATAGTTCCCATGTGCAAATTAGTTGGAATTTTTTTGAAAATCAGAACTTTACTGAAATTTTTTCCTACTGAACATAATTTCTTTCACAAAACATCCAAGATCGTCATCATTAACTTCTTTCTACCTTTACTGATGTTTTACAAACCACACCAATTAATTTTCTTAACCTACAGACCTGGGTTTTGATTCTTAAAGGTTTGTACAATGATTATCCCTTGTAAATGAAGATGTAAGAATACTATATAAATTGAAGTACAAAAGTAACAAACACAAACAGCATCAATGATTCTACCAACTATATATTTTTCAGCAATTAGATGACAAAATAGTCCTTAAAGTGGTGATAGGTTAACATAAGTAGTTAAGATAATCTAAGTGTAATTCTTATGCCATTTTTGTGCTTTAGCTTAAATCAACCACTGGGATGTGTTTTTACATTCTCAGTTACGGAGAATATTTATCGTACAAACTTTGAGATCCTAAATCCTGAGATGTAAGCCAAAGCAGACACACCAATACATTGCCAGGCTTGTGCTGTATGTAAATAAATATCTGATACTGAATTATAAATAAAATTAAACATTTTCTGGTGAAGTGATCATGGTGAATGCTGAAGGAAAGCAGCGAGTAATTTAGGTTTATAAATAGATTTAAATTAAATTCATGAAGTTATACCTGCATCTGATCAAAAGCTTTCCAAGAATAAATTTTCTTTGCTTTCAAGCATAATGAAGACTGGATATTATTTTGGACTCACACATGTACAATTATACCTTTTGATTTTATCACTGAATATTCCTCTGCACTTATTCACACCATTACGGAAAATGGTTCATCACGCAGCATCTCTTAAACATTATTGGGACAGATTGTTCAAAACTTGTTCCTTAAGCCACATGCCAAATCAAAATTACATGCACCAATTATGTTTTGCATTAGAAATTTTGAGAAAAACTGTTCATAAAATGCAAAATGCAATGCTATTTATTAAAAAAAGAACAAATTCTCCAGATGTAGCACACTCTTGAGCTAAAGGAAATAAAAGTTGATTTACCTCATCATGCAAGTCTACCAAGAGATCCAATCCAGCGTTTCTGTTACACAGCCACATACTCCCGCATACACACGACAGATAAACGCCAATACACAGCACAAACACAGCGCCATCACCAGGTCTTCCCAAGCTCTCTCCGAGACACCATAACTGTCCCGGCTTAAAGAGTACACCATGCGGGATCCTGGGAAACCACTGAATCGTCTTAACGAGTACATAACTGGGGTGAGGAACTGTAAGGCATTATCATCCTCGAAATGAATCAGGCATAGCTCGAGCTGCTTCCAGAGGGAGGACGGTAGGCGCCATAATATTCTCTCGTACGTGCACGGGTGCATGGAGGCCTTCCACTGAATATTTTTCTTGCGCAGGAGGCAGCTAAATCTGTATGGAACATTTCTTTCAAGCATCTTTGAATGAGATTTCATGGAGGTGTGGCTATGACAGGTTCTGCCTAAACAATACCTTTTACTTGAAGAACTCTTTCTGAGGCACCATCTCTTATAATCTGGTTGGGTTTTTTGGCATACAAGATTTGTAGAGGAAGAATTAGGGCAGGAAGCCTGTTGTTTATTAACACAACAGAAAGTGCTGGATAGCACCTTTCTTAGAGGAGTTCTAAATAAGGATGTCACACAGCGCTTGACTTGAGGCCTATAGTGATAGCAGGTGCGTCGAGCTCCAAAAGGCCCGAGAATGAGACAGGATCCCTTGTCCATGCTCAAGTGCAGTGATTCTTCAATACTTACTAGTTGTGCTACCGAACCACTCCTCGACTTCTCTGGAGTCGATACTTCATCTTGAATACAACTGTAACCTTTTTTTATGCAACTTTCCACAACTTGTGAATTTCTAGTTGCATCATCACTCTCAGTATGACTATCATTTACTTTCTTAGCCACTTGTCTCTTTGGTAGCATTTTACCAACGTCACTTCCTACGGTTTCTCCAATGCCACTTCCAAAAAATCTGGGATCCTCGTCATAATCATCTTCGAACACTGTAGAGCTTCGTGGAGTCCACACAGATCTGGTTATTTGGGAACCAGACCGCGGGACTTTGGGTACATGGAACTGTCCGGCACCTGCGATGGGGGGCGCAACCCACTCTTGAATCTGCAAAAGGAGATTATAGGTGAACCTGGGAAAAACTGCATCTCATTTACCACCTACATAAGTGACAATGCCTACTTCTATTTACATAATGTGTAGACGTCTTCATTATCCGTATAGAAAAAAATACAATGCTTCACATCCTATTTTACTGTCTTATACAATAACAGACAGTATAAAAGGAGACAACTGCAGTATCTGGAGCACTACACACACAGACGACTACCCAATATACTGTACCTGCAAATTAACACAGGGGTCAGAATTATCTTTATTATTCACCTGCTCATTAAGCAACTGAAGTAAGTGGTAAAATTCTGACATCACCTGACATTTGTAACCACAAGGGACTTCCTAACCAATACTTATATGTAATTTATTTCTGTTTACCACATGAGGAAATCCAGATCCTTCCCCTACATACTTATTTAAGAAATTAGGTGGTAGTGGCAATGTGCAATTAGTCCTTTTGTTGTAAAATAGCTGAAGTTCAGAAAGTATACTTCAATTATTGCTATAAACCTTTGTGTATAATGAGTTAACCCCAATTACAATGTCAAAATACTAAAGAGAGTAAGTCATTGTAATAAAAGAGTTAAGATATTGTGCCCATGGAATATGGTCACTGTATTCAAGGATGTTACCAAAAAACAACAGAAATTCTTGTACTCAATGTGTAAGTAAAGACTTCTAGAGGCTGGTTCAACAATCACAGTGATGATAATGTTTTATAAGTTGTATTGTGCACTGTACTTGAAACAACACCAACCACCTTAAACAATCTCAAAAACACTCAGCAAGGTGTAAAATGAGATGAAAATATACAAGTAATTCAGACAATCTCAGAAATGACTCTTCTACTTCTGCTTAAATTTTTTCTTTCTTGAAATACTGAACACAGGAACACCACAGAATAGTTACAATTTAACCATGTACCGTATCTACTAAGGCTCACTTTTAGGGAGGTCAGTGGTGTAGAGGTACAGTTGTCTAGTTACCTTACACCACTGGAGTCTGGGTTCAATTCCCACTTGGGTTGAAAGTGAGAAAGATATTGTCCAATGTGATCCTACCAAACATCACAGGTTTCGTCTGGGTATTTGGGTTTCCCTGTGCTAACACTCATAGGGAATGGCCCTCATTGGACCTCCAGAAGACCAGTTGACTTTAACTAAAACCTAAAGAGCTATCCATCATAGGTATTATCACCATTCAGTTAACGTGGCCAAACATATGCTCATCTATAACCCAGACTTCTAGTAGTCACCTCTTAATGTACACAGAGACTACAAAGGATCTCACAAGACTTGACTAGAATTGCACTATCAAAAAAGTATGAGAAACATAAAACAATACTTAGTTATGATACTTTTCTGAGAGCATGTATTGTGCTTCATACTGTGATGCTACAACATGGTAAGCATCTCTTTCATAATGATGGCTGTGACTTGTGATCCAATTCAGAGTTAATAAAATTTCTATATAGAGATTCATGAAAATATTATATGAAAAACAGTGGCTTAATACCACTTCATATATAAACATGTATATGTATGTAAATAGCCATGGCCCTTTGTAAAAACTTTAAAATGATATACAATGAACTCACTTAAAAGATAAAACAGGTAATAACTTAAAGATATATTTGTAACGATTTATATACAATGCTGTTATTAAAGAAAGCCTTTTGTTGTTAGTAATATTGATCAAGTGCTGTGGATTAATAAATACATATACTGGCAGCTGTGTGGGAGAGTCACAGGGAAGAACAGAAGGAACATTTAACAAAGCATCCTCTCCATCAGCCACATTCTCATTTAAGAGGAAATAAAAACCAAGAGAGAAGAGATGCTGAAGTTCCCACTGAAAATGTCCTGAAGTTTTCACAGATAATGTCCTGAAATTTTCATCATAAATGTTCTGGCTTTACTGGATGACTTACAAGATGACACACCTCATAGCAAAGCTCACTGAACCACTGAAATTGAACTGTAAAATTATTAATCTTTTCTTAGTCACCCATGCCATCATCTCCGATAATGAAGGACAAATGGAGTTTAAAGATTCTCCCCATCCATGCAGGGTCACCTAACACAAGCCAATGAATGGAAAGATGAGAGAGAAAGTGTATCAACACAACATGTAAAGAAGAAAAGGCATAACAGTTAAAAGTATTTCTCAAATATTTCATTATCTATTTCATATGGATCATGGCAATTGAAAGGGAAAAATTATTCATTTCAATCCTTGCAAAACTGTATCAAAGACTGGTATTGTGCATCTGCTACTTTATGGTGCTTGCAACAGGCCACTGCACAAAGCTACCAACACGAATACGTTGAGGTAAGTTAGGAAGCTACGACAAGACAGACAACAGTCCATGTTATGCCAAGGGATAGCTAAGATCAGGTCAAACATTCACATTATGAAGCAAGGTCAGGTCACATTTCCAGATTACAGAGGAGATAAATCAGGTAACCAGGTTAGCTCCAAAGGCTGTGTGAAACTGTACATTTCCAATTCCCAGTTTGGTTAGGACAAAAGACTTAGAATTTGCAATACCTCAGGAATGATTGTACTCATGGTTTGTTTGTAATTTTTTATTACAGCACCAATCTCATCATTAGCACATGGGGGCAACCTGAAAATGTTGGAAAAATTATCAGCTTAATCCTTAACCAATTTTGAATGCCACAATGCTTCTCATAACAACCCGCTGTACTAAACATGGGGCTTTGAACTCAATACTTTTCTTTAGGGGGTAACATTAGCTGATGAGAACTACACAGAGAGAACAAAAAATCTTTTCTCCAAACATTTGAGTTAATGCAGTTTTGTCTTTTTTACTGTTGGGGAAAAAAAATAAATGTTTGAAGAAAAGTTTTGCAAGAAAAAGAACAGCCATCGATTTAATAATTGTATGAGGGAAAACAGGAAGGATTGTATTCCAAACTGACATCAATAATAAGCAAATGAATACAACTATAAAAAAAAATAAAAACATTAATCAATAAAAAAATAAAGTATTAGCATTAGGTTAGAAGACAATGATCAGTTTTGTGAAGTGTGCCATAAGTGTCTCAAATTCATACACATGTAATAAGCAAGACATCTGTGATCAACAAAATATAAGAAACATCAACATCATCAAATGCAATAAATCTTTGTGCTTAAGATAATGTTATCATTTATTCGTGCATTTATAAAAGGTGCATAAGAAATGATGCAGACATACATGGAATGGGGAAAAAATATAAAGAAGAATTAGAGAAGACTAAGAAGTAAATTTATATCCATCCACTTACAAGAAGGTTTTGTATACAATGAACATTTTGTGGAACGACAAACTTCATACCCACATTATCAACATTCACAACTTACTTTCCTTTGGTCTTCTCCTTCCGGGTTGACCTGACTGCCTGAGAGCGATTTAACGTAGCGAGGGAAGCATCAATGCTGAGGTCTTCGTCGAGAGGCATGAGAGCGGCCTCCAGTGCGGCAGCGACTAGTGGTGCCACTAAGGGGCCTTCCCAGTCTCTTGTCGTACGCACGGCAGGATCCAACTCGACAACCATAATGTTTTCACCCTGAATAACGTTGTAAATTTAATGTACTATTAACTACTAAATCACAAAATCTTAAATACAATAATAATTGTTGATATCGATATAAAACTGAAGCCATAAGTGTAAGGTGAGGAATATATGGTTGAGGTTTGTAGTACCTTGTATCTTGGGTTGTGATCAACAGATGCCTGCATCTTGGCATACTCGGAGGTCGGTCTCCGGGAAGCCGACGACACCGGTCTCTTCAAGGTACCGCCTGTTTGACGAACCACTGGCCGGAGCTAAAACAGATTGTTATTATATGAATACAACATCAAGTTGCTTGAAAAAGATTACTGGAGATAGAGGGCATCAACTGTATGTTGAAAAGAGTAAAACTTTAAAACAGTGATTCTTTATCTACAGTGCCTTATGCTCTTAAAACTAGAATATGTCTTTCCACTACAAAGGTAAATATCTAAAGAAGGTTCTGATTAATGTGTATTCAGACAGATGATATGATGAAGAGAGATAATAAAGGAGATATGTAGTGATAGGGAAGCCTGAAGGCTCTTCTGTTAAGGGACCCTTGGAGGAAGCTAACCTTGAGGAGTGAGGCAATGAAGCTAAAATGACAAGATATACTACAAAAGGTATGGTCAGGACTGTTGACACATGATAACTTTATGAATACTGAACATTTAGGACAATACTGTAATAAGAAAAAGAAGTTCAGCTAACTTTACAACAAGATAAACATGATGAAAGGAGAAAATTATAAGATATGCAGTACATTATTGTAAATCAAAGCCCTCTATGACTCCCTCTACTACATCTCCCTAACTCCATCTTGACTCTTCTATCCCATCTTCCAAACTCCTGTCCATAGTCAGTGATTTAGTTCATTTTCTGAGGGAGAAACACAGACCCATCTTAGCTCACCTTCCAGATGTCCTCATCATCATCGAAAAATGCCCGGGAGAGAATTTTTCGTTTTTCCTCCGGGGAAATGAAGTTCTCAATTATGAGGGCCTTCAGTTTTAATTCTCTGAAAGCAATAAATAAGGTTTGATAAGATTTCTGTGGTTAGAAATTAATTTAGAATACATCCCTAAATAATGCATTCATTTATATGGGACTTCAATCTTAACACTTTGAAAGCAAAATTACACATTGCTTAGACATTAATTATGTGTAGTGTAGGTGTGTGTTCATGAAACATGTGGCATATCCCTCAGTACACTATTTTATTTAAAGGTTGAATACTTCACTGGATTCTCATAATAAGCTAAATAATTACAATGAATGGCCCTTTCTGTCACACCTCATATGAAACAAACTGGAAACACATCCTGATACATTAACATAGTTTTCTGTAATTATAAGCATTTCAGCAAGTAATCTAGAACATTCAAACTTCTGAGAACCTTGTGAGCACATCCTGGGTGTGTTGGAGGTCCACACGATCTCTGCAGAACTCTTCGTGGAGGTCACCCATCTCCTGCTTCACAGACTGTAACTTGGCAAACAATTTTTTCAGTTTGCGAGTTTTAGCCTCAACTTCTGCTTGTAATGACGAAAAGGTAGATGCAATCTCACAGGATGAATCTTCTTCCTTCTCTAATAACTGTAACATTTCCCGTTCTCGTTTCTGTATGAATGGAAGTAAGAATACCAAGTTTAGATAAGATCATCATCGGAAATGTCACAATCCATATTACTGAAACTTTCTCACATAGGAACATAATCAAGAAGCAGTGAATAAATGAAACAATAAAATACTATAGCATACATATAACATTTTAGATTTAGCCAATGCATTTAACTGAAATTTTTCCTTATGTTGAAAAAATTGAATATCTTATACTATATAATGCTGCTCCCTGCAATGTGAGAAACAGGTACATGTTACACACACGCACCTTCTGTTCCATGAGCTCCTGTGTTCTCTGTTGTAACGCTCTCTGCTGCTCATTGGTGTGGTCGATAATGTTTTTCCCGCCAGACAGAAGCTTTGACTCCATGGTCTGGATACGGCTCATGAGCTTTTCTTGGACCTCTTTAGTGGCAGTCAACTCAGCCTCCTTGTTTTTCAGTTCCGTTAAGAACCGCTGCTTTTCCTGAAATAGAAACGTAGAGAGATAAGCAGGACATTCTCAGAGACACTGTCATGGTGAAAATTATTTTGAGTTATCACCAATTAGCTTAGAAGTAATAGTTTAGGGACAGACATTTACACCATGAGAGAATATTATAAGTATCGAGAATGACCACCAACAACAATGAGAGTTTCCCCGACCTCTCCAATCATGTGTTGATCATTGAGGATGCGGTTCCTCTCTTCATCCAGCTCCTCCTGCTGCTGGAGTATACTTTCTTCATCAACACCACCTTCTTCATCCTCCTCTTCCTCTTCATCCACATCCCCTTCCTCGTGTTTCTTTTTCTTTTTCTTCTTCCCTCCACGTTGCGTAAGTTGAGCCTATGGAACACAACAATGCATTACAATCAATGAACAAATAACTAATTTTCTCATAATACTACACAAAAACAAACAGGCATTTTATGGTGCTGCCATGCATTATGAGCAAAGGATTACTGTGCAATTAAACAGCAAAAGAAGAGGGAAAGATGTGTCTCCTGTCCACTGGAGCACTACGGGAAACAGGGAGAAACCATAAGCCACAACCTCCCTGCAGTGGTGCTATGAACATGTGCGTCTCCATCAAATCTCAGACTGACATGACATATGGAATAAATACTAATATAGGTTTTGGTAATAGTCTGCTGTACAATATTTTACATGAGTTAAGAAGTTGGAGGTTTTGTTGTTTACTTCTATACACCACACTCAAAGGTCTTCATGTTATCTTTTACAGGTCATCTACTCAACCTCTCTCTCTCTCTGGACTATCTTGTACAAGTCATCTATTCATAACCTCTCTGGACCATCAGGTGAAGATACAACAATTTTACCAACACTTTCCTCCAGACTAGTACTGTAAGGGTATTCAACTAACTATACTGTACCACTTAATTAGTTAATGTCAGTTCACACGCAAGAATTGGCCAACTGCATTAAGGGATTTTATTTATCGTTGTATTGCTTAAACGGCTTGTTACAGCGCCATATAAAAGGGAGCAGTCGAGAATGGAGGAACAATGACTAATACCCTCAAGCTTCACTAATTTGACACTGTATTTGTAATTTGATATTTTGGGCAAAGTCATTGTTATTTGTTGGGTCTGTTGTCCTAAAAAACTTGTGTTATTGTGGAAATTATTTCATATATTTCCATGGAAAATTAGTGATCTGTAAATAAAGCCTTGCAACAGCCGGCACTGGGAGCATTATAGAACTTTCGTATGTTTGGATGGTTAGCTTCTGCACTCATTCATCGTTGCTGTCAGGGGTGTCATGGATTTCTCTCTACAGTATTATGAATAATTTGCCTGATGAGCGTAAATGGCCATCAGATGATTTCACCTGGTTGTGACGAGTTGACTCTTTCTCGTAAATCACTTTAATCCCGGTGAATTAGTTTATATAAATAAACTAAGATTACATTACAACTGCACTGTAACTATTAATTTTATGAAATAACACTGAGTTGTCCATGCGAACTATAAACTAATAAATAAGAAAAGAGATACGTGTCAAACTGTGATTGGTTCCTATAGTTTTAACCAGGACACGGGCCTGCGGGAGCTCCTTACACCACTACTCGTCACAAGCAGGTGTTCCAAAAGAAGGACCAAGCTCAGTTTATCTATTGCATTATATACAGGTAGACGTAGACAAGCTTCAACACTGGCTGAGCCTCAAGAGAACTAGATTACAAAAAGGAAATTTTCAAAATATTTAGAGATGGCAGGAATGCAGGTAAAAAATCAGATAAAATTAAGTTGAGTTGTATATACCAGTACTATCCAGGAGTTGAGATGGAGTGTTTTAAAATGTATGTCAGTCACGTAGCTACATCAAGAAACTCGTCAATCACAATGGGGAGATTACACGGCACGATGGCTTCTTTTCCCATACACAAGATCATTTTTTACATAAAATTTGTACAAAGATTACTAACATAACTAACCACTATATTACAAACACCAAGTAGCACACAAACACACACGTAGTTTCTAAATTTGTCCACATACTTTACATTACTAATTATCTACTATTATTATTAATATGATCTTATCAACCTGTCAAACCATGCAACAATAATTTCTAACTACAAACCCTACCAATTCAATAAGTCCATGCAGTATCTAAGCCTGGGAAGTTAGTTCTGTTCATTTGTATTTCTTCACTTTTTTTCAGGTATTCTCCTCATATTACACAATTGGCCAGAATCAAAGTCAAATACGGATTCTTCCTTAATTTGTTTCCATTCACTCATTCTTACTTCTAAAACAGATGTGCCCAACTATTGTCTTCCCATTCCACACGGCCACAAATATACATCTGGTTTACCCTTGTCACTCCACACAACCTAGTACTGTATCATCCATCTGCAGTACATCCACCCCATTAACCACTTGGCAGCATGTTCTCTCATCAATCAAATATTAAGCTATTTTCTACAATCAAAATGAAAGGGTGTTAAATAAAGCATTTTCTCTTAAACACTTTACAACAATAAGAATGAATGAATGAATGACAATGAATTTTAGGAAAAAGTCTGTGTATGTGATCTTGTTTCTAGCCTCCCTGCAGTAAGTTAGAAGACTAATAAAAAGCTTTAATTCCTACTTACTTTAAACATTCTACTACTAAACACTCATCAGTGTGTGTGCTGAGGAAAAGGTTTCCATAATAAGTGAGTCGCCCTATAAAAATTCCTATCCATACAGCTGGCATATGCGGCAACAAACATGTGCACACTCATCACCCAAAACACTATACCATCCTAGACATTATACAATCATTAAGAATGACTGTAGTATGGGAGGGAGACCATACAACATGCTCAGAAGAGAGGTAAACCAAATTATACTCTATTAAGCACACTATCCATGAAGAATTCTCCCAGGTTTGACTCCCATGTAATTCAAACCACCCAAGAATCAAACCCAGGACCTGATTTACTTAGAGGGGGTGCTTACCATTTCACTACACCACCCCACCGTTCCCTAACAGTGATCACAGGTTACCTCTATCTCTCCCAGGTGGTCCGTGCAGTCTCGCTACCACATTACACAACAAACTCATCCTAACACAAAAATATTTTGCAGAAACAGAAAAATAGCAGACAACACAAACATCAGAGTGAGAACAGATGAAGAAAAGAGAAGTAACAATGATAGAGAAATTGGATATCAGGTCATATCAGGATTTCAAAGATGGCACAATACTATTTTTGGAGCCTGTGTGTCCTATGTGGATAAAGTTGACATTTATAGTATGCTGTGGGACCTCAAAATCAATGTCAAGCTAACTCTGAAACCCTGTACAAACATTCAGGGGTTTAATGTTAGCATGAGAACACTTGATTTTTTAGCCCACAACAACAAAACTAACATCATCTTTATAAAAATGCAGACAAAGGTTAAAAAAATATTATCACACCTGCTTCAAATCAATGACATAAACCCTTCATCTAAAGAATACTACTTTAATGACCATTCAAGGAGAATTCAAGATGGCTGTACAGTAGTTTGAGGAATAGAACCATAAATGAATAAAGGAAGTCATGTAGATTATATCGTTCCTCAAATTTATCTCCTTATGAATTGTGACAAGGTACCTGTTTCACAAAAAGAATATGTGAATGGCCTAAGGATGATTTATTCATTATTCTTTTGGAACAAGAATGAAAGGCAAACACAGGACAGAGAAACAGACTTTACCATGGTAAGGAAGAATGGAACAATACATTAAGACGAGCACAGGGTAGGAGATAAAGGGGAAAGGAAGTACAGGTATTGAGTTATAGGACAGCCTGGAGGGTCTTCTCATGTGGCCACTCCCTTAGTGAGGAGCTCCCTACAGGAGTGAAGTGCCGCAGATAAGACAAAGTGAAAAATTCTACACTCCTTTGCTGGAGCTACTTCACTGACAACTAAGACCACCTTAGCTATTACATGATAAAATATCTATTTCTAAATTCTAATGAATCTTTTTCTTCCACTTAAAATTTAGGTATTGAAAGAGTTTCTCCAGATACCTTTCGCTGCAGTATGAATTATGAACAATTACATACAATACACTTCTCTGTCCTCAAAACCTTCCTTTTCGTGAACTCAGAAGTCTGGTGCACCATGCAAAACTCTCTCTACTTAATATTCATTTTAGTACAACCCAAGACCAACATTACACCACAATCTTCTCTCTTCAGCTGAGCAGCCTTGAGGACTTAAACATAACAAGCTCAACACTCTTAACTCAAGCTCCGTGAAGCCAAGGAAATACAACGTAAGAGAAGGATACACACCCGCAGCTATGGTGATATCATCCAATCAAAATTCAGCAAGAGAGACATCATGTTTTATTATTATCAAGGGCCACAATACTGAATACTATACTATAAAATTCACCACATATGTAGTGAAATAAGATAACTTCATTTTGTCCATTTACATACTTCACCAAATATGTAAAAGGCCTTAAAATACAGGACTTATATATCTTAAAAGAACATCTGCCTTAAAATACTTATACTGTATACTGAATCTTAAAAGAACATCTTATCAAAGATCCTGCACAAACAAAGCAGACAGACCTTTCCAAATTTTTCCAACCCAATACAGTCAAGAGTAAATTTTGCTTAGCAGACCATTGAAGGATAAAGAAAAAATATTAAAAATTTAAATGGTTGGGATTGTGGTTATAATAACTAAGCATATTATGAAGAATATTGGGGAAATTTACTGCATATAATGTACTGCAAAGCTGAAGCACCGTGGTTGTGATAGCCCTCGTGCACTCAACGCAAATTGTTTACTGTATATGGCCATTACATCACTAGAGGCGCATTAAATACACTAATGTAAAATATCTTCCTTCATTGTATAACAGTTTAAAAAGATAATTACACTATTTAATATGTCTATTCAGTATAGCAATGCCTGCTTAATAAAGATATTTAAAATAAATAAATAAATAAATAAAAATGCAAGCAAAATTATTTTTACAAAAACCATTGCTCCAGTTTATCAAGTATTTTTGATATAACTAAATGAAAAGTTAAACTTTAATCATCAGTGAAACAATAGTCTTTTTTTAGTAGTTATATCAAGCAGACACTGCTATACTCAACAAATGCCCTACTTACAAGCTAATACTGTACTGTACTGTACAATACCCAACCTAATCATTTCCAGTCATGTTGCAAGACACTCATCTTTAATTTGTTTTCTTTGAGGTCTTACTGTCTTGCTAAAGAGAGCCTGATGCTTGGAAGATCAAAATACTGTATTTAGTTCAAGCTAGAAAAAAGCTGATAAAATACTGAAAAGTAAATGTCTGCAGCCAAGAAAAATGGTGCATTTAAAAGTCACTTTAGGCGTACAAGGTCAAGAGAGCCAGTGCATGTGCATGAGCATTACTGACAAGATATATTCCAGACTAAAAATGCGCCAAATCTGACTCGCCTAAACCACTCAATAAAGTACAGTCGTGTAAATATTTCTCCATCATCTCATGTACAATAGTTTAAATCTTAAAAACCACCAACTCAGACACAGAACAACAATTTTTCATATACAGTTTCTTAAAAGTGTTATTGATCGAGTAATACTATATCCCAAGGAAAGTTTTAGGGAACATCAACCTGAATTGTTAAATAATTGGCTGCTCAAACCACCAGTAGGTGCATTGGGCATGGGAAGGCAACCAACATCTTGGGAGAGAAGGGAGGAACAATACATTAAGGAGCAAACATGGGGGGAGGGAGGAGGAGGTGACGAGAGATGAAAAAAAAATATATATATATATATTGTGATAGGGTAACCCGGAGACACTTATGTTGAGGCTGCTTGCTAAAAGGGCAGCTCCCATGGGAATCAGGTGTTGCACATATGATAAGGCTGACTCTTTGCTCCTTCTTTTTACTCAACTTGAATATAAAGCAACTAAGGAACACCAGCTAACATATATATCAAGTACAGAGAGATTCATGCTTTTGAAAATAAAGTTTGCATTACTAATATTTTTTCAGGAGTAGAGATATGTTTGTGTTTCCAGCCACCATTATGAAGTATCCTAAATTTTGTGGTAATTTACCCTTCACAAATACTGTACTAGGAGTTTCTCAGCCAAACATAATTTTCGCCATAATTATTTTTAAACTTAACTTGGACGGGTGAATGTGTTTAACTGTTTTTTCCTTAATTAGACTATGTCAGATTCAACCTATATTTTCTCCATAGTCTCAATTTCTTCTCCATAATCTTGTGAAGTCTGAGAAAGAATTTATTTTACATTTGGTGATAAGGATCCTTAACAATATGGCCCAAACCAATGGTATAAAAAAACTAACAAATCCTGATCTCTACCACTGTTGAATAATAATAATAATAATAATCATAATCAGATCATGCATGCACAGTCCCTAAGATCCTGGTTCTCAAGATCAACAAAACTGAGAGGCACCGTTTAAGACAGAGTTGTGTTACGACAATGGAAAATGAGGCTAAGAGCTAACTATACAGTACTGGCATATAATAAAGGGGAGAGGGACTCACCCAACACAACAGCCTCACAGATATGTCACCGTTGACTATTACAGGAAGGAAAGAAATTAAAAAAAAAAAGTAGAGCCATGTTGACAACGGCTGGGGATTAGATAAAGTCAAAAAACAAAACAAAACAAAAACAAAAAACAACCAGAGCCGATTACTGGAGCCAAGACGGACCAGACTCACATTAGGGACGAAGTTACCCTCCTGACTATTAGAAATACCATTAGTTATACAGTATTTAAAATTAAGGTTATAAACTATAGCAGCAGCAATTTATATCTTATTCAGAGCAATATCATAAACATGACCATTTATTATATCTTCACTTTCAAAACTAAAGTTCTCTTCCTAAGCATCAAAGACTGCCACCACAGACCTTATAAAAACTTGAGGAAGAGTAGAAACACCGATTTATGGTGCAACACAAGAACAGTGAACCAATCTAAGCAGAGTTCTGGCCGTGGCAGACTGGGAAAGCCTGGTACAGTATACTGACAAGTGATGGAATCCTTCAACTTACTACTGTACTGTAATTGCCAACTTCCTCCTCTAAACCTGTGTACAATTATTGTCTGTACTGAAAACAAAAATAATGAAGGTATATGAAAGGCACTTGTCAGCAAGAACACCAGCCATGGGAACTGATAAACACTGATGAAAAAGAGAAGCTTATTACCATAATGACAATGTACAAAGACAGTCACATGGGTGGGATAAATGAGGTTGACAGTGCCATGTACTGTACTACCTAATTTCATTGTGTTAAAAAATGCCTCCATTCTGAGTCTTAGGTGTCTGTAACAGGTGTTTTACTTATTAACACTTTCGAAAATTAAGTAAATATCCTTAAAAGATAAAATTTCAGTAAAAGACGATAATAGAAAATTCATTAACTACAGAATATATTATATAAAATAGTTCAAACTTAAAACTAACGACAAATAAAAATGGACTCTGTCTGTTATCATAAAATACCCACAAATGGCTGAAAAGAATTTAAAGTTAAGGGTCATAACTGTGCCAATCAAAGAGCTAGAACAGTCATGAGGTGCTCGTGACCAGTATCATCCTAAGAGCAACATTCTCAAAAATCTAGAGAACAGTGGGCAAGGAACTCAAGTAACTATATGAAAACCAGAAGTAACAGACCAAAAGACAACTGATATTGGCACACCATAAGACCAGGATATATGCTGGCAAACAATAACACACTGAAAAGATTATGTACATGACCACGCTTGGACATCTGCGAGTCGAGAATTGGGAGACACTTTACCTTGAGGCGAGCAAGTTCCTGTTGATACTCTCTGAGGATGGCATCTTTAGGGTCCTCATTAATCTTTGGCTTGTTCTTAATGTTCTTGGCACGGTTGGCATAACGGAGAGTCGTTATTGTCTCATCGTAGTTGTAGCTCGCTGGCCCAATGTTGGCAACCATGATGGTCTTTGAGTTTCCTCCCAGCGAATCTGAGTTAATGTGCATGAACAATACATCAAGAAGTATGCAATCAAACTATCTATCTAACTATCAGTGAACAAGCATACACTAAAGTGCTGTACAGTAAGTTCTTCTATAACATGCGTTTTCATAGTGCAATTTGGTTATAATGAGATGAATGTATTAGGGAACACATTTTTTCTATAATGTGGATGCAGCGGATGTGATTTGCATATAACAATTGAATAAATGGAACTATGTCATTCGAGTAGGAAGAAGCAATTATGCAATCGCCTCGGCGTAGCATCATACAAGGCGGTAAGTGCCACCCCCGTAGTCATAGTACAAGTACTGTACAGTATCAGCTTTACTGCTTTTAATAACAATGCATGGCAAGAGTGTAAAGCATTCTGGTAGTGGTGGTAGTGGAAGTGAAGTAAAGTAAAATAAAGAAAAGCTATAACATGTTGGGTCCCATGTCAGTCATGTTGGTGTTCTCGAACTTATTACCCCCTAACCCCTTAATTCCCACTGAATCAATGGTTACTACAACACGATTTTTCTATGACACGGTGTTTTTCAGGGTACCCTGTACCGCATTATAAGAGAACTGACATGCGCTCAGTAAACGTGTTTGGTTTTATGGATGGGAACGCTTTTCAGGTAACTTAGAGAAAACATTTGTTAGGGTACCAATTGAAACAGTAAAGTGGCCAATGAGTAGGCGAGGAGTCAAGGGGTGTCTTGTTAGAGTGGTTATGGCACTATATGAGAGTTCACAAACCTCTGAGAGTAAATGGTGAGGAATGAGAGGAATTTGCGGTGAAAGAACGGGGTTCATCAGGTCTGTCTTGGGCCTGCTTCTACTTATAATGGTGAAGGTGCATAATAAGTTTTCCTGACACTCTCAACGAACTGCTAACTGATTACCAATGCCAGTATATATCTCCCTATTGTTCATAAAATACAGTAGTGCATAGATACATACCTTGCAAGAGGCGTGTGAGCTTGGAATCTCTATAAGGAATGTGAGTACTCTTGCCATCTACCAGCGCAGATATGACATTTCCTAAAGCTGATAGTGACAGATTAATCTTGGTAGCCTCTTTTAATCTGTCACCCTGAAAAGGCATCAGTAACAGTCAATACCTTAGGCTAGGTTAATGCTTTTCACTTCATGGGGAATTGGCATAGTGTTAATTCCTATCCAGCCTAGTTTTGTTTGACCTAAATATAACATCACCTCAAAATCTACCCCTACATTGTTTTCAGCTATCATGATATCTCCACACCACCACCAAATATTAAACTTTCATTAAACCAATTGGTAAAATCTTATTAATTAGTGAAAGAACTTTGTAAATGCTGTGCAATCACCTGCATTTACAGTTTACATAACACCAATATCTTACATTTAACAAATTGTTGTGTGTACAGTAATTACATTCAGCTAAAATTTAAGAGGATGAGGAACATACACAGTATATATAGAGCACTGCATAAACAAGCTACACAAGTCTTCTACCACTTACCACAGTGCCAGTTTTAGACTGTCGTTCAGACCCTGCCAAATCAACAAGGTTTAGCTTCCCAACTCTGATACGACTTTTACCCTTTTCGTCCACATCACTACATTCAATGGTGATGATGAAGATTGCATGAGACCGAGAGCTGTGAAGGTTCATGTTAGTTGACCTGAAAAAGTAAAATTAATTTTAAATTACAGTACTGTATATAAACAGTACAGTTATCAGAAATATATAAGATTTTGTGACTGCTCATAGCTCTGAAATATCCTAAGCTTGACAAGTGCATCAACTCATCTAATAATGCTCTAAAATTCTGAAATCTCTAAGAAAAGTGTCTTATATGAATGGAACAACTACTGTACTCTGAAGAAGATAGGTAAACCTAAATCTGAATATAAGTTCTTCATCTGATGATATCAATTACGTGTACCAAGTTGGTGCACTTACCGAGTATATTTTGCAATATTATCATGTGCCTGCAAGTGAAAGCTGCACACACTCACACTTTCCTCTAAGTTACACTGTTCATCCACTTATGAATGTATACATAGATGGGAAAAAGTGTCAAGGATAACTGAAAGAGAATACAGTAATCCTTACCCAACAGCTCTGTTCTGGTTCCCTACAGTCATCACATGCTGGATTTCATTGACACTTTTACACACAAACTGCTGGAGGTCCTTGACGAACACCCCAGTGTCTGGCCGCTCCTTCAGCTCTAATCGTCTCTTCTGGTCTTTCCCAAGTAAGTCTCTGTAACAAATACATTAATACAATAATTCTTTATTTTTTAGGCGTTTAAGTTTTTTTTCAACATTTTACTATCAGTGATGTTTGGTGTTACAACTGAAAAAAAATATTCTGTAATCTGAAAATTTTGTTCCTTCCTTGCAACTCCAAAGTACAAAGAAAAATAATTTCACAAGCTAATACATTCATTACACAGAACCACCTTCCTATTCCAATTCTTTGCTACATTCTTTCACTCTTACAAGACTTTTCTACTCATGTGTTGGGTGACCAGAATCAAGAGCAATCACAAGACTCTCTCTTTATCTACTGTCATCCACTCACTCCTATTGATTTATCATCCTATAAACCATTCAACCCCATGCTTGCCTATCATTACCACACACTTTCCCTGTTTCCTACATGTTCCTCCTCCTCATTTCTAATGCCTGCTTCTCCCCATCCTTTCATCTCCTCCTTGGTTTTCTCCTTTCCCTCCTACAAACTAACTGAATTAGACACTCATTTTATCACTCACCAGATCTTGGCCAGTTGTCTTCTTGTCACTTTTACCTCCATAAATCTCCTAGTTTCTGTTTTTCCAATTCTCTGCATTCTCTTCATCCAACATATTGCTCTAACCTAAGATATACTGGGCTTTTCCTTGTGGGTAATAGATGACAGACAAAAGGTTCAAAAAACAACTACAAGATAGGTACTACGTGAAATGCAAATGGGGAGCTAAACGTACCTAATTTCCTCTTGGTAAATTTCCAGATAGGAGGCACGAATAAGATACTGCTGGTTACTGCTGCGAGCGATGTGATTAAATATGTGTTCGAATGAATTTGGAATAACACCTCGTTGTTCAGGGTCATCACGTATACCTGGAAGAAAAAGAGCATGAAATGATATACCTTTACGAGCTTTTTCATCATTACCAGTCAATCAAGGTATCAAACTTGACAATAATGACTCACTCCTCCAAATATCTTAGGCCTGTCTTTTCCAGTCTTCCCACATAAAGTATCATACTGGGAAACACTCCTTTTAATTTCATTCGTCTATACAAGTCTCTGCTTCCCCTGGCCCTCCTACCCTCTATTTTACTCGATAATATCTCTACTACAGTAATATTCCAATTTATGTCCTTTCACAGATATGTCATCACTTGATTTATACCATCACCTCGTTTATGTTGGGTCTACCTGCACTTATGTTGTTCATGACATGTACCCTTTTTGTATCTGTCTCCTGAGCCACTTACCCTTTTGGCTAGCTACATGGACTACTTATTATAAAGCATATTCACATATGAAGACACTACATACAGATACCCAAATGACCCCACAATAAAATAAATAACAAAGTCCATAATCCAGCAACCTTGAGATTTGGGTTTGTTTTATATAACAATTAAAATTATTAAACCATATTTAAACATTTACTCTCTTGAAAAAAAAACTATTTCCTCTAAAAAATCAGTACAAACTAATTACGGAAGAAAGAAAAGAAAAAACATATTAAATAAGGATATTGGCAAACGCTTGCTCTGTACTTGTCCTCCACGAGTAATAATCACCAAGATAGATGCGAGTAACTCGTGTTTGATCCAGTTTCCTAAGGGGGTTACATTTGTCTCATAGAATTTCTTATGGTAAATATTTAACAAAGAATAAAGGAATAGTGTTACTACTCAGCAAAAAAGAAAGAGAGAGAGAGACAGTGCTGTACAGCCCAATATTTTACTGACAATCCAGCCAACAGAATATTTATCACACTCAGTAATAACAAACAGTCAGCCTCACCTTCCATCGTGTAGGTCTTGCCAGTGCCAGTTTGACCATAGGCAAAGATTGTACCATTAAACCCACTTAGAACAGAGTCAATAAGAGGTCGGAATGTTTCATCGTAGAGTTCTTGTTGCTTGGAACTGGTGAAGGGAGAAATAAAACAATGTTTTAGAATCAGTAACACAACTGAAATTAGAGTTATTAGTTTATACAGTAGCTGTGAAGAAAAGTCCTGTTGCCTCTTCTGCTGCTTCACGAACCCTGAGATTTAGATTCATGAATCTGAACCATTTATGGACAGAAAAATGCACAGCCACTGCTTCGGGTTCATGAGTCTGAATCTCAGAGCTCATGGAGCCGCAGGACTTCTGTTCAAGACTATACATGGAATGCAATGGCACTTACCATATCTTCAAGTCAAATTTGTAAAATTTCTTCTTTGTTAACTAACAAATTCCCAAACCTATCAAATCTAAACCGAATATCTTTCATTTTGTTTGAAAGCTGCTTCAGAGTACAGTACAGTACAGTACTGTACTGTCCTCTATGTAAGAATGGTACCATATTACTTTACTTTTACTTTTATCCTCGTAAATGAGTCGCATCCATCTACATCGAACTCAGATTCCTCCGAGTCAATTCTCCTGCTCTTGTACAACAGTTCTACAACACCTACTATATCAGGTTGATGTGTCTTGAGTAAGCTGATATGCAACATGTAAATGTAATAAATATATTTCCTTGACTCCTGATACAGTAACACCACACATAAACTGATCTTTCCCAGTATAGTACTGTACTAACTACAACTTCTGACTTGTTTCAATCATACTGAAATTCCTACCATTTTCAAATACAGTAATGTTTAAATGCCACACCATTACCATAATGACACAAGACTTGTAAGTCCTTAAATCTGTATCATTGTACCGTATAGTCGGGGTTAAAAGTTCGCTCCCTCCCAAAATGAAGCAGTATCGACCCCAAATCAGATAAAACAACACACCAACACCAGATGACATGCTGTCAGGCTAAGTAAGTTCAGAGACTCATTCCCGTGACTCAGTTTCACCACAGAATCCAAACTTTTGTCCGGGAGTGTACATGCACTCCAATTTATGTTCGGGTTTTGTTCTTAAAAAGCTTTTTATAAACCATGAATTTGCAAATCAAAGCAAATTTCCCTAGTGACTTCCATTATGTATTGGCAGATATGATCCTATTGGCCCTCAGAGGGAAGCTTCCTAAAGGAGTGAGGCATCGCAAATAAGAAGATAAGATAAGATAAGACCAACTACGATAAGATTATTAATCAAAAACAAACATGCAAGAGAAACAAAAGCTAAAACTCTTGGACATTTCTAAATTATTTATTCATTTGAAAAGAAAAATCCTACTTTTAAATATAATCCATCAATCAAAGTCTTTTATAAGTTTATTAAGTAAGGGATAACACAAACTAATTACCATTTTCTTATCCTGTTTTCAAGTGGTTGTTGGAATTGACTTCAGATATCCCCAAACAAGTCAACAATATTCACTACCAGTCATAAACCCACAATGAAAGTCATGTAGACTATTATTATCTACTCACTTCCAGTCATAAACAGCATCAAAAGTGAAGGTCTTCGGAGGATCAGTCTCCGCTGACTTGATGTTGCGGAGCTCCACCACGCCTCGGTCCACATCCATGTCAACCACCCTGGTAATGACACATTAAACATTCTCCCATTGTAATTTGTTCTATTTATAAAGTACAATTCACCCCTCACAAAATATTGGAAATTAAACACAGAAAAATCTTATTCTAACAAAGCACTGTATCTACAAAAATCCTCTTCAGGGAGAACTATTTTTTTTTTACAAAACTTACCATCTTCAAGAAAAAAGAGATGGAGGAGAAGGAGAAGAACATTGTGGTGGGAGTGCCTGCTTTTGAGGACTATACGTACAAAGGTTAGTACATTACATTGCTTTGCTATTACAGTACAGTATATTGAACTTATCTGCAACAGTAATACAAATGTTTTCTTTTTCAATCACTCATTTATTTCTTGGTAGCAATTTTTAACATTTTACAGAGGTTAAAAGTTATTAATAAGGAAACTGTTTGTGGATGCTTGCTCATAGCTCCTCACCCCATGGCAGATAAACACCATGAGGTCACCAGGCCAGCTGACTAGTTTGGATTAACCAAAGTCCAAAAAAACCAGGGTCAGGACAACCAAAATTAGAGTATTATATATTTTAAGTGAAGTAAAGTATTATTTATGTGAAGAATATTCATACTGTATTAGATTACCCCAAGTAAAGTAACCCCAACTAATAGCATTAAGCAGACGCAGTACGACTGACATACATTCTAGAACACTCCACCGCAACTCCTGGACAGTATAGTACAGTACAGGGGTATTGGTACAGTATATACAGTACAAATCACCTAACTTTATCTGACTTCTTACCTGGGTTCCTACCATCTCTTAATAGTCTGATAATCATTTATTTAACATTATTAAAATTGTAAAAAGTTAAATATTTAATCTTAGTGAAGCATGAATAATAAATAAGTATGCAGGTACTGTACAGTACAGTGAAAAAAAGTTATGGTGTTGGTGGGAGCTCCTTTACCTCTCATCACTGTACTACTGACAAGAAACTCTGAAATTCCTAGAGTAACTTATTTTGGGGTCCTTCCAGATATGGTGACAGCTGATAAGGGATCATTTTCTTGTACTAATTAAGTTTAACTGAATTAATAAACAAGGAAGAAATGCTACAAGACCATACTGAAAAGTTATAATCATAACTGTGTGTAGCATTACAGGTATAGTACTGTACTGTACTCTGTATATGAAAAGTTATGTAATTTCACAAAACAACAATCACAATACAGCATCCAAAGTTGAAATAATACATTGCTTTTCTAACACAATCAAACACCTAACTCTACCCACAATCACACTAAAGTCTCCACTTAAACAGCTCTTCACCTTTTATGGCCATTGGCGGTCTCCTGTTCATTCATGGGTCGGCACCGCACCACCACCTTCACCGTCTCCGCCGCACTGCCCTTCATCTTGGCCTCGGCACCTTGAACCATCCCTTGTGCCTGGAGGGTAAACCACATTTCAGGAATTAAGACCCTGTAAAGCTCTTTCATCCTTCAAATAATTATAGAACCATCGAAAATGTCAATGCCAGCCACAGTTTCTAGTTAACACTCCCAAAGACAGCATGAATGATGACAATTTCCCAATATGTCCAGGGAATAAAAAATCCATGTTTAATCAGTATGTGAGTTTTGTTATTGTTCTAATGTGATGGTAAACTACTTCTTTAATTTTGGAAATGTTTAATTTAGTTTCACCACTTTATTTTCATGTTTGATGGGATCTTTATTAATTTGTTACTTATGTATAGAATGCATGTTTTGTGGGAAAGCCAATGAATGTGAAGACCATTTATCAAGCAGACCTAACAGTCATGGGTAAATTTATGTTAGATTTAGCTGGTGTATAAACTCTACTCCATATAAGGCATGGTTTCTCTTTACTCAGTTACCACATCTGATTTCTAAGTTCTAAACAAACTCATCAATGTAGAACTTGTCAAAAAAATTATCAAGAAATACAGTGGAGGAGCTAAACTTCGCACTGTATTTCATCCCACAGATATAAAGCAAAAATCAGAGTTTCACACACTGTTCAATCCTAAGGTGTGTATGATTCTGAGGCAGTACTGTATTGTATAATTGTGGGTGGATCCTAAAATATAAAAATGGTATCCTACTTAATGTAACTGTACATACACAGATACCAATGATGATGCAGAGTTATATCATGAATACCTCTATGTATGAATTAGTTATAGGACTCTAATCTTTTGTAGGATTCTATTTAACATACAGGCACTCTTTGAATACTATATAGGCCTAATAAGAAGTCCACAATGTCTGGATAAGAGCTGCCTGTCCACTTATAAATATCCATCAACGATTGTTTTATTAATCTTTCCTTCCAGATAATATTAAATAACAGTATACATTTTTATTCCCTAGTGTCAAATGTGTAAGTATACACTAACTGTACTCGTTGTTTCCTATGTAAAGTTAATATTTTTTTCTTTATTCACCTTCCAGGGGTACTGTTCATGTGTCAGTGTAATCAATACAGTCATGAGCCAAAATCAAACTGGTGACTGAACTAGACTGTTATGTGACTGTGTCTTCCCGTGACTCACCTCCCAGACCGATTAATAATTATGCAATTAAAAGTCGTCACATAAATCCACAGAGGTTCACTATACACGTATACAATAATAGACATATAAACTGATAAATAAAACACCAAATAAAGCCAAATAAAGCACAAGAAAAGCCATTAATAATTTACTTTCATTCATCACTCTTGGGAGTCATGATGAAAAAAGAAAAAGTTACCTTGATTACAATTCTTTTAATACATTTCTTACCGTGATCATCGGAGTAAATACAACAGAAATAAGGCCCAGAGATCTATTACCTTAAAAATGTTCAGGAAAAAGGAATCATATCGAAGTAAAGGGCTACGTGATGGCCCTTAGCTCCATGACACACTACTGGAGGTCTGGAATGTTTGTTGTCGATCCATTAGCAGACGACAGACACCACCCAGGGCTGCCAACTGTACCTCTGTGTCATATACTTTAAACTAACATTAATTTATCTCATTTCTTTATAAATAATAACCCTAATATAACTAAATTTTAAACTTTTACTCTTATAATTCTTCAATTTTATATATTAATTAAAAATATTTCTTATTTTAAAGTTTATTCATTTATACAAGAATGGTAATACTGAACCCAGCCCAGCTCATTTGGTTCTTTATTATAAACAATGATAAAATTATGTTCAATATTATTTATTTTATATCTTAAAATAACGGGTGGTATTGATAGTTATATTTCATTATCTAAATATCATTATGAACTATATACCAATAACATATACATATTTTTCCTTGAACTTAATCAGCAAGCAAAATTTAGCAAGATTATTATAACCAGACCAAATATGTAAGACAAGGGAGCCATGCACTAATATAGGTTGTCCTGGTAAGGGTTTGTGCTGTAAAAAATGCATCCTTGTGACTGGGGATAACAGAACGGATATAGCTACTTATTTAATTATCTTTGTCATTTGAGTTTTGAGTCTCTCTTACTTTACTTTATTTTACTTTACTTTACTTTATTTTACTTCACTTTAGTTTATATTATGGTCTATAAGGGTTATAGCTAGTAATATAGCTTCAGCATCCACAATTAAAGGAAAAATATAATTCAGGAACCTTTGAGAATGTGTGTGTCATTCTACCACTGTCGCGTGAATAAGTCGGTCCCATTTTTTGTATGGATCTGACTAATTATTATTTATCTAACTGTGTATGTTAACAATACCAAAGATACTACAATAATATCTTTGGTAATATACCTCTGGAAAATGAGAGTTGCTATAATACGTATATTGTCCAAGAGAATCCTTACAACTGCTGTGGTTTTAGAGGCCAAAGGTGGACGAGGTCACGTGTGTTAGTTCCGGTTAATGCTTATGCTCTATATGTATGTATGTATGTATGAATTTTGGCTCAATCATATCAAATTTAATAAAATTGAAAATGCATTATAGTTAACATTCAGTGCCGGATTAACCATGAGGCACTTGAGGCACTGGCCCCCAAATCCAAACATTCTCGAAGTTGAAGCATATAAAACATGAACTTCGTTCAACGATGTCCTAGCAACGTCTCACTTTTGTCCCTTATGAACATTAAATGTGTTATTTTGCAGAAGCTTAATATTGATGAAATCATTGATAAATTTGGGTATATTTTGTTCTTGTTATTTATATATACCTTGAGGGTAGGGGGGCCCTGTGCCTCAGGCCCCTATTAAGCTTAATCCGGCCCTGTTAACATTTCTTCTGTTCTTCCTTGCACGCCTTCTTTCATAATAATAATAATCTTATTTCTATAATTATTATTATTGTTTTTCAGTACGTTATCATGCAGCCAATAGCCAATTTTTTTATAATCTTTTTTATTCACTAGTTTTCTACCTGTGATTTAGATAAAACCAACACACGGTATTTTGTGGGCACCTTTTTTACACGTGCGCGGGCCTACAGACAGACATCACCATAACCCCATCTATCAAGGCATTTTCGATTGGGGGTGTAAAATGAAAATAAGCAATAAGGAAAATACCAACAGTTTATTTATCAGGAAAAAATATATAGATACATTTTAAGCTGCTCATATCGCAGTTTATACTTGCTGCTAAAGAGACTCAGGCAATGATTAGTTGCAACTCCTCGAATATTTTTCCTCAAGGATATATAGATCAGCAGTTCTTAAAAAGCCTCTCAAGGTGACAGTATACAGTACAGGCAATATGAATCCAACCAAACCTTCCACTGGACATGAAGGTTAGGTTTAGATTCGTTTAGTCTCTCAAAAATATGACATCAAGTACCACCAACCAATCACAACTTGGATGACGGGCGCTCTCTAGCCGTTAGTGTGGTTTAGTGATCCAGTATCCGGAGGTTGCCTGAAACGATTTTGTTTTCCAGGATGGCGCCTGCGGGGATGTCGATACGTTCTCCATGATTGGCGATGATGATAACTGTACCCTGGAGGAAGAAAAAAGAGAGTTTGATTATTTTCAGTAACATTCATGGGTTTTATCAAGGATTCAAAGATGGCGCAATACTATTTCTGGGGATAAGTATATGCAGACGTTAATATTGTAATTATGTGCGTACAGGAGAAATACTGTATATACGTCCCTAACAAAACAATATTTCTTTGCTTTGTTTAGAGGTAATTTTGAAGCTCCACAGAGTGCATGACATCCTCTCACATTTTATAGTACGTTGTCGTGTACAGTCAAAAGTACTAGAGAACATCGGATCAAGATAACTATTGACAGAACTTCAGCATCTGCACATATTTTGATATTAAGAATGCATCATAACATAACATCTCCTAACGTCTTCAAACATTCTATTCTGAAAAATACACGGTACAGTATTATTACTATTGTACAGTTCATATCTGTACCCATTCATTCTACCATCTCAAGTACAATCTCCACAATGAGTAACACCCCCCCCCCTCTTCCCCACCTTCAGTACAACTCCTCGGCCGAAAGTCACGTCACCAGACACAGCCAGATGGTCGAGTTCCAACATATCTGGGATGGACGAAAATCTCTTGATGAAATCCTGTAAGGAGTAAAGACAGTGCTATACTTCCTGTGTTGTCTTGGTGAAGGATTAACGTTAAGGCGTTATTTATTAATGAGATATCTTGGTGAAAAGAAGACTAGTGCTATGTTTCTTGTATTGTCTTGGAGAGGGTTTAAAGCAATGTTTATTTACGAGTGTCTTGGTGAACAGGTGAGGACAACAATTGCTTATCCTTACCTTGACTTTACCAAACTGTGAGGACCCCAGCTTTATTAAGGGCGTGGTGTCGAACATACGGAGAGGTGACATGGTGAGGGCACCCTGCTGTAGGCGGTACAAGTTGCTCATCACCAAGAGGAGGTCGTCTGTCTTCTTCACGGGCAGGAACCTTGAGCGTGGCACGTTGATTCCTAGAGTTGGAGGGTGCAGTCGGATTGGTGATAATGATTTAGTACAGGAAATGGTGTTGTTTAGACTAGTGACATGTACAGTGTAGGAACAATTGTTTATTTATCTTATCCTAACAATGTGTAATTGTAAATAATATATATAAATTTAGGTATAAGAAGCCCCAAGGTATAGGTGAGATAAGCTAAATAAGGCGACAGACACAAAGTTGACACTAAAAGGAGACAATGAATCTTCTCACACAACAGAATAGCTCCCAAGTGTGTAAAACAGAATATCTATCCCCTTTATTTTCACTCATAGAGAAGGCTTTAACCCAAGGTACGAGTCCTACACCTTACCTAGGGCACCTGAGAAGCTCTTGATGGCAGCACCGACGGCCTGCTCGAGTTGGATGATGTTAAGGCCGTTGTCGAGTGTCTTGTTGTTAATGATTACCTCCATGTCGACCGTCCCCTCCGCCAGCACCTCCCTCATCGCTGTTAACATAAGTATACACAGGTAAGTGAACAGGTAAATTAAGGGAAATATGTATATAATATGTTGTTTTTTTTCACTTCTTCTAAACAGGTGGAAATCACAGCGAAATTAAATAAATTACTGAATGATAATGAACCGCTTCAGTGCGATGACTTAACCTCTCCAGTATGATGTCCTAATTCCTTGAGTATATACGGTAGTTAATATGTGTTTGTGTCTCACCTCATTCATATGTAGGTGGCTCTATATATGTCTCCCTGTCACTCTGTCTATCTGTGCCTTTGTCTTCATATTTTTCAAAGTCTTTTTTTATCTTTCTGTTTATCTGTGTTTGTTTTTGTTCCTGTCTCTATCATTCTCTATCTCTTGTTTACATCGGTCTACTGTCTCTGAAAGCACCTCACTCACCTGTCAATTTAATCCATAGGTTGTTGGTGTTGAAGATCTTGAAGGTTTTGACGGATTTGAAGTCATCTACGTGATCTTTGGGGACCTGGGCTATCTCCAACAGTCTCAACTTATCCTCGTACTTTATCAACGTCCCTCCCTGACAACAAATGGTCGCCCTGAGAATGTTGGGTCTATAGAACAGCGAGTACACTTGAAGATGTCTGTTGTGTACTTTGACGAAACTTAGGATATCTTTCGTGTACATAGAAGAAACTAAGATATCTGTCATACACATAGACACACCTGAGATCATATTATTGACTTCATTTAAATCTCAAAATAAAAGTGAAACGTTTACTTGCTCTTGACATCAGATGACCAGAAATGAAACCAACATGACCATACCTTGACATCAGCTCTGGTCTTGTTAGTGACCTCCATTAGGAACTGACATTGGGCAGGGTGGTGACCTCCTAGTAGAAAGTTCAGGATGTTTAGGTCAACGGTGGCCCCGAGGTTGTCAATGTTACTCACAAAAACATACTCCTTTCCCTGTTGACAGTGTTTGTGGTTAGTTGACAGTGTTTGTGGTTTGTTGACAGTGTTGTATTGACGTGAATTAATACATTATGGGTATATTGGACGCTCTCTGTCTGTCTACAATATATACGCCAGTAGTCACATAAGAGAGAGAGAGAGAAACTCACCTCATTAATGAAGTTGTCCAATAAACCGGAATTACTGAAGGATTGATAGTAATCTCCGTGGCCCGGCGGGTACCACCTGAGGTCATGTCCAAAAAAGATGGCGTCAGATGTGCACTGAGACTCTACCTTAACTACATGGCTTAAAAATGTGTACTAAAACTCTAGGTTGATTATATGCTTTCACTTAACACCGATTAGGAGTTAAAATGGTGGTTTAGGTTTTATGCTAGTGAAGGATTTAGTAGAGAGAGAGAGAGAGAGAGAGAGAGAGAGAGAGAGAGAGAGAGAGGGAGAGAGAGAGGAGGGGAGACTTCTAGGTTGTAATCATTGGTTCAGGTCGAGAGAAAAAAAAAGAAAGAAAGCGAGAGAGAGAGAGACATACCCCTCAAAGCTGTCGTCACTGGCACAGGTCTTGGCTATAGGCATGAGGGACTGTTTGTTGATGCGGGGATACCTTGATTGATTGAAGGTGTAGATCTTCACCTGTTGGGATGAGGAGGAGAAATAAGGTAAAAATCAGGTCACTTTTACTGGGGAGGTCGAGTCTCTTAAAGCCACATAAGGTCATTTTCCTGAGGGTGATGTGGGGGGTCAAAAAATAAGTTGTACGTGTATCTATGACCTCGTTTGACCTTAACTTATCTAATATGTCATAAAACACTGACCTGGTTTGACCTGAACTGACCTGGAAGCCCTGATACTTGCGGACGACCTTTTGGGTGTCTTCATCAGTGTTGAAGGAGTTCATTAGGACGAGAGGTACATTGCAGTCGTAGGTCTTGTTCAGGTGCTGTGGCCGTAGTACAGTGTTACAATGGTACAGTGGTAAGATGGTACAGTAATAAGAGGATACAGTGGAAAAATTCAGTATCTCATAGGAAAAATATTCATTTATGTGATAATATTTATTTTGAACTTTTTACTGACCAAAATCTTAGTTAAGTGTAAACCAAAAACCATCCGCTAGCCAGTTGCCTTTACCTCAATCTGCTGGACGGTCAGGTCAAGGAAAGTCAGATCTGAGCGAACAGGAATGATGGACTTGGGACCCTGACAGCCCATTGATGTGCCTAGACCACCGTTGAGCTTGACCACCACCAGCTTATCCAGCATCGACTTCACGGAGCTCACTTTGGGGCTCTCGAGCTCACTGTAGCTGCGAACCTGACCAAATCAGAAGGATATTAATTCACCTTTCCTTCTATCTTGACGACGACAGCTTAAGTGACACTGATTAAACGATAACTTAATCCATTCTTCAAACACCCCCTGTAGCCTCTTGAAGGATTAAGCCGTCGTCCTCAATGGGTTAAAGTTATCGTCCTCAAGGGGTTAAAGTTATCGTCCTCAAGGGGTTAAAGTTATCGTCCTCAAGGGGTTAAAGTTATCGTCCTCAAGGGGTTAAAGTTATCGTCCTCAAGGGGTTATCGTTATCGTCCTCAAGAGGTTAAAGTTATCGTCCTCAAGGGGTTAAAGTTATCGTCCTCAAGGGGTTAAAGTTATCGTCCTCAAGGGGTTAAAGTTATCGTCCTCAAGAGGTTGTTATCGTCCTCAAGGGGTTAAAGTTATCGTCCTCAAGGGGTTAAAGTTATCGTCCTCAAGGGTTAAAGTTATCGTCCTCAAGAGGTTAAAGTTATCGTCCTCAAGGGGTTAAAGTTATCGTCCTCAAGGGGTTAAAGTTATCGTCCTCAAGGGGTTAAAGTTATCGTCCTCAAGGAGTAAAAGTTATCGTCCTCAAGAGGTTAAAGTTATCGTTCTCAAGGGGTTAATGCATTATCCTCGGGGTTAAGCAACTGATATTTTTGCTAAGCAGGGATATCATTTTCATTTTATTACTACAATTTAATGGAAACAATTTTTTTTCAGTATATATATATTGTAAAATATATTATGTTTAATTTGAGACGTCGTTTACTAACCTAACACTAAGCTAACCTAACCTAACCTAATCCAACATAGCCTCACCCAACCTTAACCTAACCAACATTGGATCACTAACACCATTACTTACAGCTCCTTCCTCCAGTTTCTCTATCTTGTCCCACTCAACGGATGGTCCAGCCTCGTTGATGAACCGACCAAAAAGCTTCTCAAAACTTTCCATCTCCTTCTGCGTGGCCTCCCTCAGGTACTGCGGGCAGGTGTGTAACAATTTCTGCAGCTCTTGCGCTAGTTGTACCTTGGCGTCCCTCTTCGTCAGGTTCTTGAACTCTACGGAAGGTCTTCTGTTGTGACCGAATACCTGCCGGAGTTTACAGGTATAACAGTTTACAAACAGACACTTCCTCTCATTAAGTACCAGAATGTTATCTACTTAAACAGAACTAAAGTGTACAAACTACCTCCAGGTTATAAGTACAGTTACCACCATAAGTAAATTGTAAGTAGAGGACTCAGTAACAGCCTCTCAGTAGATGTCACCCCCGAGCTATGTATATCCATCGATCTATCTATCTATCAATACTTTGGGATGGGGCATTGTTGTTTACACTCCTTTATGTATGCCTGTCTGTCTATACTGTGTTGCCATGGTAACTTTATATGCATTGACAACGCCAAAGCCAGAACGATGTATCATTCACTTCCTGATACGCTATCTTGGAGTTATCAGATGAGATGCTACCTGTGTTGGAAGGACAGTCGATACCACTACCAGGGCTTATAGGTATAATTCGAATAAAAAAAAATCAAAATCACAACAAAACAAAAATACAAAAATAAAGTGAAATATATTGAAAAAAACATGATTTAATCGAGAAAAAAAAATATAACAGGATTTGGTATTTTAATTAACGAACTTAAAAAGGAAATTGTTATGGTTATATAGTAAGGTCGGATGAAGTCAACGCAGTATGGATAGCCACTTAAATACTGTACACACATGTTGAGATATGGATGGTTGAAGTGGTTTCGTGTGTGTATGTGTAAGGAAGATGTTTATAATGTGTCTTTGGGCCTAACCGTCAAAGCACAGTTCAAAACTTACTTCGTTATAGCGATCATAGTTCCGAGGCAGAGTGGAAGGTGGCGCCACACTCATATTGACGATGGTGAAGGAGGATTAGTGACTACAGAAGGTGGTGAAGAAGCAGGAACACAGACTACAGCAAGTGACGATGAAGCAGGAACACAGATTGCAGCAGGTGGTGATGTAGCAGGAACACAGAGTACAGCAGGTGGTGATGTAGCAGAAACACAGATTACAGCAGGTTGTGGTGTAGCAGGAACACAAACTAAAGCAGGTGGCGATGAAGCAGGAACGGCAGAAATAAAACGTAACAGGAGGGAGAGCTGAGGGATACTGGCAGCTGTGCTAGGTCAATGTGTACAGTACCCTGCTGGTTGTTATCTTATCGTGGTCTTTGGAATTTCTGTACATAATCTCTCTCTCTCTCTCTCTCTCTCTCTCTCTCTTTTACAATTCTTCTTATTATTATTCTATTATTATTATTAGTAAAAGTAGTAGTAGTAGTAAAAAAAATTACCCCGTTTATAATTATGTATCGAACTCAATTTCTTTAACAATAGATGTGTCGCTATTTAGTTTCTAACACCGTTCGCCCTAACCGGTCACAAAGTTCCGGATCTAAAGTTTCTCCCTGACTGAGTAAATAAACAAGAATCTAACTCTAAAAGATTCACTTGAACATCGACACACAAGACAGTGGCAAAACATACATTAGCTTCAAGACTGTGCTGGGCCTCTAGTGTTACTAACTAACTATGGGTAGTTTGGGTACTGGGGAATTATTACGCTTCACCACAGATATTAGTGGGCTTTATCGCCTTGAGGATTAGTCAAAGGAATGGCTGCTGAGATTCAACATTACGAAATGCAAGAGGATGCATCTAGATAGTGCCAATAGCAAAGAGGCATATCACCTATCCCAGCGGGATGAGGAAGCACAATTAATTAAACTCCAAATAAAAAAAGGACTTGGATGTTTATGTTGATAACAAACTGAAAGTCTCGGGTGTGTATATATATTTTGGTGTCACTGGTGTGTGTGTGTGTGTATGTGTGTTATCTGTACAGTATGTGTCTGTGTTGTAAGAGTTGTGTTTATAGCCTGTTTGTGACCACTTTTTGGGGGTTAACAAATTTATTGACAAAGCTTGGAGTACAGTTGGCCTATTCTGAGTAATTCAGTCAGGTCTTGTCACTGAGGGTGGTATTGTGGGGTAAAGTTTGTTTGGGTTCCCACTCAGGATGGGATGGAGAAAGGAAACTCACAATGTGCTCTCTGTATACATGTTGTATTGGATGTACAATGCAGCTTGGTGCTGGGAAGACAGCATGGTTACAAGCGTGATGTAGAGAGAGCTGGTTGGTGAGGATGCTCAGAGGAGGACCAGCTTGTGGGTCGCCATGCTCGCCGGCGGGAGCGAGGACCGCCAGGGAGGCGGAGGAGGAGGAGGTGTTGCTGGCTGGTTGGTGTAGGTAGAAAGAGGAGAGAGACTGGTCACCACGAGGTCAAGTCTTATATAGCGGAGGTAGGCGTGGCTTAGTAGTTGACGTCCGTCATGTAAGGCGGCGCTGGTTGACCTAGACCACGAGGCATACACTGGGGAATTCGCGGGATCGGCTACTCAGCGACAAACAGCGTTTGTAGGGGAGAAATCCACTACAATACTCCCTCCTTCCCTCCAGGCAGTGTAGGAAACTTGTTGCCTGCAGGGTTGCATGGCACATGTGAGGTAGAACGGGCGGTGCATGCCTCATGTGAAACGACGGCGATGGCGTAGATGAGTCGGCCGCTAGAGGAGACAACTGTCTAGATACACAATATCTGTGGGAGTAGAGAGGGAGAAAAGGGGTGTGTGGAGGCGATGAATGTTGTGCTTTCCTCACGGCAGGTACAGAGTCGTCAGATGCGCCTGCTGAGGTGTGTGGGCCTGGATCAGGAGCAGGGGCTGCGTCAGCAGAAGCGGATGAGGGCTCGTGACAGCAGCTGGGTCCACGACAGCAGCAGGGAGTACCTGAGGGAGAAAAGAGGGGTGTGTGGGTCCGCACTCAGGCACATGGGCCGTGTCGGGAGCAGGGGCTGCATCAGGAGGAGCGGCAGGGGGTACTGCTGGGCCGGCGTCTGAGGCAGGACGGGTGTGCTGGGGTCGGTAGGACGTGGTGCTTGGGGCAGGAAGAGGAGCGGCTGTCTGCTTAGAGTCGCAGAGCTGCTCTAGGGTGTCTAACCTGCGGTGTAGAGACAGTAGCTGTAGAGCCAATGAGAGCTGCCTCTGTGTGGATAAGCCAGTCTTCCATGTTGCTTGAAGACTGGGAGAGTGATCGGTTTCTCCTCCATCCTGTGTGAGTGCGAATCTCCGGGGGTCACCATTTGTGGAGTGCGTGGTATTTGGTTCACACTCAGGATGGGATGGAGAAAGGAAACTCACAATGTGCTCTCTGTATACATGTTGTATTGGATGTACAATGCAGCTTGGTGCTGGGAAGTGGCAGCGTGGTTACAAGCGTGATGTAGAGAGAGCTGGTTGGTGAGGAGGCTCAGAGGAGGACAGCTTGTGGGTCGCCATGCTCGCCGGCGGGAACGAGGGCCGCCAGGCAGCGGCGGAGGAGGTGGTGTTGGTTGCTGCGGCTGTAGCCACAAGAAGAGAGAGAGAGAGAGGTCACCACGAGGTCAGGTCTTATATAGCGGAGGTAGGTGTGGCTTAATAGTTGACCTCCGTGATGTATGGCGGCGCTGGTTGACCTAGACCACGAGGCATACACTGGGGAATTTGCGGGATCGGCTACTCAGCGACAAACAGCGTTTGTAGGGGAGAAATCCATTACAGTATCACTTTTCACTGCCATGCAGGACAGAGATTCATACACAAAGAAATGCATCATATTCATTAACAGTATATATATATATATATATATATATATATATATATATATATATATATATATATATATATATATATATATATATATATATATATATATATATATATATATTTCATGTAGATCCACAATGGAAACGTAGATAAGATAAATCTCGATAAAACCACAGAGGAAAGGGGAAACACTGGAACACCTTAGACAACTGTGTGTGTGATCAACTCTGAGAGGGGATACAAACAAAACCTAATTTTCAAAAGTCTTCATTCACATATGTTATATACCCTAGAAAAATATATACAAATTTATATAAAGTTAAAAAATGTATTTTTATCAAATACTGTAATTTAAGAAAATAAGACGAGGTGGCCGAGTGGTTAAGGCGTTGGACTGCTAATCCAATAGGGTCTCCCTGCGTGGGTTCGAATCCCATCCTCGTCGGTAGTGTTTAGTGTTTTCATTAGCCTGAGAATGTATATCTTAAGTATGACACGAGGCAAATGGTAGGCAGAGAGAAATATATATAATCATACAGATGGCTGAGGTAATGCCAAATAAACCGATCGGCCAAATAAAGGATCAAGGATACTTATAAGTTTTAAATATCTTGGAACAATTATTGTGGGCCCAAACCGCAATCTGGGGGCTCCAACCAAAACCTGGGGACTCCAGCGGAAACCTGAGGACCCCAACCGAAACCTGAGGACCCCAACCGAAACCTGAGGACCCCAACCGAAACCGGGGGCCCCAACCGAAACCTGGGGGCCCCAACCGAAACCTGGGGGCCGAAACCTGGGCAGGGTTAGATATAGAATTCCCAAAGAGACTACAGAAAGCAAACCAAACTATGGATATGCTAATTCGAGTATGTAAGTCTCATAGTCTATCATACACACGAAATTTCGATCGTGTACGGCTCCGAGTTAAACCAGGACTCGTTTATGGAAGACACATTGAGCCAGTCATATTATTGAGATGGTTCCATTTATTTGAAAACAAAGCTATCATCATACGGTTCATTACCCAGGGTGTATAGCAAAATACTTCATTCTATGTTCCAGAATGTAAAGTACAGCAAGGGTCACGATACTTTTTTGGTGGGTGTACCTACAAAGATGGAACCTTAATGAGGGCATGGTGAAGATGGGTGGGTTATGTGCTTCGTATGGAAAATGAAATAACTGTCAAGGAGGCTGTAAGATGAGAACCACAGGGAGCCAGGAAAATGGGCAGACCGCGTCCTACCTGCCTAAGACAGTGAAGAGACCCAAGACAGAGATGGTTGGGGAAATTTGGTGGAGCCCCTTTGTGTCTGTCACAGCGTTGGAGGCGCTGAGAAGAAATAAGTAAGGAAAGTGAGATACTAGTGGAACCATTAGCATACTCGACCTCCAGTACACTGTAACTCATATTTTGGATGTTCTTGGGGTAAGAAATAAGTTATCTTCTTTGCAAATAATTACCCAAGTTGCTGGTTAACCGGCGCTATTGTTCCGGAGTATGAATCTGGTTTGTAAGTTTGAAAAATAAACCTTTGATGCCACTGACCATAATTTGTTTAGTTGTAACTTTCTTGGCCGACACTGTGGCCTCACTTAATGGTTTAGTTCACCCTGAAAGAACTACACGCAGACGGCGCAGTAGGTTATATTTCAGGGTATAGTTTCTGAAGTATCGAACAACTAAATGTAATAATATTATACTATTTTTTCCTTACATTCGAGGGCAGTATTACACAAAAATCAGGTATGCCTTAAATAATAGAATATAGAAGTTTTTGTCTAAAGTAATAAATCTTTTGAAAAAAAAAGTTGCATAAAGTCGTATACTGTAATTAAATAATTCATTAGTTAAAGGCCTTTATATATTTTTTTCATAGTTATTTCATAAAAGGGATGTGGCATTTAATACCGTTCACGCTTCAATCAATTTTAACTGTCCTTGGACAAATACTAATCATATATTATTTCGTGATATTACTAATGAAATCATCCACAAGTCAACCATGAGTGCTGAGGTCAGCTGGATTCTTAGGTGTTGCTTCATGCAGAGAAACAAGGTCAACAAGGGATATGAATGAAAATTTATTTTGCCATAGAAAGACGCGCACTGTACAACTACCACAACACACACTGCTGACTGGGTACTCTTGGTGGCAAATACTGCACAATTATCTCGTTCAAATTGACATAAAACATTTACTATCGTCTAGATAAAAAAACACATGTTATATTGTGTTCGTAAATACATATTATAGTAGACTTATCATAATTTAATTTTTCTTTTAATAGCGAGTACTGTAGGTGTATCGGATCTAAGGCTTGAAGATGGTAGTTACGCAGCATCTGACCAAGAAGCAATGAGAAGGCGCTGAACAAATTCTTTTTTCCTCGGTGCTCAAAAGAGTGGATGACAACGACCTCCCTGCATTTGAGGCGAGATGATTTGATATTGCGCTAACCCACAATGTGTTCTCGGAAGAGGGTATACGAAATAAATTGTCAAAGCTAAAGGTTTACAAGAGTCCCGGCCCAGACATGTTGCATCCCAAAGTGCTAAGAGAGTTGTGCAACGAGCTTGCTGAGCCCCTGAAGATCTTATTCTGTAAATTCCTGGGTAAGCGAAAGGTCCTCAGTGACTGGAAAATGGCCTATGTGAGTCCTATATTCAAGAAGGCCGATCATCACTCCACGAATAATTATCGACAAGTTATCCTGACCAGCATAGTATGTAAAGTACTTGAGAGCATTATAAGAGATGCCATGGTGGAGCATCTACTACAAAACAACCTTGTACAAAGGATTGCCAACACGGTTTTATGCCGGGACGCTCCTGCTTAGTGCTTAACACAATTAATCAAGGTAATGGATGTTTGGTCTCACATTCTAGAACAGGATGGTAATATCAACAACATATTCCTAGATTTTGCCAAGATTTTCGACAGCGTACCTCATGAAAGTCTGACAATTAAACTCGAAGGATACGGGGTTCAGGGAAACGTCCTAGCGTGGATCGGAGACTTTCTGCATGACCGCAAGCAGTGTGTGGTAATTAATGGCAGAAAACCGTCATGTGTACCTGTGACAAGCAGGGTACCACAGGGCAGTGCATTGGGCCCGTTCTTGTTTGTTTGTTTCATAAATTACATGCCAGAAGCTGTTCACTCCTCCATACAAATGTTTGCGGACGATGCCAAGTTATTCAGGGATATTAGAACCAAACAGACTGTGAAGTGTTTACAGAAAGATCACTGTGAGCTCCAAGAATGGTCGAAGAAATGGCTGCTAAGATTCAATGTCACGAATTGTAAGATGATGCACCAGGGTCATACCAACAGTAAGGAGGCGTATCACATCACATGCATTAATAAATACCGAATGTGAAAAGAACCTGGGTGTGTATGTTGACACTGAACTGAAGCGATGGGGCCACTGAGAGAAGGCGAGTCAAGTACCTAAACTAGGAGGTCTTTAAGAAGGTCATTCAGATATATATTTAAAAAAAAAAACAAAAAAAAAACAGAGAGCTCACACTCGGTGTCGTCACAACACTGGCGGGTTGTTCCAAGGACAAACCGTCCATCGTTGCGCTCTTCAAGAGTGAGGTGCTTCCCCGTCTGGAGTACTGTTACCCTGTCTGGTCCCCGAGATTAGCTAGTGACTGTCAGTTGATTAAAAAATGTCCAAAGGAGAGCCACCAGACTGGTGCCTGCACTACGGCACCTCAGCTACCCAGAGATAGAACGCCTGCAACTGCCTAGCATACTACATACGGGAAAGGGGTGACTAATTGAAGTGTATAGACATCTCAGAGGGCATTACTCAGTCGAGTGTACATACCTGGAGCTGGCGGACGCCCGCGGCGGCCTGCCCCACAAGGGAAGGTTGAAGAAGTCTCAAGTCCAGAAAACTGTGAGGGCCAACTTATTGTGAACTCTTGGTACAATCTGTCAGAGAGTGTTGTGACGGCATCAAGTGTGAGCTCTTTCAAAACCAGACTTGACCAACACTGGAGCAGGTTTAGATACATTCAGGAGCTAGTGCATGCCCAGTACTTGCCAACAGCAGAGACGTGACCAACCATGCGACCACCCAAGCGGCTAACGAGTCACTATTTCACTAACGAGCCGATCTGTGACGAAGAGGATATAAGTAAATAAGATATTTTGTTAGTTTTTTTCTAGTATAGTTATTCACACGTGGGATGCCCACTATCACGGCAAGGGGTGATTTAATAGAAGTTTATACCTCAAATGACATAACTCAAAACGGCAAAATAAATATAAAAGAAAAATATACTAGATAAATAGATATAAATTGATGAAATGCACAGTAAACAAGTTAAAACAAATGGACATTACATAAAAATCTGTTTTAATGATGCATTTCTTTCTTGTTTATATAATATGAAGTTTCTTAATAGAGTTTCTTATCTCCATAAATATAAAATCAAGATTAAAAACCATATTCAACATACTATTCATATACTATATACAGTATTACTTTCATCATTTTTAATATCTAATGATAGAAAATATAAATACCACAGATTTTAAAATTACATATACAGATTTTGGTTTAATTTTTTTAAGTTTGTTTTCGAATTTCAGGAAGAAGACTCGTGTGTACTGACTGGAGGCTGATGAGTACTGTATAGCCTCATATCTTTTAATACAGGTAAGTAATATCCTTCAGTCATGAATTAAAATCACCACCACTTAAGACTTTATTAACTGCCTTGTGAATATTGTGAGTCTTATTTTTTATTTATTGATAATTTAAGACATTATATTCTTCACATGTCAACTGTCTTGTATTTTTCACTAATTCAGAATCACTACTAGTTTATTTTGGGTATTATTTTAGTTTAGGTTATCTAGGGAATCTTAGGAATTTAACCACCATTGATATAGTTACTGGGTTCTGTGACTAGGTTAACGAGCCAATTAGTGGTGAAGAGGATAAAAGTAAATACAGAGATGATCTAAACCAAAATTTTACCTTATTTTCAATTTAAAAATATATTATGTATTGATTGGCATTGTTTTACTTTTTTTTTGGAGTACTGTATAGTTAGAAATCTCCTAACCCCTTAACCGGCATATATAAGTCATTTGCTTGGGAAACATCATAGAAGAAAAGTACCTTAGAATTCTTGTGTTATCTAAAAGTAATATAATACCAAAATTAATGATACTGCCTAAGACCATAATAAAATTTGAGATTAGCAGAGCATTTTAATTACTCACTATAGGTTAGTGTACTGTAGATTATAAATGCTTTTTACCTTTTGAAATTGACATAAAATTTTCACGATTTTTTTATTTCCTGAGCACAATCTTTCAGGTGCTTTCTCAGACCATTGATGCAGCCATGACACACCTCTTTTAACCTAACCTAAGCTAAAATAATTAACTTCCATCCTAGGTTCTTATCTACAGTAAATCATTGCTCACTGATGAAATGTTGTTCTGGGCAAAATTGCTGAATTAATACAGTAATGCATTTTTTCATTATTATTATTATTATTATTATTATTATTATTATTATTATTATTATTATTATTGCTTATTTTTCTGTGTGTATGGGATGGAAGTGTTAATGTCTGAGAAATGGTTGTCTTTTGGATCTCACATTGACAGTTGATAATGGTGTTGCAGATATGTCCATTTTATTTTAATTTTTTATAACCTAGAGGTAATAAAGAAGCAGTAACACACCTGTCTCTCACCAATATGTCAAGGGTTTGAGTCCTGCTTGGCCCAGACACACGTGAGAAGGGTGTTATCCAGTGTGACCCTCACTACCAAACATCACAGGCTTCCCGGTGGTTCTGGTTAGGTTTGGGTAAGTGGAGTGTTCTTCTGAAGATATCATACTTCATTTCTTCTTAACAGGATGATGGGACCACCAAGATATATAAAAACAGAATGGAGTGGGCAAGGCAAAGCTGTACTAAGATTCTGCAGTAAAAGAGATAAAACTGATTTCTCTCGTGATCAACAAACTAAATGGGCGGGCAAGATTGAGTGCTATGTGTCATCGCTTTATATTAGGTAAGATAATTTTTTGGTGTAAATTTATCAAAAATTATCAAATTTTCAGGACCCAATGTAGACTCAGAAACCTCACCTAAATGCAGACATCTTGTAGATTTCCATTTTTAATCAGATTATCTCTCATGAATGCATTGAAAGAACATACCATTGGTTCTCATATTACTACAGTAAGAAATTTTAACATACAGCAACATTTATCATATTACAGTATGTGTTTTATTCAGGGCCTCCAAAATTTACATGGTACCCCAGTATTTAAAACAGTAGTACCATACAGGACACACACTGCTTATGAAGGTGTGGACAACCTTCCTAATCTAGTTTTTCTTTTGGTATATCATTCTTTTGAAGAGTCCTCTCTCTCTCATCTCTCTGCAGGATGTCTACAGCACACATCACCATCACATATTCTTTAATAGTGAAGCGGATTCTTGGATCTTGGATTTTTAGTTTTAATTCTTTAACTTTATAAAAATATTTCTTTTTGGTTGTACTGTACATCAGTAGAAATAGTTTGCAGCTGTTGACTATATTTTGAGAAGTGAGTGTGACGGTGGGATTTCATGTATAACATTCGGTATCTTGTTACAATATTAATAGAGAACAGTATTCTGTACCGTATACTGTACTCTGATTTCTGTAACAAGAACTACCATGTGAACACTTGTGTGCAAGAATGAGTGCTGTATTGTAAAAGTTTATCTTTCAACCGACAGTGAATATGAAAGGCAGCCCTCAACTGATGCTGGGGGGTATGATGATGATGAGTCTCAACATTGTACCGAAGATATTAAGGCAGAGGTAAGGTGGATGTATTGATTTATTTGGGGTGGTGATAACATAGATGTGGTCAAGTACAGTACTGAGACTGTGTTGAATCCAGTATAGGACTTACCCACCTAGAAAATACAGCTAACTTGTACCATATTATTATTACAGTACTGTATTGATAATCTATTAATCTTCTTACAAACTTCATTCTGGAATTGTATATAATACACTTTTTATTAGCTATATTCCTTACTTGATAGTAGTTAATTAATATTCTACCTAATGATATCTCATATTGAAGAAGCTTCTACTTCCCTTTATGTGACTTGTCTTGATATGAGTCTGACTACATGTTTTAATTCACTTTGTCTTCTTACTACAGGACTGTATTTATTATTATTGTTGTATTACAGCTCTTTATAATATGCATATTCTGTTATAAATGGTGTACAGTTATTGTTATGGTCTTTAGTCATTTGTGAAGTTACTTTGAAGCCTGATTTGTCTAACAATTTATTTAATTAAAAAGATGATCAAATACCCCAAGTCATGGCATATAAAACCAAACAAGTTCTGTTGACTTGCTCCGAAATTGGTTTCAGTTCAGCATTACACTTAAGGAGTAAAGGATTGATCAACTCATCTAGTTGGCTGCTGAGTCAGATTAGTTCAGATTATTATGGCAGCACCAGAGTAAGTTATCATAACACTGAGAGGGCAAATCAAGAAAGAAGATCAATTTAAAAGAACTTATTACAGTACTGTACCTGTCTTAACAAACAATGATGTGTGAACTAACAAACTGTAACCCAAGAATGGTTATGAAATTAGCATCTTAACTTGGTAAATAAGCGAGACAGGGACACAGGTATAACATCCGACATAAAACTGGGGCCAAACATGACGTTAAACACAACACCACATAGGAGTAACACCCAACATAATTAGAGTGATACCAGACTAAAAATGATGATTCCCAACACTGTTGAATATTAAAAGTTTTGTAGAGATCTTGATTAATACTCACAAGCGACCCCTGTAAGTGCTCCAACCATTTGGCCTCTGTGCGATGTGAGATTCTGGTGGAGATTCCCGATTAAACGAGTCAGTTCTCTTTATATAGGGCCAAATACCAGCAGGGGAGCGGAGATCAAGGTATAACAAATGTGAGGATTGTTTGGCTTATTGAGGAAGACCAGCTCACATGGACGGAAGTTTGTACACAGGATATTGGGTGGCCTGACCTTACAGGCCCTTCCTATAACACTTCCTTAGAAAGGTTTTAAATTGCTTGAACTACAGTACGTTTGCCCTCGAATTTTTAAGTATAAATTATAGGCCTGTATATTTATTTGTGATGCCTCACTTATCTCTATCAGTTGTGAAGTCCTTTTTAAGTGAGCACATTATCCTATTGGGCTACTGTGTTGTATACTGTTCTGACAACCAGTATGAGATTAATACATTTTTACAAGGAACTTCTTTTTTCAGGTGTATGAGTGTCCTCCAGGAGTACAACCTGGGGTAAGGAGTTCCTGGGTGGAGCATTGGGAGGCCTGGAAAGAAGTTTACATTCCTTTATCATGGGTACATAAATACAGAGAGCACTGCACCTCAGAGTATATAGAGTGGCATGACTCCTACTTAGAAGAGTATCCCTGGATAATTCCCCATATTACTGATGAGTTAGGACACAGTGATATTAGATTAGAGGATGCAAGTCGTAACTCAGTATCTACCAATGTGAAGAAAGAGGAGTTAGATGTTCTGTATGATAAACATTCTCAAAAGAGGTATTGGGTTCACCTCCGTAATTATTTGTGCAGTTACGGTGTTGAAGATAACGGTGATCTTGAGGAATTCTTTACTCGGCAAGCTGGTATACATTATGATGAAGACAGAATATGTAACACTATTAATGAACAAGGAATGGAAAATCAAGTTGATGCAAACATAATTATTAATTATATGAATGAACGAGAAATAGATAATCAAGTTGAAGATGACCAAGGAATTATTAATAATAATGATGACGAAAGCCTGGAAAATAATGAGGAAATGAATGTGGAATATATTCATGGACAATGTTGGCAAGAACATGACCAAGAGATTAATGTTATAAAAACTGAAGAACAGAATCAAGAAACTGATGAGCCAAAAAAGGTCCAGCCTTCTCAAGAATCAAAAACTGTATCAGATGACATGAGCCATGACGCTATACAAAAATTAGATGATGAACAACTAAGTGAGCTTCCAGAAATGTGTCAACTTGAAGATTCAAATGGAGAGGATGTAAAAGAACATTGTCATAGTAAGTTGTCAAGGGAAAATAGCACTGAATTGATTTTGTTAGAACATAAAGAAAACACTACAAGTAATTTGATCAATATTAAAGGTATTCAAGATGAAAGCAGAATTGTTTATGTTACAAAACAACTTGATGGAGCAGCACAAGATGAGACCAAGAGTGACTGTGACACTTCTCAGTGTTTTGTTACAAGACAATTTAATGACATGGAGTTAACTACTCAAGTACCTGCTGAGAATCAGCTTACCTGTGATGATGTCTCACATGTAAGCTCAGTCATCAGTGATACTGATGAAGAGGCAAAAAAACATAACAGCACTCTTCTGACTACATCTGACACAAAGAAAGTTGCAAAAACAAAGAAAAGGAAGAAAGCCGGAAATTCACGGTTAGATTATAATTTTTTGTTTAATTAAACGTATCAAATTTTCTTTTCTTTCAAATTTTCTTAATGTGCTAGTAGCTACTTTCACTGATTATAGCCATTGTTTAAAAGTGAATTTGAAAGCTATGTTTTTTGTATTTATGCATCTCCATACATCTGTTTAGAATATTATATTAGGCTTAGAAATTCATGAAAAGATTATGAGAGTAAGAACGGAAGGGGGTGTATTTTGTGAAGTAGATAATGCCCAGTCAGGATAGCAATGCCTCTGTGGAATTCCAAAGCTGTTATATAATACTATACAGCATGTTATTTTTTACTCTTATTTCGACCAGGAAATATCTACATACCTTATGCTCTTCAATCTGTGTGGATAGACATGTAGAGGAGGTCAGGAGATGCTATATTAAAGATAAAGGGCTTAATGAAGCATGTTAAAAGAATGCTTGGAATATATGATATATTAGACATACAATGGAGAGACCATTTAACAGAGATAAGTGTTGGCAGATGCTAGGGATGGCTGAGGGTAATATGGGGGGAGGAATAGTGTGAAATATTTAGTTCAAGGTGGATGTTGATGAATTTGTAGGCATTGTGGAGGTAACTTTTATTTTCTTCAATTCTAAAAAGCCTCTATCTGCTATTACCATATTTGGTGGCTGGAATCAAGTGTAACAGTACTCTCCCATTCATTCCCTGGTGCTGTAATAGATTTGTTCTGGTATATTGTGAAATTAGTGAACTGATCATTGTATGTCATGCACAGTTTACTGATTATATACTTTTACTTTCAGTAATTCTTCAGGTCTGAGTTGGGCTTTAAAGTATATTCAGTCGCAGGATGTTAAAGTACAACACGCTGATGCAGGTCATTCCTTAGAAACTGCATCTGGGCCTACTTGTGACTCATCAGATAATGCAGGGGGTAAAACTTCAGCATTAGTTTCAGAGCATCTTGATCCACCTGTTAACAAAACTCCATGTGAACCAAGTATTTGTGGTACTAACAAACCACTTATGGATGAATATAATGTTGATAAAGCTGAAATATTAGTCACGCAAGATGTTGGTGATTGTGCTGTTACTGACAATGAAAAAGAAAATGAAGCTGCTCTGCCTACAAAAGTCTCACAGTATGTTGTAAAGTGTGCTGTTACTGACCGTGAAAAGGAAAGTGATATGTATTTACACATAGCAAGTACTAAAGATGGTGGTGATAATCAAAAGACGTTGTGGAGTACAATATTAAGCATACTAGCAACCGGTAAATTTTTACTGAAAGAAAGTGCATTCCATTTTTTAAGTCGCTTCTTCCCTCTGTTCTCAGGTATGTATAGTGGTAAAGTTGATTTACTGTATACAGTACTGTATATGAATCTTCACTAAGAAGTTTAATGCTTAGCTGTAAAGATCTGTGATCTCTGTAGAAATGAATCAAAACATTTAAGACATTTAGAACTGTATCTGCGAGATGGCTCCTTCAAACTCCTTGTTTGAATTCACTACATTGATTGTTGGTGCATAATTGGACCTGAAGCTGAAAGTTAGGTGAATAATGCCCTCAACGACCTTGGCCATAGTTAACAGCTCACAAACCCAGTGTGCCATTCATACTCATCAGTAATGCTGCTGTCTCGACTCTTATTTTGGTCAAACTTACCTTTTTGTTCAGTAGCTATGATACGGTTGGGAGACTTATTCCTAATTTATTTACCTTTTTGGGGTGGTTAGAGAATGTAAGATACTTTGATGGAATTACTGGTAGTCATATTAGTGATTGTTAAGACTGTTACTAAATTTAGACTAAAGTGCTGGTTTACCAATTTCCATGCCAAGGATGCTGCTAAGACTCTGAAATCCTAAGAGTAGTGAACCAGAACTTACCCAAAATACTTTCAACAGATAGCTGCAGCAGTTTTTTCCACACGGGAATGTTGTGAAATATTTGTGTGTGCATCATGTGGTGGCTTTATGTTATTTTTTTTTTGCAGCCATATTACAAGGTTACATTAACAGTACACCTGGATACATCTCCAAAATTTCACTCATCAGTATTCTCAATTAATGAGAATAAGTTCAGTGTTTGGACAACTGGAGGGTCTTGTTTGGCAGTGTACAATCATCCAAATGAATGATGTCATGATTTCCAGAAACTCTCAATCAAAAGGCTGGATGTGGCAACTGTCAGACTCGTTTTATTTTTGCTTTTATTTTTTCGAGGTGGAGTAAAATTTTTTAAAATAATAACTTTAATAATAAGTTTTAAATAAGAATAGTGTAAGAACAAATTATGTAGTTAAAATTTGAGTATATTTTGAAACAAAATAAATGACATACAAATTTATCGCTCGGGGACATTCAGGAATAATTTATGGAGTTATAATTGGATGTCAAAATGAAAAGGTGTACATTGTGTTGAGCTGAAATGAATATCAAATAAAAAATATTAATTGAAATAATAATCACTCCACGTTTATGCATTTATACCATGTCTTCAGTGAATATGTAAACAAATACTGCATTTTTCATATTCACCACCTCGACGGACGATGACGTAAGGCGGGAAACATACACAGAACAAAATTTTTAGCTTTCAATAAACTAAATGCTTATATAAACGTTTCTTGGTATGTTTTTCAAAGTGATTACTGTATGATAAAATTAATTGTCATTTATACTTTGAAGGTACAGTATTGTATTTTTTAGCACCCAAGAATAAAATATAAATATTAAAGATGCTCATTCAATTGTCATTTGTTAAAGATGAAAAAAGTAAAACTTGGTTACATTGCTAACTTTTATGAAATCTTATTCAACTAATAATTATTTTAGAGTAACAAATGTCTTTCATATTGTTCTAAAAATAAAGCAACTATGCAGAATATTCTACACCTAGAAGTACATAGGTAAGTATTCAATTCAATTTCAATTGTTTATTCCTTGAAAGAGGAAGCGGGATCCTAGTGCTGTCACTAGGTACCCCTGTACAATGACACCAGAATCATCTGGCAAGTGTGAAAAGTATATACAGTATAAATATTATAAAGGGGCTTACTAAAGCCTAAGGAAGGAAGGATGTTCCTTTAACACATAATTAATATTATTTACAAAATATCTGGCGAGTATTGGGAGGATCATCGTGTCTCCGTCAGGGGGTCGTGGAGTGGTGGTCCAGCAGGCGTCACGGAAGCGTTGTGTGTGGGGACATCTTAGGAGGTAGTGGATAAGGGTGCGGCTGTCGGGTCTTCTGCATAACGCACAAGTATTATCAGTAGCTTGTGTTTCTCTATCATCATTGGCTGGCTTTTTTTCTTTTCTTTTTTCCAAGCATCTTCTTCATCTCTCAAGCACAGGATTGGGATATAGCTCTTTTAGTACTCATCTTGAAGCCCTTTTGCCTGCAAAAATATGAGGGAATGTCAGAAAAAAGTTAGGTAGTGAGAAATTTGGTTCAGGAGTTTGTTATTATACCTGTACCATCTTTCTCCAATGGCGTCCAGGCCACTGGTAAGTGGTTAGTCACTGTCTGGGCTCCTGCTATGTTGCCAGATACCGCTGTTTGAACGAATCATACCGAAACCTGTGACATTCTCTCGTTGCCAGATTGTACTTCTCTTTATTTAATATTGTTTTACTTCATATGTTGTTAACTTCCAGAAGGAATTCGTCAGCAGCTGAATGAGGTCACATCTGCAGTATCCTCCTGTACACCTCCCCCGTCTAAGCAACAATCTCTTCCTCCCAGCAGATGTGTAGAGCGTGTCAAAGAAAAACGGTTAGTTGTGAGGATATTGACAGAACATAGTACTGTAATGAACACTTAAGAGAACAGATTAAAGTTTATGATTGAATGAAATGAACAGTTTTGGGCAAATGTTGAACCCTGTAATGAAAAGAGTAATAGGTTTATACTCTTTAGTTTATGATTTAAGTCGGGCAATCAGTAGATGTGTTGCATAAACACTTTTCATTGTCTTTATCAACCCTTTGGCTCCTTGAGGTTTCTTTAAACCAAACACAATTTTCTGTCTTAAGATAGGCCACCTTGTGCTAGAGTTGGTGACTGGAGTGAGAGGTTTGACATTATGTAAGAGATGATGGTTGCTTGAGGAAAGGTTATGGGATTCCTGTTGATAGTCGAGTGAAATGGAAAGCTGGTTATTACTTAATAAAGTGGTACAGTACACAGATTAAGGATGAGTATCATGGTAATGTACTGTGAGGAGAGGAGACTAAGCTATTGGGTAACTTCTTGAGGGAGAGTTGGAAGAGTCCTTGGAGGATCTGTTGCAGGAGTCTACCATAAGCAGTGATATGATTAGGACAGAAGTACAGGTTTTACTGACTCAATGTCTTCTATTTTCAGTGATTTCCGTTGTGATAAAAATCACATTAAGTTATACAAATGGCTGCAGCCCCTAGTATCTACAGATGGTCTCTCATTTGCCTCAACTGTAAACATTGCAGATGGTGTTACATTGAATGAGGTAAGTAAGAAATAATATCTGGATGTGTTACTTTGTTATCACCTCTGTGGCAGTGCCTCCTTGGGTGCTAAGGTCAGCTCATCTGCCTAAATACAGTACAGTAGTCCTTGGCAAGGGTTGGGTCTAATGGGAGTTAGGGGAGGTGATCCTTGAGTAGGTACCCAATGTGGTACCCAATGTCCTATAATGAACAGCTCAAGGATGGAAATAAGTACATGTATGGTATTGAATACTTATAAAAAAAGTTTATTATACTGTATAAAATTTAGTTAGCTCACTTTGCAAGTGTTGAAAAGAACAACAACAGACATGTAATGGAGCAATCCACCCTGATGCCACATGCCTGGCCTCAACACTCCTCAGCAATGAAAATATACTTGCAAAGTTTTTATACCCTTAAAGTTTTTTCAGATACAAATGTGTGTATGGACAATATACAGTATGAGGGGTGTTGAGGAATGAAACTTATGGTCAACCAAGGCTGCCTTTATTACCCATCACCAGCCTGCCCATCTCCATAAACCACTCATTGCCATGCTCTTATGTTTTCATACATGACAAAATAATAGATTTTGATCAAATTTCATATAAATGTTCTCCGTTGAGTGATTAAGGATTTGTGTTCATAATTTTAAAATTTATGTAGTTAGTGTTAATTAAAGAGCCTTGAAGTATTAAAATACATTTAGAATATTTAAAACATCAGTTATGCTGTTTACAGGAAAAAGTTAGACTATATCACTGAGAAAAAGTATATAAAGGTCATAAAAAACTTACTGGCTCAGCATAATTGATGTTTAAATTACTTTACCGTATTCCAAAAGTATTTAATTATTTCAAGTTTCATTAACTAACACTAATTATTCAGATTTTATTTTTTAAGCTAGATCCTTAAGGAGCACATTAAGGAGTAACTACAGTAGGTGTGAAATTCGAACAAAATCTCTTATTTTTTATTATTTTTATTCCTTCTCTCAATTTCTCTATTTTTAATTGATAAGATATTGTATTTTTGTCATTGTTCACTGTTTCTAGAAATTATCTTTCAGGTGCGTATACAGTCAGATAAACGAGGAGTTCAAAGTGTTTATCATTCAGTAGAGAAGACTGTGACGGAAGGTGATAGAGCACGACTAGATGTGAGGCTCTTGGACCTAGATGATGATAACAGCACCCAGGTAATACGAGTACAGGTGACACTAGGGTGAGACACTCACCTGCTGTGAATTATCATAAAATAGTAATATTGATTCAGTAACCTAATGAAAAATCTTTACGGAAAATCACTTTTTTCCTAACTTAAAAAAAAAAAAACGAAGTGGGTTGAAGGATAACATTTTCTTGTAACTTTTATTTATGTTTTTGCCTGGATTTTGTAAACTACTGTACTATATATGCTCTGTGCCACCCAGCAAGGTTTTCCAGTGACATAGTGTAAAAACAATGTCAATTATTCCGAGATTTTTTTGAATTCTCAACTAGTTTGGTGTATCAAGGTCCTAGAGTACAGTACAGTACAGTACTGTATTTGGATGGTGGCCTAAATGTTTGGAATATATTTTGCTTGTGTCAGCTTGTGGTAAATGCAAAAAATAGCAAAAACACTATATAGCAGAGATGAATAGAATTGTTTTTACAGGTTGATGATACTTATCTTACCAATGAAGAGAAAAGGGAAGACTGGACAAGAACCCATATTACTTATGATGAAGAGGGAAATCCAGTCTCTGTGGCAAAATTTATGAGGTTTTCAATGGCAAAAGAAGTGAGTTACTTAACTTATTCATTTTCTACCATTTTGTACAGAGGAAGTGTTGATTTAGCTAGGATGCTTCCGAATAAATCATCGTAAAGGTAAAGAGTGGCTGAAATTAATGCTACTCCTTTTAATAAATTGTACAGGTGCTCTTCTTCATATGAATGACTTAGGTTCCCGAGGCTTGTTCGTGAGTCCATCTTCACTCGTGTAGATACTGAACACATTGCTCTCAACATTATAGAGTATGTTTCTTGAGTTGAATTATTGCATCTTAAATTTTTATATATGTAGGTGAAGTTATACTGTATTAGTGAGTGACTAGTTCTGGAATAATGTGAATGTGACGAGTTAGTGTTGAAGATGTATTGGAAAATTAAAGTGTCGGTGTTGAATTCTTAAGAAATTGAGTGTTAATGGAGATAACTTGGAGTGCAGCTACAGGTGGATTGTAGAAGTTGTAGAGATTGTAAATTGTTTTTTATAAGAGTTAAGACTGTTGTAAGTGTCGCTGTGCTGGAGTGGTGTAGATTAGTATAATCTTTTTCTTTTCTATTAGTATTTATTTCTTTATACTCTTATTTTTTCGCCCCCTAGGCCCCGTTGTAAAGTACTCGGCAATATGATTATTTTCTGTAGTATTTCTTTGGTTCATATTTTTTTTTTTACTTTGGGGATGGATGTGTAGGATGAATGATAATAAATAGGTTGTGTGAAGCTTGTCTTGAGGCCTTATGGTGGAAAGGGAACTCCACAGCAGAACACGTTACAACAGTAAGATAGAATGAATGACAGTGAACAGAGTCTGTGTTTGCACTTGATTTCAGCCACCCTACCTACAGTGTAGAAGGAAATGGCCTTAAGATTGAAAAAGGTTTAAGTACATAAGAAAATGTGATGTTAAATTACAGTTTTTATGTCAATATTAGTCTGTTTAGTTATTATAAGAGAAGTATAATGCCAGTAGAGTAATTATGGTGAGTTATATTATCTACAATATAATAGTTGTTTTACTCTTTGTATGACTGACAGTGTGGCAAGTTGCTGACCCTTGTTTCCCTCTGCTTTAGAACCCGGAGAGAAAAGAGCGGTCAGTGTGGAAGGAGATCATTTCAGGGCACCAGTTGGTCAATTATGGAAAGAAAAAGGAGTGTCCACCACCTGATGTCCCCGAAGATGTGAAAAAGTACTGGGCCCAGAGGCATCGTTTGTTTATCAAATATGATGAGGGCATCATGCTGGACCAAGGTGAGGAGTCCTGTTTTTTATCAATATTTCAAGACTGTATGACATTCATTTTCTTAACAGGTTGTTCTTGTTTATACAGCTCCTCCCCGACTTACGACCTACTCGACTTACGACCACTCGCACTTACGACCTGCCTCAGTCGTACCAAAATTTGGTCAAATTACGTATTTTCAAGTCCCAAAGTCAGTACACAGACAAAATTTTCGTTTGTAATTTACTTTAAAATGGCTGGCAAGCTTAAAGGTGGGTGTTTTGTGGTGCTGAGAAGAAAAAGAGACACCCATTTTACAGTTTCTATGTATTATTTAAGCATTTTCGACATACGACCATTTCGACTTAAAACATGGATTTGGGTCCCTAACCCCGTCGTAAGTCGGGGAGGAGCTGTACTGTCTTCACAAAAACTGGATTCATATGTTCCGTCATACATAGAGGGAGAATAACATTATTTTAGTAATCATTCAGAATCCTATTGGGCACTACTTTATGAACGTCACTTTGGAAGAACCTAGGGGCCACCCTGTGTTCTAGGTTTTGAATATTTTACATTTTTCTGGGCCATAATTCCTTTTTTTTTATAGTACATACAGGTACTGTAACGTGTAATTATAATTAAAGTATGATAATAAATTAGTCTAATACTGTATAACAAAATGAAACTGAAAATGGGAATTAAAAACAAATACACGTGGTATAGCCACGAATGTACTTACTTTGTCAGATATACAAAGCAGTTACAAACCTACGTGTATGTTCTCTGCCCTTCTGCTTATTATATTGTTTTAAAAAGACTTAATTTTTGGAAAGGCAGTATGTAGTTCATACACACACACTTACGGTACAGGTCAAAACCTAAGGGTTTAAAAATTTCATAGTACATGTATTTGTGTTGGTAGAGAGAGGCCAAAGCCAGGTTCATGGTGCCGGGAGGACTGCTCCTTTTTACAGTAGACACCCAATTTAATATGAATCGATGCAATAATTGCAATGCAACATGGCACCCTTTAATTACCCCCATTTTTTCAGTTTAGGGTGATCAAGATTGACTTTGCATGGTGTAAGCCCAGAGTTCAGTCATAAAAAGATAAACAATCAAATAAAAAAAATAGGAAAGTGTCATTCATTTTGAACAAAGCTTTTTGAGATTGTTTAGTGAAAAAGAATTGACAAAAAATATGAGTTTCATAAATTATGTTGAGCTTAGGGCTCCAGCGATATTCAGAGCTGTTTGTCATTATTTAAGGTTTGTGAATAAACTGCATAGTGTGGCAGGGTGTGGTGTTGGCCCGGCATCAAGGTGGTTTGGTGAAATAAATGCCTTAAAGGATTTTATTTTATTTCTTATATAATTTTTGAAGTTGCAGGTCCATACCCAATATAACATGATTCATTATTTACACCAAACATGTCCTACCATAGCAAATGAGTTTGACACCCCTGCTTCAGAATGTACCAAAACATGTCAGTGTTGGTCAGGTCTGGTCTTAAAGGAGCTCATGTTCAGTACTGTCCAAATATTTTCTCCCTGGTTATTTCAAGATTTCACAAATCTTTCTTCAAAGAAAAATTAGCCCTGACATTTTACTGTACTTTGGATTTATTTAGATATATTTTTAAAGGTTTAATATGAAATGAAGACAATCAGTCGATTAGCTGATGAAAACCTGAATGGGTAGCAGCATCTGCTTAGCAGATCTTGAATGATTCCATACACCCCGAGTTGGTGTGCGTCGTCAATCATCTTGAGTCTGAACAAATGCAATCCAGTATGCAGTTGTTCAGACTTAAGGTGAGTTATAATTTTTTAAAGTGTGTTTTGAAATAATGGAATTACAGTAGTTTTGAAATGAGAAAAGGTGGTGTCACAAGGAATTTTTTGGTGTATGTTTTGGAGTTGTGGTCCTATACCCTGTATTTCCCATTGAAATACCCCAGTACATAGAACGATGCAATGCAATTAAATTTTGTGTATTTATTTATTTTATTTTTATTTTTTAATGCATACAAAGTGTATTGTATAATATTTTTATGCAGTATATTATATGTTATTTTAAGTGTAGCATACAACCTGTAATCATTTTTAACATTGAGCTGTACAATATAGGACTTTAGGTAGTATGTGTCTCAGGGGTCATTTTTCATAATCCCTTATATCTCCATCAGACAGAGTCTTTGCTAACTACAGGAGAAATCTTGGATGTAACTCCTACAGTTGGCAAGGGATTACTGTGATGTAAAAATTTAATATTCCTTGCATAATTAATGTAATGTTACACTTTTTTTTGCTAATGTCATTATGAATTAACATTGTTATTTTAATTTATTTTTTAATTCAGAATCGTGGTACTCTGTGACTCCAGAGATGATTGCAGCCCATCAAGCATATAGGTGCAGCTGTGATGTGGTGGTGGATGCCTTCTGTGGAGCAGGTGGCAATGCTATACAGCTAGCCAAGACCTGCAATCATGGTGAGTGATGGTGACAGCCTGCTGAGATGGTATGGACATGTGGGAAGAAAGTTGGAGGGCAGTTTAGAGAGAGTGTAGTGTGGCAAGTTTAGCAGTGGGTGCATTGGGAGAACTTATACATCATGGAAAAGATGGAACAATACATTATGGAGAGGAGATGAGGAGAAAAAATAAGCCAAAGGAGATAAATTATTATGTAATGATGAGAAATCTGGAGGATCTTCTGTCATGGTCCATAACCTCAGAGGGAGCTTACTGAAGAAGTGAGGCATTATAGATAAGAACAACCTGTTGAAGGAAATGACTGGCTAGATGAGATATTCAATTAATTATGGTTAACTTCAGGCTGTGATATCAACAGTTAGGAATAGCCAACACATTACATTGTGCTCTAAGGAGGGTGAGGAGAGAGAGAATGATTGCCCTCTGTTCATTTGAAGAAATACACTTATGTATTGTGAACATAGTATTTATTTATTAAAGATATGTGACAAAGATTGAAGACAGTGATACCTTACAAGTACATAAAATATATGAAAAACATTAAGGAGAGTCATATTTTTTCTTCCTCTAGTGATAGCCATTGACATAGATCCTGCAAAAATTGATCTTGCCCGTCACAATGCACAAGTGTATGGGGTGGCAGATCGCATTGAATTCATCATTGGAGACTTCTTTCACCTTGTTCCCAAGCTAAAGGTCAGTAAAGTATGTTTTTTGTGAGAAGTTTGTGAAAATAACATGAATTTAAAGAAGCATACAGAATTCAGTTCCAATAATGAGTTACAAAGCTTTCTTGATTTGTTGGCTGACATTTGATAATACAGTACTGTACCTGTAATAGCTTGCCAGTATGTATTGCAAAAAATGAATGGACCTAAGATGTAAAGCATCTAGACAGGATAATGCATTCGTCTAGACCACAGGAGTGATTTCTCTCGTCATCAAGAATCAGTTATTCTATCCGTTGTTTGACAGGTCAGGTTTTCACTTTATTAGCTATCCGAAGTTCTTGAGCTGTATGTATGTATAAAAGAACTGGGAAGTTTTTCTCTTTTCTATAGCTTCCTTTGAACCTTTCTTATTATTTCAATACAGTATTCACATCAACTTGCATGTGTAGTCATAGCTTTTTATAGGTGTTTAGTATAGTGTATTGTATAAGTTAAAAATATTTTCTGATTATTATGATTAAATTTATGTGTTGGAAATGAATCTCTCTTCTTGTGAGGGCATGTAGTACATGTACAGTACAGTATCAATGAATATTTAGAAATTGTTTTTAGAGAGTACAGTACAGTGTACTGTATAAAACTGGTTTGGAAATGGGATATACCGTATATACTCGTGTGTAGTTCGAGCTTTTAAGACCAAATTTTTAGGCCAAAATTGCGGGTCGACCTCTATGTGTTTAATAGTTTTGTTAGGTTGAACCCGTGCATGATGGGAAGGGCGAGGAGCAACTTTTAGCTTCAGACATGAAAAATATTTACCATTTACTGCCAGTAAACAATGGAAAGGTAAAATATGTACCAATTAGTAATGAAAAGTTGTGCAGTTCCTTCAGCAGATGAAGCTCACCAACTTACAATAGGCTAAATTACCTTACAACGTGCTTTCAGTAGTCTATATTGAAGTTCTTAGCACAGGCTAACTTATCATATCATATACGGCATCACAGTACTCATTGATCTACAAAAAATACTGGTAATAAAAACTTTTTCGATATTTCACACTTTATATAATAACCGGTAATCCACTTCAACCTCCTATTGTTTACAACGATGCATGACGCACCACCAGCTGTTGCGTAACAGCTAGATGGTACACGTGTTTTTCGAATCGTTTTCAGTTAAAAAACTGTTACATCACATGTATATTTTACCTTAACTGTGCCTGAATAAATATATTCTCGGAAATAAATAGTAGTTTTGCTGAAACGTGATGTATTTTAATGTAAAATAGGATAAAATACATGATGAAAACAAAAGATTTTACCTTACCTTCTGATGTTCAAGAGAAGTTACTCGTTTTTTTTTTTTAATAGTTTTCGGTTAAAATACTGTTATATTACAATGATATTCTATTCATACTGTGCTTGATATAATGCATTCACGGAAATGTAATATTTTTGATGAAATGACGTACGTATTACAGTGGAAAGTGGGATAAAATCGTGACAAAAACAATGACTTTTGCTTTCTTTCGTTCAAAAGATGTTACCGTAATCACTTTTCGAATGGTTTTCAGTTAAAAAACTGTTGTATTACAATAATATTCCCTCCTAATTGACTTGAATAAATACTTGAATGGAAATACGTATACAATATTTTTGTTGAAACTACCCGCGTTTCAGTGTAGTGTCGTAATAATAAATGGTAAACAATTTGCCTTCGGCACTCTGTGTTTCAGGCACGGTGAGCCTCAGTTTATGGGACGTAGAGTGTTTTTACTGAAGGTTTTGTTGTTCCAATACCCTCAAAAACTTGGGTCGACCTATAAACAAGGAATATCATAAATTAACGATTTCTTGGTCAAAAAATCAGGGTCGACCTATAAACGAGGGGGGATTATAGACAAGTATATACGGTACCTTTGGTAACAATTCAAATTTTTTAACTAATTTTATAATGTAACACATCTGTGCAGTAATTACTAATGTAAGATATTCTCATACCTTTGTTTAGGCTGATGTTGTGTACCTCAGTCCTCCGTGGGGAGGAATAAAGTACCTTCGTGCTGGCATATATGATGTTAAAAGCTTGGGTGGGGTGCTGAGCTGTGAAGAACTGATGACTGCTGCTCGTGCCATCACTACCAATGTGGCTCTCTATCTCCCAAGGACGAGTAACTTGTATCAGGTTTGTTTTCTCATATTCAAATTCATTTTTTTATTACAGTACTGTACACCCTCGCCAACCTCAGATTCCATGTATCCGTGGTTTTCACTCTGTATACCATTTCACCAACTACAGCATTTACGGCAGTTGTATGTATCTGCAGATTAGCATGGCATCTTTATCCCTCTGCAGTCTTATACATTCCTCAGTAAATGTGAGGAATAAATAAAAATACTACAGTAATACTAATACTGTAATTAAAAGAAAAACTACTGCATTGCCATTTGGTAATTGTTTCATTAAGGACATGGTAGACAGGAGTGCGCGCCCCCTCCCACGATTACACGCTATCTCCCGCAGATGTGCAGAATGTTTATTCTGCGTTTTTTTACCTTGTGATATTTTTTTTTTCTTTTTTTTTTAACGTACTGTGTGAATAAAATAAAACGATGTACATCTACCCAAAAAGATGAGTTGAAAAATGACAATAATACAGCTTGGCTTGGTAGGGGGAGAGCTAGGGGAATGTAGCTACAGGGACAGTCTAACTTGGTGGCATGCCAAGTCCACACACATATGTTCACTTTACACACATACACACTCATGTTCTTCATTTTTCTCATTTTATAGCAACTTGCCATCTCCATGGAAATGTACTGTAAATCTATATAACTATTAAAGTATATAAAGCTGTTTTAAATATGTTTGACTCGAATTTGATTAAATGAACAATACAGGCATTTTTAGTTAAGGAACAGGTAATTTAGTTAGGCTCTGACGAGTGTTATCCGCGGCCATGGAACCTAACCCCTATTTCTCTACGCCTTTACTCTTGTCAACTGCGGATTTGACAACCACAGGTTTTGTCAGGAACCAAACCCCAGCAGTTGGTGAGGGACTACTGTACTGTAATAGATGTAATTTTAAGAATCTTGGACAAGTCTTTTTGTCTGCATGCATCTACAAGGGAGAATCAAAAGGTTTTTAACCCTTTGGCTATGTTAGGTTTCCTGAAGTTGAATAAAATTATCTGGTGGTAGCAAGAATAAAATTATAAAGTGTGGTAATCACATCAAAAGGGTTTATTGAAGGGTAAAACAAAAGACAGTGTTCTAATTTTACTGAAATTAATCATAATAATTTTGCATAGTTTTTATAAAGTTGCAGATCTAAGTAAATGGCTTGTATACACAATTCATTTACATAAATTAATTTTTCTTTAACCAGATAATTGAACTTGCTGGCCCTAATGGTGCTGTCGACATAGAGTACAACCACATGGGAAGAAAGAAGAAAGCTCTCACTGCCTACTATGGAGGTCTGGTTCATTATTGTTGATCAGGTATACCCCACTTAACATACTGGAGATGTGCTCCATGAAAGTACTGGTACTGTTACGTGAAATATATTTTCCCGTAGACTTTTATGCCATATAGCGTATTCCAATATACTAATCATTGTTGATTAAAAAAAAGTTATGAAAAACATGTTTAGGGTTAATTTATTATGTTTTCGGGATTTTTCCCCCAAACTTCTGTTTGAACGGTAGTCTCCTCATTATGGCAGAGATTTTTACGGCAGAGATTTTAGGTATTTTACTTGCCCTCAAGATTATTTCTACCCAACCTCAGAACGATTTTAAAATTTTTAGTGATTCTCGTAGTGCTCTCCAGGCCTTAGCTTGTGTCTCCTCACCCCATCTCTTGGTTATAGCTATTTTACAGTGGTTGTTTCTCAACCAACATTGGGGCCAGAAAGTCAGTTTTTGCTGGGTTCTGGCCCATGTGGGGGAGAAGGGGAATGTTTGTGGTGAAAGCAGCTGGTTCTCACCCTGTGGCACATCATTATCCCTCTACTTGCCTCTGATATGAAGCCAGTAATAAGAGCTGCCACCCACTTGAGTTGGCAGTGCAGGCGGGATGCATTCGGAGCAAACAAGCTCCGCGATCTCCATCCAGCTTTGGGTGCCTAGGGATATCAGGGACTGTCGCACTGCTGGGAGACTGCTTTGTCCTACCTCCACATCGTTCCACACATGACTGACTCATGGTTTTTTAATGGAGAGGGCGCCCCCTCCCCATTGTGATGACTGCCCGGTCCTATTGACTGTTTGACGCCTCCTGGTGGAGTGCCCCAGGCTCAGAGATCTTCGTCGTAAACACCTCTCCCAGAACCGAGGAAGAGACGGATCTTACCATCTCTCTTTGGTCCTGAGGGAGGGAATGGGTAGCGTGGGAGGGGACGTCCTCTCCTTCGTGGAGGAAGCGGGCTTACAGAAGATTTGAGTTTTATCTATTAACGTTTAAATGATTTTTATCAAAGGTTTATGCTATTCATATGTTTTTTACCTCGCATTATTTGATTTTAGTCTTCTAAGCTTTTATTTTAATTCTGCGACCTATGACCTAAGCTGTTACGTCGCCAGAGATGTAATTACTGTATTCACAGTCAATCAATCACTCAATCTTTCTCTTACCAAAGGAATGCACTTGTATATCAGCTTTTGTAATGAAAGTCTATGAGATAATGTACTTCAATGTATGAACCCTTTCATAAATTGGTGTCTGCCTGTATAAAAATACACAAATAAATGTAAGCATAGATTAATAAAATACAGTATGAAATATTTTGGTAATAAGTTTTATTATAGGTACAAGTATGGGGTATGTGCATGTTACCAATATGACGGCCTTAACGTACCACCACACCACACACACCCCCAGTCCACACCAAGACAACACTCACACACACAGCTAATGTTTACAGTTACACAACCAAAACAGTTGTACAAATGAATGAATGAAGCATATAAATGTAAGTAAACAATTAAATTATATTAATTGTCAAGATATATTTTGAATGAAGCTTTTGAGAATTTTTTGACGAAGAACTGCCTGAAAAAATAAGAAAATGTCAAAAATTCTGTTAAATGTTGAGACTTACTTAAAGCTTTTAGGGATTTTTTTAATGAAAAAAGAGTAAAAAAAACTGTGATTAGTTACCCAAGGTAGAGGATGGTAACTACAAAGATGAAGTGGTAGGATTGGTATTGGACACAGCTGAGGTTGAGGTAACTGAGATGGATCTATCAATTCACCCATTATAGGAGTTGGTGATGGTGTGCATAGAGAATTTCACGCAGCTTTGGCTTAACATTATTTGCAGGTGATGTAGTTAGATTTGGAGTATTGTCTGAGAAGAGTGTGTAGTAGCTCTTCTTAATAGCTTCTGAAGAGTTACATGCTTCATCTGGTTGGTTTCCCTTGATTTAATTGTCTTTGTATTGAAACTCACTCCTAACTTCTTCCTGGGAATAGTAATCGCTAATCACTGATCCACGAACTTATGAATTTTTCTCTGGCTGCAGTGTCTTCCTCACTTGGCCTACTGGTTCATCACACTCACTGTCTGTATTATCGGTCTTTTCTTTGTTAGGCACAACCATCTTAATCTGCCATATCTCAGATTGATAGAACACGGTGTGATTCCTAAAGTGTTACGAGCTGTAAAATGATAACATAACATAACATAATTTAAGGGTTAAGCATTTCATAATTTATTTATTATCAATAAGTAAACATTTTATTAGCAAAGCAAAATTAAGCATACTGTACTTATTATAACATGATGTCCTCTGGCTGCAGATTTATAAATATAATTTTTAGTTTACATCTGTGAGCTGTCTCAAGTTTCACCACTTACTAACTTGGAGATTAAACTTTGAAAATCAGATACTGTATATATTCAGCAACCTGTTTTTGTGATGGAGATGCACATTATGCATAATTAAGAGGTTCATATATAAAAATACAGTTGACATGTCAAAGCCCCGGACAAAATATTTATGCTATTGCTATGTAATATCAGTTAATTAAGTGTTGTGCACAGTAGCTATATTCCACACATACAAACACACAATGGGCAATTGATCCTTTCCCATAATGTTGCTGTCTACGATACAATATGCAAGAGTAATATACAAACTACATTATAATTTGTTTTTATATTAAGAAATATATTTTGCATACTGTACTGCATAATGAAAAGCTGTGATTAAAATGCAGGATATGAAAGTATTTGAGATTTGTATATTATTCTCGTATAAATTGAAATTACTGTACAGTACTTCTAAACTTAATACAGTATTACATTGTATTAAAATAATGATTTTCTTCCTAAAATAAAAGTACAGTATAATGTTATATTAGTCTGTAGCTACTGCAAGTTGTATGACAATGGACATAAGTATTTTTAATGTGGTAAAATTATAAGATGAAAGAACAGTTAACACAGCTGCACAATTCATCCCCTTAAACATCATAGGAAATGCCAGTCATCATAGGTAAACTAGTCTCACCAATTTTCCAAAGTTAAGGACAATAACTCTGTCAAATATACTTGCAGTTGGTTTAATTAATGTTCTAATTGCATGTCTTGAAGTTAGTTAGTGGATAAACAAAGGAGGACTACTGACAGGGCCCTCAGAACCCTTTTATATTCCTCTACACTTGATTGGAAGGAAGGATGACGATATGAAATCTGTCATCCAGTAGGAATCTTGACTGACTTGTTTAATGGAAGAGTTTGACAAGAGCTTCCAATTGATGTCTCACTAATTATCTTCTTCACTTTTCTGCTTACTAGACATTTAGATGATAGCTTAGTTCTCAAACTCACCAACAGAAGATAATAATCGTGTACTGGCCTAGATTATATACCTGGAATGATGCCACGTTTATCTAATTTGAACATAATTTCACACTTAATGCTATCACACCTTCTGCTGGGAGATTATTCCATGTACGGTAGGTGTTGATTAATTTTGGTTCTTTGTCCCCATCTGTTCATATTCCTGCACCTGTTAAAAGAAATAGAGGTTGATTTACAGGTGATGAATACACTGGAACTACTTTTGTCTGTATTGATAAAAAATTACTTTGATTTATGTATCATCTATACACATCTGTCACTCTTGTGTAGGTTGTATCACAAGCTACAGAACTCTCAAAGAAATGATTGGAAAGAGTGGTGCTAAATGAGTGTAGAAATAGAGGGTATGGTTGGCAATAGAGGGTGTAGTCGATAATTCAGGGTGTGGGTGACAATGGAGGGCGTGATTGGCAACAGAGGGTGTGGTTGGCAACAGGGTGTGGTTGACAATAGAGGGTGTGGTCAACATTATAACTGGGTGTATGTTAGCTAAACAAAGTCAGTTGTTACTGTACTAAACTCCCTTGTCTCACCGCCTTGTCGATGGCTGCGAATTGCTAGGACCAGGTCAAGGGGTACAACAAAGGTAGGCGACTATACAGTGGGCCAGTTCCCCGAGATGTAGTAGGACGTCGTCACCACTGTCCTCCTGGGTCTCTGGAAGCTGTATTGCTGGAAAAATGACTTCACTTTTTCTCCCACCTGAGGAGGAACATAAAATTAGAAATTTATATGAACAGTTAATAAGTACAATACAAATGAGTCATTTATTTTTAGCCCATGTCCATCATGTTGCAGGATGGCTGAAGTTAATCACAAAAATGGGTTCCCCTTTCACTTGCCTTCATTGTAACTGTACTGTACTCTAAACCATTCCATGCTCTGTTCTCCTATCATTCATTCTAACTGCTGTGACATCTTCATAAATTACCCATTGCCAAGTTCTATCATTCACATGCTTACAGATGTCCAACTCCCTCAATTTTATTACAGCCTTCATCTGCTATCTCTTTCTATGCTTTCCCTTTTCCCTCAGAGCTGTACACTCTTTAAGGTGCCAAATCAATTATTATTTGTGGAAAGGCATCTGGATACTGCAACCTTATTAAACCAAAGTTTCCAAATCTAATTTTAATTGACACAGCCTGGGGTCATCAGCCAGCAAGAGTGTAAGATATGTCCTACTGGCTATAAGTTTAAAGGGTTACTAGTTGTGCATCAGAAGTTCCTTTATCAACAATAACATCAGGAACAAACACCTGTGTTATTTTTACTGACAGCACAGGCTCTAAGATGACCAATTCTTAACTAGCTTAAATCTGTCAGAGACATGTTGGTGGCAAGTCTCCAATAAACAATATTTTTCCACAATTATCTTGAAATATATAACATCAAGATATTTGTCTGAAATAAACAAGAAAAATTATCTTGAAGTTAATGCCCCAATTTTATTACCGGTAGTGTGGTAGCCATAAGTACGTACTGCAATATTTAGATGATAACTTCTTAAAGTTGAATGTTCTGTATTAACATAAACCTTAATATTATAACTGATCTTACTTGAGACAAGAATGAGTGAATTACCTCCTTTGGGGAGCACCTGTTCCTCCAGAGGTAAATCAGTCTGCCAAACATTGAGTAAGGACCACAGTACTCGGTTGTTTGTAAGTTTGTCATTACAATTGACTCCTCATCTTCTGTCAGTGACTTTGCCTCATCTTCCTTGGCTGTGGAAGGTACAATATCCTGCAGAATTTGGAGATTCAGCCTGAAGAAATGGGACACAGTAAATTCCTGTTCTGTCAGGTATCACAGTTTTTAATGTTTATTAGAGTACTGTACTTATACTATTTTAGTAATTAATGTGCCCATTTAGTTGTTAACTGTGCATGGAACTGTATATATGTGTACAGGTAGTCCAGTGTTGTATATCTGGAAATAGGTTAGTTAAGATACCAGCTTATCTAACCTCATAGTGCTGAAGAATCTTTATCGTGTGTCGTATCATCATGTAGGCTTAAGAAAATCATTGTCATTATGGCATGAGAGTGTACTTAGGAAAGTTTTTGGTCATAGAACCATTATGTAGAGCATTAATCCAAAATTCATATTTATCTCCATATTTAAGGACCTGTACATATCCAGTACCTATCAACAATAAAAATTAGAGAAATGACTGAATGGAATGCTGACAAGGTTAAAGAGGAGAGGTATAATTATGCAGTAAGGCTTAAACACAAGAAACAATTCATAAAATTAAAGTCAAGTCAGATGTTAAATATTGATGAGAAAGAAGTGTTTTTATCCTCGTACTTATCCTTAGCATGAAGTAGGAGAGCCTTCTCAATTTCCTTCTTTGGGAAGTGTCCTATGAGGTTGACATCAGCCGATGAGTCTCCATACTTGGCCCAGGAACCCGCTAGTATAGTGTCCTTATTGGTGGAAGCCAACACTATCATCTCTCCCTTTCGACCCCTTGACCACATTCCCACCTGTTACATGGTTAAATACCTTAGTACAAATGGATAAGTCAGATCTCCAGGTTTAGGACACGAAGAACAAAAAGATTACATGTCCTCAAGGTTATCTCTAGTTAAAACCAGGTCAAGGTCTACATATTTAAGATGTGCCACTGTCGTATTGTGTTCCTCTTTTATGAGACACTGTTCTAAGTCTTGAATAATTTATTCAGACTAATATGGGGTCCTCAAAAGGCAGACTGTGGCCTACATCTGGACCACACCCATCATCAGTACAGACCGTGGAGCTAATCCTAATTGTAGCTCACACACAGCAAGTCAACAGTGGTCAAAAATGCATTCAACTTGCTAACTCCCTTTTGAGATAGAAATAAAATTAAAATACTAAAAGTAACTGGTCAGCTCATTAGCTGATTGGGCAGTCAGTCATTTCTCCGTTACATACTGTTGGCAAGTACCGATCATATACAGGTTCTTGAAACTACCTGAACGTGTGCCAATGTTAGTCAAGTCTTGGTAATAAATGAGGTTATGCCCAGTGCAGGCTATTATGAGGTTCACAGCTCTTACTCCAAAGAGTTTAGCTTTAATAGTTTACTGTACTTAAGTCTTCTTTTACTTGAGACTTTGGCCTTAAGTGGGTTGGCCATTGGCTAGCTCCAAGTATAAACACTTGACTGAGTTATGTCCTTTTAGGTGCTTATAAATTTCTATAATTTACCCCTTACCCTCCCACAGTATAAACTAGGCAATTAAAAGCATTCCTTAGTAGTTACTGGTACGTATTACAGTAAAACCTCGATTAACCGACCCTCAATTAACCGACTTTCGGATTAGCCGTCAATCCCGAACTCCTAAAAAAAAAATTTTTTTTATTTTTTTTAAAGGGATTAGCCAACCCGGGCACAGGTCACTTACCCACATCGGGGCCTGGGGGGCGATAATGTAATAATATTAATAATGATCATGATAATAATAATAATAATAATAATACAGTAATAGTAATAAAGAACCATAAATTAATGCAAAAATGAAAAAAAAAATCAAGAGTGAGAAACAATATATGTATGTTGTGTTGTCAATAGTAAGAGAAGCAATTGAGACCCTGCAATTGTGTGTAAATGAGGTTGAAATTCAGATGAGCAACCTGGGACTTGGTCACAATTTTTGTGATGACATAGTATGTGCTTTGACTTTTCCATTTTTTATTCACGGTGTCTGTGCTGGTTCATATTTATTTACTGAAGTGGTTAATGTTTTAAAGCAAATTCTATTGAAATATGAATGGCAAATGAACAAAAATGAATAGAGGGAATTAATTGAGGTAGGTGATTAATGGCACGAAATCGTCATCTGTACCTGTAACAAGTGGGGTACCACAGGGCAGTGTATTGGGCCCGCTGTTGTTTGTTTGTTTCATAAATGACATGCCTGACGTTGTACACTCCTCCATACAAATGTTTGCCGATGATGGCAAGTTATTTCGGGAAATTAAGAACCAAGCGGACTGTGAAGAGCTGCAGAAGGACCTCTGTAGGCTCCAGGAATGGTCGAAGAAATGGCTGCTGAGATTCAATGTCACGAAGTGTAAGAGGATGCACCTGGGGCGTACCAACGGTAAGGAGGCGTATCATATGTCCCAACGGGATGAAGAAAATGCACTAGTTGAGACTGTGTGTGAGAAGGACCTAGGTGTGTATGTTGACAATGAGCTGAAGTTCTCGGGCCATTGTGAGAAGAAGGTAAATCAGGCAAATAAATTATTGGGTCTTATAAGAAGGTCGTTCAGATATCTAGACGGTCCGTCCCTCGTGACGCTCTTCAGGAGTGAAGTGCTTCCCCATCTGGAGTACTGTCACCCCATCTGGTCCCCGAGATATGCTAGGGACTGTCAGTTGGTTGAAAATGTTCAAAGGAGGGCCACCAAACTGGTGCCTGCACTTCGGCACCTCAGCTACCCTGAGAGATTGGAGCGCCTGAACTTGCCTAGCTTATACTACAGACGGGCAAGGGGGGACCTAGTTGAGGTGTATAAGCATCTCAGGAGGCACTACTCAGTTGAGTGTCCTTACTTGGAGCTGGCGGACGCTCGCCCCACAAGGGGTCACAGCTCAAGATTGAAGAAGCCGCAAGTCCAGAAAACCGTGAGGGCAAACTTTTTCGGAGTGAGGGTTGTAAACTCTTGGAACAATCTACCAGAGAGTGTTGTGACGGCACCGAGTGTGAGCTCTTTCAAGAGAAGACTTGACCAACACTGGAGCGGGTTCAGGTACATTCAGGAGCCGGTGCATGCCCAGTATTTGCCAACAGTGCGTGACAGAGACGTGACCGATCGCCCGGGCGGCTAGCGAGCCGATCTTTTGGTGAAGAATATAAATGAAAAGAGACGTGACCGATCGCCCAAGCGGCTAACAAGCCGATCAGTGGCGAAGAGGATAAAAGTAAAAAAGTAAAAGTAAATATTGAGTCTCATTACATATGTTGCCATACATATATGACCAGCAATGATTTAATGTAACTAAAACTAATTCTTAATAAAAAGTATATATATATATATATATATATATATATATATATATATATATATATATATATATATATATATATATATATATATATATATATATATATATATATATATATATATATATATAATATATATATATATATAATGAGTTTGCAATAAAGAACAAGGGTGTGCAGGAATCAATTAATGGCTGTAGGATCCCTCAATTGATAAAACATCCATCAGTGTTGTCAGAAAAGGTGGGCACTATGCTGAGCAACACAACCAGAAAGAGAACTTGTAGTAACTTACGTGATATCCAACTCTGGTTCACACCTGTACCTGGCGCCCACTGCTTTTGCTTGCTGTACCGACTGTATGATGCGGTCCATGTTACCTTGTAGGTCCATGGCCCACTGACTGAGGGCGCATGTTGAAAGTACTGCAACACGACCCATCCTCACCTCAACACGATCTTCACTCCTGAGATAATACTGTGCAGTCATTATTATTTATTAAAATAATTATAAATAATTAGCAATATATTCTTAAATAATACAACGTGGGTATTGGTAGTAAGGTGTGTATCTATCACTATTCATAACTACCGAATGCAAAGAAAGTAAAATCAACAGAAAGTATTATAGTTACCGTAAAACAAAATCTCTAGCGCCCCAACGACCATTTTCTATGAAGTGTGGCTTGTCCAATAGATGACACGAGTGAGGGGCGTTATGGTTCCATACGCTACGTCACGGTCTGAGTTTCTTGGCCTACCGGACTCACGACGCGTCTTTCAACAATCACGATGCTCCTCCAACCACACGGTAATGTTTGCTTAACGCTGACAGTGTTTTCAAAGAAGCTTTAATCACGTCTTGTGAATTTTTTCTATCTTCTACACGAGTGACACTAGTGATTATGGCATGTCTGGCTCTTCTTAAGAGAAGAAAAGAATGGAAAACTGAACTGTCAGAGTGGGCATTTTCAAGACCAGACTTTACCAACACTGGCGCAGGTACAGTTACATTCAAGAGCCAGTCCCGCTAACAGACGTGATGGAAACAAGCAAAAAACTCGGCTCATGTTTTATAACCACCTTACATTGGCGGTTGTTTGGCGAACGAAGGCGAGAAAACAAGATTGTTTATGGAGGTCACTGCTGTAAATGACTGACGCCAGAATGGTGAGTGTTAACTACCTTTTTGGGTATGGTCGAGGTGACGGTTACTGGTTGAAATTATTTATGGAATTACACCAAAATTTATGGAGATGTTATTTACATGATACTAAACAAGAAAATGAAAACGCAATGCACATAAACTGACCCAATCCACCTGACCCACACAAACCCACCTAACCATACGTTACTTCCCTCCCGGACCCCTCATCAGATAGCGTTTACTTTGATATGGTACCATTGTAAGCACCCTCATTGAAGTGGCATTGTATGATTTTACGTGTTTTGTGGACGCATTATGACTGTTGCATTTTTTATTTTTATTAAAACATTGGGGTATCGTTCCGTGTATTAAACATGAGGAAGGCATTTATTGTTTGATAATTTTGTTAATAACCATAACTTTTGAAATATGGTTTTGTTCATTTTGCAAAAGTCGTGAGTATAATAGTCACGCATATCATTTCATTTCACCACGTAAATTCATTCACATATATTTTTTTTACTTATACTGCATTAGTCTACACATGTTCAGATGCCTATTTAAAACAAAAATGAGATAGATACCATGGTTATTTGGCTTGTTCATAAGTTATGGGATTTTCAACATTGGCAAACTTTAACTGCAGCTTTCTCAACTCTTTAAAATCAGTGGAAGGCTAGTTATACATACCGAACATATCCTTTGTCTCCGTACAAATAGCAACGGTCTATTCAAGGGTCCTATCGGGTTGAGCGTATGATAATGATGACTGGGCTATAAATTTCAGTCTTGCCATCAATAACTTAAATATGTGTTGGGAGATAATACCCAGTGTTCTCACTGGTTACTAGCAAAACCAATTATTGATAAAGTCTACTTTAATTATACGAGTATAATTGTCGTATATTGTAGGTAAGGAAAAAATATATACCTTAAAACACACGCACACACAGGTGTAATCTTACTACAATTTGCGTATAAAAACTATTTTTTGGTAATATAATCAATGATCTTACCTCTGATAACAACAGCCACCACTTCTAAAGGCAGCGGCCGAGCCACTAAATCTGCTGTCATGTCATTGGCAGTGTGGCTGGGTACTTTGGGTAAAGTGAAGAGTAACGTCTGGTACACCAAAACTCTAACTTAAATTAATGATAAAACTTTCTGAACTTAAGTAATATTACCCCAAAACGGTAGGATTGATAAAAATAAACCCCAAATTCCCTTAAATTCAATAATACCCATAAAAATGGTAACATTCAATAAAATCAACCCTTAAGCTGTTAAAGACACTGAATTCAGCTAGGTTTAGCCAATTTTTTGCTATATTGACAACACTGCCAGCGGGTTTCTCGAGTGCTACATGAATCTCGCTGCCAGAGGCCGCTTTTTTTTTTTACAGGGATTAGCCCACCCGGGCACAGGTCGCTGACCCACATTGGGGCCTGAGGGGCGAAAATGTAGTAATGATAATGATAATAATAAAGAACCATAAAGAAATACAAAAATGAAAAAAAAATCTAAAGTGAGAAACAATATATGTACAGTATGTTGCGTTGTCAAAGTAAGAGAACCAATTGAGACCCTCCAATTGTGTGTAAATGAGGCAGAAGTCAGCTCAACAACCTGGGACTTGGTCACCATTAGACAACACATTTTTTTATTTTTTTAGTTTATTGGGCACCCCTCTACATCCTGTGCAAGGTGAAGTGCTGAAGCGCTTACTGCGCTCATCTGGGGAACATGCTAAGTTCATGCTTGCCTTTATGTCTCATAAGTTAAGGGCGTAGAAGCCTGAATGGTTATAGGTTTTTTGGCAAGGGCGTAAAAGCCTGAAGAGTCATAGGTTTTTTTTTTGTCAGCAAGTTATTGGAAGCTCCAACAACTTTCCCTGAATACGAATTCGCAACTTTTCGATTTACAACAGGTACCTACTTTACTGCTAGGTGAACAGGGACCATGGGGGCTAGGAAAGGTGTCCAAACAACTTTCCACTGGCCCGGGAGTCGAACCCGTGACATCTCGCTTGTTAGGCAAGAGCGGTACCGCTCTACCACCAGCGCTTCCAAGATAACATATTATGCTTCCAATATCTTCCCAGGCTGTAGTACTTCCCTGCTTGGTAGCTGATTACTACCTACTACCTATCAGCAGCAAGAGATATGTATAGTCTTTTTTATTTTATTATTGATGACTACTGTACTGTCTACCAAACTAGACTACGTGCTTAAAACCTTGGTAGATCATGGAGTCTTACAAGGTGTCTCAACGTAACAGCTGACAACATAAATCAACCACACTTAACCAAAGACTCGAGGACTCTAGAGTGAATTAGTGTTGGTTTGGACACATTTTACGTTAAGTTCATTTCTGTTGTCCACTTTAGAAATTTGACATCTAGCACTACCCAGCTAACGGGAACACTGGCCGCTTGTCTACTGCCACCATGACAACAATGATGAGTCAAACTCAGCCTCGCCTCTCAACTTCAAATACTGTATTCTGCATCATCTACTTTCTTTCTCTGTGTTTAGCTATCTATCCGTCTTTATCGATCTACCTATCTATATGCTTATTTATCTCTCTTTTTGTTATCTTTACTCCTCTTCCACCGTTGTGTAGAGTGGATCAAGGGATATATAAACAAAAGGTGAAATAATTGGGAAAGTTGTGTAATGCACGACTTGGCTCTCCTGTAGTCTGATGTAATTGGCATACTGTATCCTCTTCGCCACTGACCGGCTTGCTAGCTACGTGGGCGGTCGGTCACGTCTCTGTTATGCACTGTTAGCAGGTACTGGGCATATCCTGTCTAAAGAATGTATTTGTATCCACGCCAGAGTTGGTCATGTCTAGTCTTGAATGAGCTCACACTCAGTGCCGTCACAAAGCTCTCTGGCAGATTGTTCCAAGAGCTCACATCCTTTACCCCAGAACAGTTTGCCCTGACAATTTACTGAATTTGTGGATTCTTGAACGTTAAGGTGTGACTTTTAGTAGGGCGGGCATTCGGAGGGATTTACAGACTTGTCCACCTACAGTACTGTAAAGGAATATGTTCTAAGCGTGGCCACATACTCTTTTAGTATCATTATGATCTCCAGTGGCCTGATATATTACCATGGGATACTTAGATCCAGTCCTAAGAAGCTAGTTTCAAATGGGTTAGTTTAAGGTGCACTAAGCTGCCACTAAGCCAACAGTTTAAAGTAGGTTTAAAGGATAATAACTTCATTTTTGTTGTAAATCCTCTTAATTAATGTCAACAGGAGGAATGGCGGACACAATTGGTCTTGGTGTCAGACGATGTGTTCAAGATAGTCGTGACACTAATACTTTTGTTGACATCATTTGATGTAAAGACATTGCAAAGACACTGATTATTATTAACCAACTACAAAAATTTACAAATAATGATAGGGACAATGTTGTGTTAGTTTGGTGAGTGAATGTGTGGTGCAAGATAATGATGTAGCTAGAAGTTACTCAGTTTTTACCATTTTCTATTTTGTTTCATCTTATTAAAGCAATAATGTGGTTGTAATAAAAACATAGTGTACAACACTTTAAAATGTACTGTATATAAGTATAGAGATTTTCAGTTAGACAGTACTGTGGATAATAATTTCAATAAAAATTTCAGTGTCGTATTTAATACGGCACTTATATTACATACCACGTATTTATAAGTACTGTGCGGTATACAAAAATAGACTTAATCACCAAATCACACACAAACAAAATATATATATGCTCTCATTCAATTTACTCTTTATATATACTCTGTATACTGTATATTGCTCGGCATGGCCATCTGTAGTGGGTAAATATGGTAAAATAATACTAATACTGTACTACTTTAACAGATAGATATACTAACAATAAAGAGTGGAGTAAACTGTACAGGAATTACCAGACACTAGAAATTGTGCCAATTGTTTTGTGCTCAACATATTTACTGTATACTATACAAGCTTTATCTTGAATGTTATTGATTTTTTCTCTAAAGGACATATTATTCACTTAACCTTTTGTTACTTATATTTATCTATCTAAAAAACTTCAGAAAAGTCATGTTTTCGGAGTACTGTACTGTACTTATTTCTAGTTCCTTTATTTTAAGTAAACTTGGTTATAGTGGACACAATGTGAGCTCTCACAGGGTAAAATCATCCACCAATCAGATCAGTAAAAATGCTCAGTATGGACTGACAAACTGTGGCCAATTAATTATAAATACTGTATTTAAAAATAATTTGCTGCTTATATTCTTGAGTTATCTAAGCACAAGTCCCAAGTTCCCAACTGCACTTGCTCCTAGAATTCCTGAGCACAAATACTATATGTAGTGAGCGTGGGGGGTGTCTCTTGGTGGGCTGTGGGAGATATTTTGTTTTGGTGAGCTCTCTGGGTACTGCACGCTGTACACTGTGGCCTGGACGGGTGGTTGGCCGGGGGTGTGGGTGGCAGAGGGCTGACGACCCATATCCAGCCGCAGTAACAGACATATGAGGATGATCACGACACACAGGCAGCTCTGCACCACGAAGTTTATCTGTGACAAGAAAGTGTATATGCTTTTAACTTCATAACTACTGCTATAGCTTATACTAAAATGTCTGCACTGTTTATGAATTTGTGAAGATGTCAATTCGCAAGTGGCGAAGAGGATGATTACAATAATAATTCCTGTACCGGTATACAAAATCAGTTTAGGTAATACAAGTAATTTATTGCATATCACTTAAAATCATTATGGAAAATGAAGAATAAAATTGCTCTAAAGAAATCTTGAAAACGCTAAAAATATTATTGTAAATTCTACATTCATATATTTTATAATGTACAGTTTATACATAATCTAAAAACTTGTTCTATAGTGAGAAGAAACAACTTACCTGAGGGAATGATTTTACGAAGGTGTTATAGAGGAAGGTGAATATAGTTCGGTCCACAGAGAGCCAGGCAGCTTCCAGGAGGCCAGTGAGCGCCAGAACTTTGCCAGCCTCGGCCACTCCCACCACTGTGGTCAGCATGGTCCGCAGGGCAGGTTCTATGCAGGGTTCTAACATGCCTACCACTGATGCCACCACAACCAGCCACCACATCCCAGGACCCATAATACATGCCAACACTGCTGACCATAACCCCAGGGATACCAACCCTCCCACAGCCACTGAGGTGTCATGTAATCCAAGTCTAGATGCCAGCCACACCCAGGTTACCATGCCTGCCTGGTGTATCACTGAATCCAAGCTGGTCCAGGTAGAAAACTCTGCCGGTCCCCATTTAAGGACACGCCTGGCCCAAAGATACATTTGGTGACCTTGTACCAGAAACACCATAAGTTTAAGGATCAATAACACCACAAGATGAAAGCGACCACGACCAGGTCTGGATTTGAACGCTGTCCTCAGGAGAGCCACCACATGTCGCAGTGGTCCAAAGCGAGCATCTTGAACCTCTTGAGGGCTACTTCTTTGGGTAGTTCTGTCAACACTCTCAGATACCCACAGCAACACATACATGAAACAGATGATCCACAAAACAGCTGATAGAAGAAACACTACAGGGTATCCAGCAGCTCGAAACAACCATCCCCCAATCAAGCGGCCTATGGGACCACCCAGGTACCAGCAGGCGTCCAACACTCCAAGCCTCTTAGTACGATTTTCAGGGGTCGTGATGTCAGCCACATAGCTGTACACCGCCATGTTGAACACCACCCACGAGCCTGTGATATCTATAGCCAGAGTGGCACCATACAACACTTGAACAGGCCAGGTAGGTTTTAGAGACACCAAGAGATAGCCACAAGACACAGCCACGAAGCCAGCCAAGACTGCTAACATTGGAGGTTTACGCCCGTGGTGGTCACTGAGGGAACCCATGAACAACACAACAGCCAGGGGAATCAAACTGTCCATCAGACTCTGGTTATAGTTGAAGGTGTTCTGGAATCTCTGTACAGCAACCTGGAAACATAAACACTTAAGGTTAGAAAGCTAGAGTTTTAAGGCAACCGATTACGTTTCTGGTTCTTTTACTGTAGATAAGTAAGAAAATGCTATAAATGCAGTTTTCCTTTTAATTTTTATTTTATTTTAACTCTTATGCAACGTCAAAAAGGTTAATGCAAGTGAGCATATCTTACCTCTCTACCCATTTTAAACTATAATAAAATACATATCCTATACGGAAATCCGAAATGTGTTTGTACCCGAGTCAGTCTTGAGTGCTAGGAAGTGTTTGTACTTGAGTCAGTCTTGAATGCTAGGAAGTGTTTGTACTTGAGTCAGTCTTGAGTGCTAGGAAATGTTCGACCCGAGTAGTCTTGAGTGTTAGGATATGTTTGTACCCGAGTCTTGAGTGCTAGGAAGTGTTCGTTCGACTCACCTGAACATGGGTGTAGTTGCCACTGTCCATATGAGCACACTCCTCCTCTGTGAAGTTAAGGTTGACCCGACACACGCGATCTATCTCGAGAGTGTCGGCCACTACACCATAGTTGCCCTCAGCTAACATCTTCAAAAACAACATAGGCTCCAAGGTCACGTTCTTGGCTGCCTGCGAACATTAAAAACTCCGGTTAATGCAGAAGGAGGGATGTGTATAAAGAGTGCAGGACAAAATCACTGATAAAATTGTAACCTAACCCCGAGAAAAATTTATATATAAAATGGTTTTTTTTTGTCCTACTGTACGTTCCACTTTAACTGAGGATGGATTTAATCAGAACAAAGGATTTTTACAAGTATGATTTTGAAACATTCACTGTACTGTATTTATTTATGGGGTAGAGAAATCCGAAAAGACAAAGAAGTTGTCATTGGTGTAGAATATTTAGGGATAAGCAAAGCCTACTGACAGAGAAGGGATATAAACTGTAATTAAAGGCAAAAAAAAATAATCATTATCTCCACCGAGTTTAATTACTATACCTGTTTGATCATCCTTGTAACGGGGTTGAATGGCGAGGTGTAGTGGTATGGGGGGTCTACTTGTGGGGGTACTCGCCCCTCCTCCTGTTGACGGGCACCCATCGTCTCCTTTGATTGGGCGTCGTTGTCACCCAATAGCGGTGAGGTCTGCAAGTACCATTAATATTAAACTACCGAAGGTCATTTTTTCCCCCGTCACCAGCATTATGGGACAAAAGTTAATAAAGAACCTACAGGGAAATTAAAATTCAATACGGTATAAATTAATATTCAAAATACATATGCATAGCAGTTGCCATATTGGGGCTCTTTGTACAATTATACCTACAGTACATGTATAGTATATTTATATAATTCACACGTAGGCTAATTAATAAACTATACACTATGTTCTCTCTTTAATAACCTGTATGATGGCACCTTTATCTGAGCTCTGTTGGTGTCTTAGCTTGGCTGGTCTGCAGGAATTGTACTATCAGTTAACATATCTCTTAATCAGGGAACTTATTCAACCCACAAGAAGCTCGTAATTATAGCAATGACAAGATCCTACACCACACAGCCAATGTCTAAATCTATAATCTCGTGCTCAGTGGTTTTCAGTGTTTGAATTTTGTTGTTTTTATCAAAATTCAATCATTTTTCATTTTCTCTTATCCCAAATCAATGACCTTTATTTTTAGAACAAGAATTTGACACTTTATTGGATCCTTTCTAATCAAATTCGATGCTCTTTTTTTATTACCTCAATTTGACGTTGTTCTTCGTCCGAATTCCTTACTCTATAGCCCGAATTCGTTACTCTAAAGTAAAGTTTTCTAAATATGGTACCAACAAGAATTATACCATTACCTTGGCCATATCTTACTCATTATGTGTTCTAATACCTCATCTACTCTTCACTTCACCAATACTCAGCTTTTTTTTAAGTTCCCTACATATGATGCCTCCACTTACACAGTTAACACAACCCGTTCCACAGGTCAGTGACCTGTGCCCACCCGGGCACAGGTCACTGACCCACATCGGGGCCTGGGGAGCGAAAATATAAAAATAATAATAGTAATTCATGGTAAATAAATTTTGAAATAAAAAAAATAAAAATTAAAATAAAATAATAATAACACTAATAATAATAATAATAACTAATAATAATAATAATAACTAATAATAATAATAATAATAATAATAATAATAATAATAATAAAGAACCATAAAGAATACAAAAACTAAAAAAAGTGAGAAATAATACATTTATGTTGTGTTGTCAATGGTAAGAGAAACAATTGAGACCCTGCAATTTTGTGTAAATGAGGCAGAAAGTCAGATCAGCAACCTGGGACTTGGTCACATATGGCAGCAGGGTCTACCATTACATTATGCTTCCAATATCTTCCCAGGCGGTAGTACCTCCCTGTTTGGTAGCTGCTTACTACCTACATACTATATACGTAAGATTTTGTCAGGATAACTACATAAAAACACAATATAAAGAAAAAATCTGATAATTTAAATATTTACATCACAATCCCTTTTCCTATATGTAAAGCCACATAATGTCAACATTGTCCAGGAAATTTTGTCAAATAAACATAAAAGAAATAAAACAAAGTTCAAGTTTTACCTCATTGTAACTATCCATTGTTTTGCGTCTCATCTTGTTCTTCATAACACTATATTAGTATTTGTGAAGGTTAGTGACGCCTTGTTACTTATGAATGCTACCGAGTCTGTGTGTGCGTGTGTGATAAAAATCGATAGATAACATGACACTGAATTTTAGTTCCAGAGACATATTATTAAAATTTTCTTTACAAACATAGTAAGAGTATGGTGACAGCTCTGAGCCCGTGATGTGTAACGTTCCTGGCGTCGATAATTAAACAAATACAACAATTTAAATTTCCCGCGCCACCTTCACTCTTTACTTTCAGCAAACAACATTTTTCGTTGACGTGTCCACTGACGGATGATCCTCGCTCTGTTAACCTATTATTCGGTGTGCAATTAATCATAAACACTTTATTTCAAATATATATATAATTCTTGGTTGATAACAACGAACGGAGCTCCATTATTTTCGAAATCAGAACACACAGAAGAGCAACGCCTGGCAAGCAGGAAATGCAAACTGAACTTTCACGGGTATCAGTGTCCTAGCCCTCCTCCCACCGTAGGCTACTTTTTAAAATTATTCTTAATAACTTCTTTGTCTAACTAACAAACACCTTCAAATTATATGAAATTTAAGACAACATGAAATATCATAAAGATTCAAGTGATTAAAAACCTAACGGGCCAGATGTAAATGACAGTATGGTGACAATATGGGAACAGTCTAATCATTTTTAAAGGCGAATTTGCTTCTTTCTGGCCATAAACACGCTATACACTGAAGTATTAGAACGAAACACAGTGCCTACGATATACAGTCAATCTAGCACAGGTGGGTGAGGCGAATATAACGGGAATAAGAGGGAGGATTTTAGTGCCACTGAGAGAAAGAGAATCTTGCCAGCAACTCACACAACAGCTGGGGAGGAGAGTGATAGCAAGCAATAAGCCAACAGGTTGACGTGTTCTGGTCGCGTGAGGCGTATGTGAGTAAGTGTGCGTGCGTGTAGGCCCGTCGGTAGTCAACTTTTTCTGGGGGTGTGGCTCGAATTTTATGATTTTTTTTTTAGTTTAACAAATTTAGTTACAAAGCTTGGAGTACAGTTTGTCTATTCTGAGTAATTCAGTCAGGTCTTGACACTGAGGGTGGTATCACTTCTCACTGCCACGCAGGACAGAGGTTCATACACAAAGGAATAGATCATATTCATTAACAGTATATATATGTCAGAGTCATGTGGGTTGATGGCCAAACAAAACTAATTCCTCAAAGGCTAGAAATATGTAAAGTAGACTTAGAAAAGATTGTTGTAATTCCTTGTCAAAAATATCTTATATCACCATGTGTCCTGTAAAGCAAATTATGTAGTCGCTGATAACTTGTCCCAGAGATATTTAGTAAAGATAGTAAATCAACTATCTGATCTAGATTATGGCAATCATATTGAACATGGAGAATGGCCAGGCCTGACAGACCGTTCTCTCTCACACTACATAACATGAATAAATTATTGTAAGGTTATCACAGCCAGCAAACACACACATGGTCGTGCCAAAGTGCGGGAAGATGATTTATGGTCCCAGTAGTAAGCGGTCCGACTAATTACCCAAATGTAGCCAAATATAGCCGGAATGAAGTCAAATAATGGTCCTAGATGAATAAATCGGACTGCCAATCACTTCTCGACTAGTATTTGGTGTCACAAAGTCACAAAAAATTGGAAAACTTACTTTAATCTTAGTTAATAGATCGCGTGCATGTACCGAGGGAGCGAGGAATTACCCAAATGTAGCCGCAATGAAGTCAAATGATGGTCGTACAAGCGTAATTCGGGCTGTGAATCACTTCTCGATTATTATTTGGTGTCATAAAGTAAAAAAAAATTTGGTAAACTTAATTTAATCTGAGTTGTGTTGTGTTAGGTTAGGTTAGGTTAGGTACATGCACTCGATCTATTAACTCAGATTAAATTAAGTTTACCAATTTTTTGTGACTTTGTGACACCAAATACTAGTCGAGAAGTGATTGGCAGTCCGATTTATTCATCTAGGACCATTATTTGACTTCATTCCAGCCACATTTGGGTAATTGGTCGGACCCCCCAGTAAGTCACTCACTGGCACTATTACACCAGGACACCACGGGACAGCTACAATGAACAGTATAATGGTATGAGTGAGTGATAAGTTGTCTATTAATTGAACAAACTCTGATTATATTTTTCCAGTTTACGATTTTTATTGAGATAATGAGTTAATTAGTATTGATAGGGAGAGTATTTTATTTATGGGGGTCCGATCAAGACCCCCTCACCCCCCCCCCCCTTGGTTATGTGTCTACTGTATATAACGAAAAAAAATATTGTTGATTTCATGTATTATATGAGTATCGATAGATTAGGTCTTTTAAGTATGTTCACAAAGTCAGCTGTTACAACTATCAAAGAAAAAAAATAAACGAAATTATTGTTTTTCCCCTGGTTATACTGTGGGGTATGAGATTGTTTGGTTCACACTCAGGATGGGATGGAGAAAGGAAACTCACAATGTGCTCTCTGTATACATGTTGTATTGGATGTACAATGCAGCTTGGTGCTGGGAAGGCAGCATGGTTACAAGCGTGATGTAGAGAGAGCTGGTTGGTGAGGATGCTCAGAGGAGGACCAGCTTGTGGGTCGCCTTGCTCGCCGGCGGGAGCGAGGACCGCCAGGCAGGCGGAGGAGGAGGTGTTGTTGGTAGCTGGTTGGTGTAGGTAGAAAGAAAGTGGTCACCACGAGGTCAGGTCTTAAATAGCGGAGGTAGGCGTGGCTTAGTAGTTGACCTCCGTCATGTAAGGCGGCGCTGGTTGACCTAGACCACGAGGCATACTCTGGGGAATTCGCGGGATCGGCTACCAAGCGACAAACAGCGTTTGTAGGGGAGAAATCCACTACAATACAACAACAATGCCCAAGGAGTGTTTAATTAGCTTGGGTGGTTTCGTGCAACCTTAACTAGTTCATATGCACAGTCATCCACAAAAATCCTGTTGGTAACAGTCGCCTCTGCTGTTCCACGAAACCCAAAGATTCAGACTCGTGAACCCGAAGCAGTAGATGCATTTATTCTATCCATAAATGCTTCGGAATCACGAGTCTGAATCTCTCGGTTCATTTGAAGAGGCGAAAAAACTTTTGCGAGGGTGACTGCGCTATGTATCCTGGTTGCTACTATGTACAATCATAAGACATAGGGACGTACACAATTGGTTCACCCGAACTTAATCACTAAAATAAAATACAAAGTGTGGACCTTAACCAACACCAGTTTGGAGGGACATAACATAAAACCAGACAAGCTGATGACTGGTTAATTGACCAATAAATTTATTAACATTAACGCAGGTTCAGTACTTGCCAACAGTGCGTAACAGAGCCACAACCGACTACCCTGCCAAGTAACTAACAACTCGGCCGATCAGTGACAAAGAGGATACAAAAAATTATAATAGAAAGTTGTTTCTTTTAATATACTTAAAATCATCACAACAATAAGTAAAGCAAAAATAAAAAAACTCAACAAACAACTTCTAATGATAACAGTTTCGTAAACATTTACCAAATATATACCGAGTTACAGCGATGGGAACATACGACAATGTGAATTTGGGTGAGTCTACGGCCTAAATGTAGGTGACGATTCAGAGAAAACGTAATTCTCGCTAGGAATAACTTGGCTAAACTGACACGCTAGCTGAAACGTGTCCCCCCTGATTTCCTTAGCACTCCCATCCAGATAGGGTGGCCATTTCCAAAAAGGAGGACATTTTTTAAATTTTTACGACTTAATTTTAACCTAAATTAAACGTGTTTAATGATGAGTTGAAATATAAAAAGAAAAAACATACAAAATATTCTTAGAAGTGTTGATTTGTCAAATATCACTATAATGTAATGAAGGCTATTTTGTGGTTTTTCTAAAATTTAATTTTGTTTAAACGCACTGTATATGTTACATACATGATACATGCATTCACACAGTATAAATAAAGAACTGAAAGAAATAAATATTAAATTTACTCCTGCTGGAACAACATACTAACCAAATTAACTTACTTCACAAACTAAAGGAAGTAGCCTGCTTACCAATGTGGCCTTCAGTTCCCACTGTTTTAGTATACGTAAGGTAATTTAAATAATTCTTTTTAGACAGGCCCAAAAGAGAAGGACAAATTAACGTCCTGCTTGAGGTGGCGCAGGACGGAGGACAGAGTGTTCAAAAGCAGGACGTCTGGCCAGCCTACATCCAGTCTATAATTAGGTTGAAGCTACATAACCCGAGATATAATCAAATCTAATATCGGATGGTTATGTTAGTTTGGGTTCGGTTAGGTTAGATTAGTCTTGGTTAGATTAGGAAAGGTTAGGTTATAATGTTAGATTAGATTAAATCAGGTTAAACTAGCACTGTTTAGGTTAAATTTCGTCGTTAGTTTAGATTAGCTATGATTGGATTAGGTTTAGACAGGATCGGTTAGATTTGGGAAAGATAAGTTAGTTAAATTGGGTTGAGATTAAGTTAAAATCGGTTAAGTTACAATAGGTTAGTTTAAGATGCATTAGGTTAGGTTAAGATTGATTGGGTTAAGGTGCTATAAGATAGGTTTAAATAGGTGTAGGTTTAGTACAGGAACATATAGGTTTGACCCGTTATTATCCGTGATGTAAAAGGTCAAAAAATGGTTCTGTTCGGGACACGTTTTAAACAGATTGGAATGAACCTGATATTGACCCTCGGCACCTTCTTGCAAGCAGGTTACGTTATCTGTTTTCAGAGTCGTGGTGAAACTGAAGTCCACATTCGTCCTACTTCAGTCACAGGCGTCTGGGAGATAATTCTGGGAACTGAAATGTTTGTGTTGGGTAAGTGTGGTGTAGGTGGTGGTGGTGTGGTGTAGGTGGTGGTGTAGGTTTTGTGGTGGTGTGGTGTAGGTGGTGGTGGTGTAGTGTAGGTGACGGTGGTGGTGTAGTGTAGGTGATGGTGGTGGTGTAGTGTAGGTGATGGTGGTGGTGTGGTTGTGGTGTGGGGTGGTGGTGGTGTGGTGCAGGTGGTGGTGGTGTGGTGTAGGTTGTGGTGTGGTGTGGGTTGTGGTGGTGTGGTGTGGGTTGTGGTGGTGTGGAGTGGGTGGTGGTGGTGTGGTGTGGGTGGTGGTGGTGTGGTGTGGGTGGTGGTGGTGGTGTGGGTGGTGGTGGTGTGGTGTGGGTTGTGGTGGTGTGGTGTGGGTTGTGGTGGTGTGGTGTGGGTGGTGGTGGTGGTGTGGTGTTGGTGGTGTGGTGTGGGTGGTGGTGGTGTGGTGTGGGTGGTGGTGGTGGTGTGGGTGGTGGTGGGTGGTGTGGGTTTGTGGTGGTGTGGTGTGGGTTTGTGGTGTGGTGTGGGTGGTGGTGGTGTGGTGTGGGTTGTGGTGGTGTGGTGTGGGTTGTGGTGGTGTGGTGTGGGTGGTGTGGTGTGGGTTTGTGGTGGTGGTGGTGGCGTGGGTCGTGGTGGTGTAGGTCATGGTGGTGTGTCCTAGTGGTGTGGGTCGTGGTGGTGTAGGTCATGGTGGTGTAAGTCCTAGTGGTGTGGGTCGTGGTGGTGTAGGTCGTGGTGGTGTAAGTCCTAGTGGTGTAGGTCGTGGTGGTGTAGGTCATGGTGGTGTAAGTCCTAGTGGTGTAGGTCGTGGTGGTGTAGGTCATGGTGGTGTAGGTCATGGTGGTGTAAGTCCTAGTGGTGTAGGTCGTGGTGGTGTAGGTCGTGGTGGTGTAAGTCTAGTGGTGTGGGTCGTGGTGGTGTAGGTCATGGTGGTGTAAGTCCTAGTGGTGTGGGTCGTGGTGGTGTAGGTCGTGGTGGTGTAAGTCCTAGTGGTGTAGGTCGT